GAAAATTCCAACAGCTTCAAAAGCATGAATCCTTTTACATATCAGTTGCCTTTAATGGGATTGAAGCAATTAATTATGCTAATCAAGATGTAGTGCTTATCTAAGTGCAAGGAAACATTTTGACGCATCAAACTTTCGTGTGTGTGTGTGTGTGTGTGTGTGGAGAAAATGAGCATTATGCAATTTATTAATCAGTACACTAATGTCAAAAAATGATGGTTACTGCTTTTCGAAAATGAGTTTTATGTAACCAAACTTCTACAAGGATGCTTGAATCTTGCAAAAAGGCTTTACTCGTATTAGACCAGCATGTCAGATTTCCTCCATCAGGAATCTTCAGATATCTTGGGATTTGCTTGTAAACATGTTTGGGTAAAGATACACACAGATTACAACAATTTTGTGGGAAAGGAACTTCATTTGGCTTGAAAGAAGAAGCTTGTATGTGCATTGCCGTTCAAAAGTTGGGGGGCAGTAAGATTTTGTGGTCTTGTTTTTTAATAAAACATTTTAACGTTACAATAAGGTCTCATTTAACTATAAATGAACTAAATGAGCTAATATACATTTCTTACAGTACTTCGTTCATTGTTAGTTCATGTTAGTTCACCGTGAAATTACTAATAGTAACAAATACATTAGAATTTTGAAATTACCATTAACTAATATTAATAAATGCTCTCTAAGTATTGTTTATTCTTAGTTCAGATTAACTAAAGTTGTTAACTGATGAAACCTTACTCGGAAAAAAAAGGTACAAGAGCTGTCACTGGGGCTGTACCTTTTCAAAAGGTAACCTTTTTCCATTTTAGGTGCTAAAATGTACATTTTAGGTGTTAATATGTACATTTTAGGTGCTAATAACTAAGTACATTTTTAGGTGCTAATATGTACTTTTTAATTGCTAATATGTACATTTTAGGTGGTAATATGTACATTTTACCTATTAATATGTACATTTCAGGAGCTTATATGTCCATTTTAGGTCCTAATGTACATTTCAGGTGCTAGTATGTACATTTTAAGTGTTAATATGTACATTTTAGGTGTTAATATGTACATTTTAGGTGCTAATATGTACATTTTAAGGGTTAATGTGCACATTTCAGGAGCTAATATGTCCATTTTAGGTGCTAATATGTACCACTAAGGTAGCAATATGCAGCCTTTGGGTACAAAAGTGTACCTTTTGAAAAGGTACAGCTTCAGTGACAGCTTTTGTACCTTTTTTTTCTGAGAGTGTATTGTAGTTACCAAAAATAAAAATATTCAGCAAGGATTAACTAAATTTCTCAAAAGTGTAAATACATTTATAATGTTTGTATTGAGTTTTTCTATTAATCAAAGAATCCTAATAAAAATTTATATTTTCCGCAAAAATATTAAGCAGCACAGCTGTTTTCAACAAGAAATGTTTCTTGAGCAAATCAGCATATTAGAATGATTTCTGAAGGATCATGTGACACTGAAAACTGGAGTAATGATGCTGAAAATTCAGCTTTGATCGTAGGAATAAATGACATTTTAAATGGTAATAATTTTTTCATATAACTTTTTATTAACTGTATTTTTGATGCAGTCTTAGTGAGCATAAGAGACCTCATTAAAACTTTAAAAAAATAATCTTATATCTACCCCAAAACTAGATGTTACAATTGTGTTTATGTCTTTGTATACAATAGTAAAAATGACACAAGCAGGTGCACAGCTAAACGTACATCTATTTGAATGTTTTAGGACACCGTATCAATTAAAAAGTAAACTCTCGAGATTTCTGTGTTCTGTTTAACTGCATATTTGTTGATTTATTTTTTTTTTAAGTTGCATTTCCCACATCTTGGCATTCCATGATGAACCATATAGATCCGCTTGGAAGAGTTTACTTCCGGACATTACTGTGGAGAACTAAGAGCTTTTACAGGGTCATCTGAGAAGGGCAGACAGTAATTGCGAAGCAGTGTTCTTGAAAGATAATGGCATGACAAATCAATGAAAATGCTCTTATGTATATAACAAAGTTGTAATTATTTAACAGTGCAGTGATATTGCACAGTGATTCAAACAAATTGCACAGAGTTTGATGCATGTGAAGCAATTTAGATGCAGGACCTCAGAATAGCCCCCTGGCTACTAGTTTTAGTCATCTATTATGAAAAAAAATGTTTAAAAAAAAACAGCAGAGATTATTAATACAACTATACAACTTCCATTACATTAATACATTTGGCAGATGCTTGTACCCCCAAACTTGACGACGTGTTCTCTGGGAGTCAAGCCCATGTCGTTGCTAATGCAAAACTTAACCAGTTGAGTGAAACATTAGCGCCAGTCTCATACATTTAGTTCTCCGGAGTATTTAGGTTTTAGAAATGTGTCCGCACTAATCCAGTCAATGATTAGGTAAGGTACGTTTTTGCGTACGGAAAAGTGTTCATTGATGCTTTTTGGCACGTGTTGTGAGGTCACGATGAGGGTGATGATCCTCAGTTTAACTCTGATCCAGGCTCAACCTTAGATGCCTCAACAACAGATCGCCCATTCAGGATGTGTTGTGAGGTCACGCCACCACCCCAGGGTGATGATCCTCAGGTTAACTCTGATACTATGTTTCCACAAAAATATTAACCATCTGAATTGTTTTATTGTTTTGAGTTTTATGAACTTGCTTCTTTTCATTTAAACAAACTTAAATTGAACTGAAACCAGGCTGGGATTTCTATTTCCCAGAATGCTTTGCCATGACACTCAAAAAGGAGTCTCCCGCAGATTGATAGCGGAAATTAGTTCAAATCTCCCAGAATCTAGAGCAAGCAAGCAGAGAGCGAGAGAACCCTTGCGCATGCGTAGTAAAATTATAACCTGTGGGGAAAAAAGCATTTTAAACCTTATTTTAGGGCAAAGTCATCAAACTTTTTCAGCGATCTCTATCATTTTTTACTGCTGTTTATATACATGCAGTTTTTTTTGTCCCGGTGACCAGTGAAAGTGCAGTTCTGACTCTCTGGCCATTCATTTAGATAGGAGCCTGGCCTTGTTAGTCCGAAATAGCTGCCCGGAGGCGTTGCCATGATGGCGGCCGAGTGGCTTGACTCGCCTAAAAGGACTTTGGTGTCACTCAGAGTCAGGCAACTATTGTGTCTAGTAATAGGATTGTCAGAGCTTAATCACAGGGATATTTATAGTGGATTAAACAAGAACAAGATCAAGATCCTGTCCGCTGCCATGATCCCAGACAAACCTGTGTGATCTAAGTATATGTCAGGTGAAGGTGGCACGTCACGGCTGACCTTTCTCAGCAAAGATCCTAACATAGTTTAGTTATTTTATGAGTAGCAGGATGGGCTGAGCACACGAGTTTTGAAGTATGCCTAGTTCTGTCATGATCTCTAGCTGGCGCAAACAGATGATATTTACAACGTTAACTTCTTGGCACAAGCTGATAGTTCACATCGGATCTGCAGCCAATGAGCTTGCTGCTCAATATTCAAATGGCTGGTTTCCATTCACCATTTCAAAATTCATCTAAAACCCTCCATCTTCCCCAGCTCCACCTGTATAGATCTGCTATAGGGTAACTGATAAATGTTATTTGTGCAACATGTCTTACATACTTATGGAAGCTTGTTTCTGCTTCCATTCTGACTTTATATCACGCAATTCTGACTTTATAACACCCAATTGCACCTTTATATCACACAATTCTGACTTATATCACACAATTCTGACTTTACAACACACAATTTTGACTTTATATCACCCAATTCTGACTTTATATCACGCAGATCTGACTTCATATCACACAATTCTGACTTTACAACATGCAATTGCGACTTTATATCAATCAATTCTGACTTTATATCACGCAATTTTGACTTTATAACCTGCAATTGCAACTTTAAATCAATCAATTGTCTTTATATCTCGCAATTCTGACTTTACAACATGCTAACAGCGATTTTTTTATCTCCCAATTCTGACTTTATATCTCGCAATTCTGATTTTATATCATGCAATTCTGACTTTATAACCTGCAATTGCGACTTTATATCAATCAATTCAGACTACATCATGAAATTCTGACTTTATAACTTGCAATTGTGACTTTATATCAATCAATTCTGACTTTATATCACGCAATTCTGATTTTATATAATGCAATTCTGACTTTATATCTCACAATTCTTACTTTATATCACCCAATTCTGACTTTATATCTCGCAATTCTGATTTTATATAATGAAATTCTGACTTTATATCATGCAATTCTGACTTTATATCAATCAATTCTGATTTTATATAATGCAATTCTGCCTTTATATCATGCAATTCTTACTTTATATCTCACAATTCTGACTTTATATCTCACAATTCTGACTTTATATCACGCAATTCTGACTTTATATCTCGCAATTCTGATTTTATATAATGAAATTCTGACTTTATATCATGCAATTCTTACTTTATATCTCACAATTCTGACTTTATATCACGCAATTCTGACTTTATATAATGATATTCTGACTTTATAACCTGCAATTGCGGCTTTATATCAATCAATTCTGACTATATCATGCAATTCTGACTTTAATTCTGACTTTATAACCTGCTTTTTTGACTTTATATCACGCAATTCTGACTTTGTTCAACCAATAGCTGGCAGTGTGTGTTTGGGAAAAATCATTTAATTCCATTTACTGATGTTAATGGCAAAGAAATTACACACTTTAGTAATATTTTTATTCGATGTTACTATTTATTTGAACATTTATTATTATTTTTTTTTATATTTTAATACATATGAACCTCATCACCTGTACAACATTGTTTTACCCGTTTGATATGAACCTTCTGAACGCTTGTTCTTGCTTAATCAAGCCAAATTGGCAGCTACAAAAAATAAATTCTGCTTGGCAGAGCCAGACTGCAGAGGAAGATGGGCGAGTCCTCGGATTAATGAGACAGAAAAGGGGGATGGGATGAGGGGTGGGGGCAGAAGGAGAAGAGAACAGAGGGGTACAGGGGAGCAGGCACACGCCGGGCTGCCTCTGTTGTTTTAGGAAACATTTAAGCTTTCTCCTACTCTCCTCCTGTTCATCTGTGTTAGTTAACTGGATTTTTGCTTAGCTTTTTGAATGCGGCGTTGAATCTCTCTGGATACGACCCCACCAGGGCAGGTTATTGATTCATATCCACTTATCACTGATGGTCATGGTCAAGAAGAAAGGTAATTGTGTGTGTGTGTGTGTGTGTGTTAGTGAGAGTTACTGACCATCTTTATATCTTAGTGTAGTCACGTTGCACACTTTTAAGAGTAAATAGTCCATTATAATCTCAGAAACCAGTCGCTTTTATGCCGTTCGAGAGGTTTATAATAAGTGTGAATTTGTTCATTACATTCTGTTCTTTCACCGCTATCAGTCCTATTATCTGCAGAGATGCTGGTTGGATCTCACTTCTTTATTTGACATGGTGTTTTGTGGTTCATTTGTTAAACATAGGTTGATAATCTTAGTTGATGTCCAGGTTGTTTGGATTTAGCCGTTGTGTTTGAGCTATTTGAATCACAGGAACTGTTATATAATAGAAAGCGTCCTTTGTGCTGCAGTCGTACCTCTCGGGTCCACAGGTTAGTGGATCAGAGCTGTCGGTGGTTTCATTGTGGGATTGAGTTAGCGGCATGTCTCCTGTCATTGCCGTTGTTTCGGCTGCAGTTTTAAATGGGATGCAGAACCGTGAGGTACACACGCGAAGCCCGCAGCCGTCGCCATAGCAACGCTGACAGGAAGGTAGAGTCCATTGTTGTGTCTCGCCTGCAGTGGCCTCTTTCGGTTTAGAGACGTCTCATCCCTGCTGCAGTTCATCTGCAGAGACGCACACTTTCTGGTCATTTATATATCAAGAATGGGACATGAATCCAGGGCTTTTTCCAATACTACAGAGGAAAGACTGCAAGTGTAAAATGCATCTTTGTTAGCACAAACATTGATGCAATTGAGCCCCATTAGGTATTTTAAGATTATAGATGTATATCCTTATAGACTTTCAGTATTGTTTTACAGTAATTTGAGAGTATGCAATATTATGATACTATTGGGTTACTTTATTTCGATGGTCCTCTTTAGACATTCTAACTATAAGTAAATCTCTCATTAGAGTATTAGTGGACTGTCATTAGACTGTTAGGTTAGGGTTGAGGGTTAGAATAATTTAACATGTAGTTGCAAAGTTACTTATAGTCAGTAGAATGTCTGTTGGGGATCAACACAAGTGTCTAATACTCTAATGACTGCTAGTGGACATGTTGTTGCAAAGTTAGTAGACCACAGAAATAAAGTGTTGGGATGTTCCATGAAAACATGCCGGTAAATAGAATAGAATAGAATAGAATAGAATAGAATAGAATAGAATAGAATAGAATAGAATAGAATAGAATAGAATAAATCTTTATTGTCCACCGGGGTGGAAATTTTTCTTCGGCTCACCGCAACATACAGTACAAAACAGATAAAAACATACAAATAATGTCTCAGGCATAATAAAGAAACATTTCTAGATTAATAAAATAAAATAAAAAAGTAAAAAAACAACTTGTTAAGAATATATATACTTGTATATTAAAATAGCAGCTCATTTGTTACTGTTTTGTTTTGTTAAGGATACTTTAGAAATGCTCTTACAAAAAGTCGAAATCAGCATATTAGAATGATTTCTGAAGGATCATGTGACTGGAGTAATGATTCGGAAAATTCACCCTTGACATCACAGGTGTAAATTACATTTTAAAATGTATTCAAATAGAAAACGGTTATTTTAACGTTTTTTTTTTTTTTTACAGTATTTTTGATCAAATAAATGCAGCCTCGGTGAGTAGAAGACTTTTCAAAAACATGATACTGTCTGTGTTGTTGTTATTATTAGTGCAGTTTGGAATTTAAGTTCTTTAAAAGAACTTCAATTACCATAATGTCCAAAAAAACATGTTATATTTAATGTATTTCTTGTCCAAAGGTGGTCATAGAGAAGCCAATCATATAATGCAATTGAGAAATTATAGATGAATCCAAGCAAATTTTCTAAGTACTGGTAAAAATACTTCAATCTATTTTACCATATATCTTTGTTTGCTCATTAGACTGTTGTGCCGTTAGCTTAGCAGTATGGCAATGCAAAACTCGTATTGAAATGCATACAGCAATCATGCTTCCCGGTCAAGCTGTCTATAGACAGTAGAGAGCGAGTCCATCAAGCTGAAGTAATATGAGTAATGCTGGGCTCTCAGAGCTGGAGGTTAACTGTTCTGACCGGCCCACTTAATCTTGTTTTGCCACTTCAGAGCTTAATCAGCAAATGCCTGGAGGAAGTGTTTTATAAAGCTCCACAAAGAGTTTGAAATACGGTAGCTATCATCTACTCTCCCACTTTCTTACGACTCTCATTCTCTTTTTCTGTGCATGTAACATCCCTCAGTACAGTTTTTCTTCTTTTTTTGCATTAGTTGAGTGATTAATATGGCTTGTAGACTGTGAGAACTGTTATATAATGTATTTTTTACAGGCTTCCATAAGGACCTGGTCAATATCTAGAGACTATATTGTAGAGATTTACATGGTATAGACCTAGTAATGCCCTATACTACACTGCAAAAGTATTTTTGTCTAGTTTTCCATTACAAATATCTAAACATTCTTCAATTTGGCATGAAATGGAAGTTGTGTTAGTATTTCTTCCCTATTGTGATGAAACAGCTTCTTGAATAAGAAAAATGATGGCCGGGGTTTGATTTTGTTGGATTGATTGGATGGTTGTGGTTTCATATCATACAGTTTTGGAACAACTTTTGGTTTTGGTAAATAAATGATGGCAAAATTTTCATCTTTGAGTAAAATATCCCTATATGAGGTCTTGTTTTCACAAAACAAGATATTTGGAAGAATGATGGCAACCAGACAGTTGATTGTAGCCATTGACTTCCATTGTATTTGTTTCCCCAATATTGAAGTCAATGGGGCTCATCAACTGTTTGGTTACCCATATTCTTCAAGATATATTTTGTGTTCAGCCAAAGAAAGAAAGTCTTACAGCTTTGGAACAACTTGAGGGTGAGTAAATCATGACACAAATTTCATCTTTGGGTGAACTATCCATATATTAAGTCATGTTTCTCTGTCAAATCTTGTTGTAATCATATAAAAGCGAGGAAACATTTAAGACAGCTTCATTTCACTGTACTTCTTCCAATTTTTAATGTTTTTAAATGTACTTTCACTGATATGCTGAATATATTTATAATGGGTAATGACGCTTCACCTCTGGCAGTGGGAGATATGGCTCTGATCCCTCTTCCCAGTGCTTTGTTTAGCCTGGGACGTGAGGGTGATGAGGGCTTGGAAAGGGGGCAGGGGATGCATAAATATGTATGAAAAAAGTCTGCGTCTGCGAAATGAACATCCCTTGAGACTCGTACAATCCAACATGCATGCACACACACACACACACACACACAGCCCTTCCCTGTGATGCTGATTCAATAGCGCAGGGACTGTCTGTGTCTGATCTTCAACACTTCGAGACAGAATGAGCTGCTCCTTCTGGATTAGTGTAGACACCGTGGAGAGAGGGAATGATGGGTTGGAATTTTAAGAGATGCTTCCTTGATTCTTGATTTTGAGAAGGTTTTTTGCGTGCACTGCTTTAGTGTATATGATATGACATTCTTCATTTGCAGCTGCAGTACTGCTGGCAAAACAAAAGTCTTGTTCAGTATGAAATGAAAATTCACATCTGTTTTCGAAATGCATGTTATTGATCTTTTTTGTGAACAATTCATCCATCCGTCATGGTTTTTACCTGGCAATTTTTCATCAGTATGTCATTTGACATGACAAAATAATTCTTTCTGATGACGTTTACTGTAAACCCTGTTTATTCAGATATTCAGATCTGTCACAATACAAAAGAAAAAACTGCTTTTGTTTCATCGTGACTTTAAAGGAACAGATCATCCAAATTCTGAGTAAATTAAATCATTATTTCCAGGGACTTTTCGCCTGTTTTATGAATACTGTATTCAGACATACTACTTGGCTCACATTCTGTTTTGTGGATATAAATGTGTATGTACTGTATATATATATATATATATATATATATTGTATATCAATCCATATATACAGTAAAATCTGGAATCTGAGGGTGCAAAAAAAAAAAAAAAAGAGTAAATTGAGAAAATCGCCATTAAAGTTGTCCAAATGAAGTCCTCAATGTTGCTGCATCCACTCAGAAAAATAACTTTGATATATTTTACGGATGGAAATGTACAAAATATCTTCATGGAACATGATCTTTACCTAATATCCTAATGATTTTTGGCATAAAATAAAAATTGATAATTTTGACCCATACGATGTATTGTTGGCTATTGCCATGAATATACCTGTGCGCCTTATAACTAGTTTTGTGGTCCAGTGTCGGATGGATGGATGGATGGATGGATGGATGGATGGCAGTTTAAGTTCATTTAAAATGACATGAGGGTGAGTAAATAATGAAAGCTACCGCTGTCACATTTTACAAACACTCACAATTGTAGAGGATGTTTTGGATAAAGTGAAGCTCAAAACGAATGTAAAATTAATGGAAAACAAATGCAGATCAATAATAGTAAAAGCTTGAAAGGAATGAGAAATGCTCGTCTGTGCCGTATTGCTCAGTGCAGAATTGATAATCAGGTTGGAGGACATCTGAGGTGAGGTGGTGATGTTTTTATGAGGGATATTTTAAGGTACATGATGTGCTGTACGAATACTAAAGGAACTAGAGACGTGCATCTATACAGTCTGACTTTCACATTTCGGCACTGATTGCAATTTGATTTGCTGAATATCCTATTTTATGTGCCATTTCATGATGACATTAAAGTGCAGTGATTGTTGTTTTTTGATGTACTCTACCGTTCAAAAGTTTGGGGTCAGTAAGATTTATTCATGTTTTTGAAAGAAGTCTACTTTTGCTCACCAAGGTTGCATTCGTTTCATCAAAAATATAGTATATATACTATAGTAGTGAAATATTATTATAATTTAAAATTACTTTTCTCTTTGAATATATATATATTTAAATTCTTCGTCATTATTCCAGTCTTCAGTAGGGCTGGGCAAAAAAATCGATTTTTCGATTAATCGTTTTTTAAAATGTGGTCGATTCAAAATCGATTCTCAACGGCCACGAATCTTCTCGTCTCTCTGCACTAGGCAAGCGCTAAGCGCTCCAGCTGTCGATACACACACGCGTTTAGGAGTCGGGACACGATGGAATAACAACAGAATATAGTATTAATTGTAAGCAATCAGAATTAATAGCCTTTGTATTTAATTCAGTCTGGACTAAAAAGACTATCCAGTGTTATTTTACACTGGATTACTTTATTCAGTTTCTGTAGTATATCTGACATACCCAAAAAACTACCCCAAAATGTCTCTTAATTTTTGTCTTTATTCTATTGTATTTATTTGTGCTACTTTTTTCAATTTAATTCAAAGATTGAAATCAAGCATCCATACATAAACTCTTAACAAAAAAAAATACATTAACATTTAGGTAAGATCAATGTAAAAAATGTCTAAATATTTATATATTTATCTATCTTAAACATAAAATAACATGATACTGTTTGATCAAGCTGTGCGACTGTTCTGTGCGACTGTGCAACTCTTTTTTGCATATTGCATCAAAATCTTTGTATGCATTTAGTGTACCTAAAATAAAAAGTGTTTTATATATAGGTTTATGGCTCTTAATTTTCTTGTATTAATTAACCACTAGTAAACTTATGTCCACTGTTCTTTTTTATCAATTATAAATATAGGATTTTTATTACATCTTCATTATAGTTGAATCGAGAATCAAATCAGGAATCGAGAATCGAAAATCGAATCGAGAATCGAAATCGAATCGAACTGAGAGCTTGCGAATCGAAATCGAATCGAAATTGAAATGTGAATCGATACCCAGCCCTAGTCTTCAGTGTCACATGATCTTTCAGAAATCATTCTAATAATGATGATTTGCTGGCCAAAAAACATTTCTGATTATTATCAATGTTGAAAACAGTAATGCTGCCTCATATTTTTTGGAAACTGTGATACTTTTTTTCAGGATATTTTGATGAATAGAAATCTCAGTATTATTTTAAAATAGAATATTTTTGTCTTTACGGTCACCTTTGATCAATTTACTGCATCCTTGATGAATGGAATATTTACTAAACCCATAATTGTGAAAGGTAGTGTACTTAATCTTGATTTTGTAATGAAAAATGGACTGTGTTACTGAACAGAATAGTAGAATTAAATGCATTTTGCATGCAGTAGCTCTATATGCATCTCATATTCCACTTATACTTTGGACTGTCACCCTGTGGGTACTGTTACAGACATTGAAGTTGTTTTTTTGTTTTTTGTTTTTTATTTTTCCATGCAGTGGCCCATACACAGGAATCTCACCACCAGAAGGATAAGCCTCTGATACGCTGTGCTAAATGTGGAGAAGTGTGCAAGGGAGAGGTGTTACGAGTGCAGGCCAAACACTTCCACATCAAGTGCTTCACGTGCAAAGGTGAGTCAGAGAATCAGTGTCACTTATGCACCTGTTACATACAAGACATTCAGTTCATGCATACATATGATACATATAGTATACGCTATATGGGCGAAATGTGCTTAACTGTCATGAAAATAATGTCACAATGCAGAAAATCTCAATGATACAAAATGTTTTTGTTTTTTTTGTGAGATTGACGTGTTTGACAGGTTTCGAGCTTTTGGTTCCATATTCATAGTCAAATCCTCTCTGTCTGAGATGCTGCCGCTCTGGTTTGCTGAATGTTTCCTATAAATCACCTCTTGTTTGAGTCTTCTATGACTCACCTCTCCAGTCTGAATTCAGGATCACCGAGTAATTGTTAAGGGTGTTATAGATGAGTTCCAGCTTGACCTATTTAGCAAGTTCTTTTTCAGAATCTAAGTCTTATGTGTAGTCTAAATAGCATTAACTCTATAGGGACTGGTGAGGTCAGCAACAATAGTTGGTCTCTGTTGAAATGGCAGTAATTAACATGAAATTTACAGCGATTTCTATAGTGTCATGGCCCATGGGGTATGTCATGCTCTTAATTCATAGATGTTAACCTTAAAAAATAATTATGTAAAATATATATAATAAATACTTTTTATGAACTTGGTTTGCTATAGTCTGTTATAGACTATGGGTTTTTTAATAAGCCTTTTTTTCAGAGATTTGTTGCATTCAAAGTTTCTTTTGAGACCATTAGGTGAAGCCCAGTGTCCCAGACTGCCTTTTTTAATTCTCTCACTGCTGAACTTATACCGACATATCCAGATTGACCATGCCACTTCAGGGCCATTGTTTAAAACGCCCACCAAATCTATCAGCTTTTAGCAAAACACTCAAGATTATGTGGACTGTTTTGTCAGTAACACTTGATGCAGGCCTGGATATAATAGAGTCGTACTGTACAAAGTAAATCCTGTCATGACTGAGCTCAGCTGTGATCCAATTAACCCAGAGACTTTCTTTCTGTCCTGCTGTACCACTTCAGTTAGAGATATCAGCATTATGATGCTGTGCGAAGTGACTGTGACATGTAGTATGTAGCACATGACAATTTTGGGGATTCATTCATGGAAGTAGCCTTGTCCCTATATACACTTCCGTCAAAGATTTGGACATACTTAGTCTTTATAATTACTATTTTTCACAGTTCAGAAAAAATAGTCATCAAATCTATGAAATTACACAAATGGAAGTATGGGAATTAAAGGAGTAGTTCACTTTAAAAAATCCAAGATGTCCATGTCATTACTTGTGTTATTTTTGCATTTTTTTCTGTGTGTGTGTATTGTTTTCAGTTGAGCACAGATTAGAAACAGCTCAAATATGTTTTTAATATTTGATATCTGAGTTCATGTCATTCTCTCTGACTTCACTGACTTCTTAATACATCACAGACAGAGACTATGAGAAATACTCCTTTAGACTAGTGGTTTTATAGATTATGATTTTTAAATATGAAAGGGGATAATGAATATGAGAGATCAAACTCTTTTCGGACGACTTTGTATCGAACCTCATGGATATTTGAACTGAATTTGCACACAACCTGTAGCGATCTGGGCAGATAATCAGTTTAAGAGCTAATCATCTACTTTGTGTTCACCAACCTGAGGGATTATGTCATTCTTACTGTAAATCTGTGTAATAATAATCAGTTTATCTAATCTAATCAGTCCAGAGCAGCATACAGACAACTAGATCATTCTACTCTTCATTTATTTATCAGGCAACATTAAGAAAGTGCTTTTTGAAAAATAAAATGTACATTTTAGGGCATTTTTAACTGATGAAATGGAACTAAATAAAATCACAGAAAGTTAAGTTAATGCATTAAAAGTTTTCAAATTGCATATCTATTTTGGGATTTTATATTTAGCTAATTTCTACATAATTGTTCTTATAGGTCTACTTAAAGACATGTAATTTTAATGCTAAAAATAGACTTTGAATGAGAGTTAATGAATTCTTTTGTGTCTGGGTCGTCCAGAGATGAAAGTCAGATTGTCAGAAATGTGTCAAAGGATGCAGTTGCCAAGTCCATTTTGTATTCATTTATTCACCAGATCAAATGATTCAGCGCTGATTTCCACATTTTCAAAGGAAACGCGGCCATATTGTTTATTCCCCATAGATTGATATTGGTTGTGTTGTTGAGCTCCAGGTTAGTTTAAGGATATTGGGATGATTTTTCTTTTTTTTTAAAGGGATAGTTCACTTTGAAATTAATTTTTGATATGTTTTAGCTTACCTCCAAGATGTAGGTGTCTTTGCTTTCGCAGTATTTTCAATTTTGATATTTTTAGGTCAAACCGTTCATGTCTATCAGTCATATAATGGAGGTCTATGGTCACCACCTCAAAGAGCATGCACCGATAAGTCCAAATTAAACATGATTCAATGACTTGTAAATGTAAGTACACATTGATGGCCTAAGACACGAAACAGCACTGTGGAGCTTTACTGTGCACTACACACAAATTATACACATCTATTATACTTCCACTTGTTTATTCTCTCAGTAAATCGCACATCCTGCATTAGTCACGGCCTCGGTTCACCCATGCGGGAACCCAGGATGGGGTGCGGAAAGGCATGAAAGATGGTTCGGACAATAAGACTCCAAAACAGAAAGTGTCTGAAGGAGCTCTTAAGAGCTTAAAATGAAACACAATGAGCTCTAAATGTGTTTCAGAGAGCCTGTTGGTTTAGATTAGACATTTCAAGGTTTCTGACTATTGTGTTTTCTCAAGATCATGGTTTGGCCATTGTCCTCCACTAAGGTTTATTTTTATACTTCTATTAGTGCGCCAATTATGCTGCATTATCATGTTACAAGAAGAGAAATATATCACAAAGAGGCCATTATAACTCATGAAAAAAGCAAGGTTCAACCTAAAAAAGTCACTCACCAACTATTGTTCCAGTATATATACACATATATTGTAAAAAAAAATATTGTTGATATTGTTGGTTTAACTTAAAAAAATAAGTAACCTGGTTGTCTTAAAATTTTAAGTTCATTGAAATGGAAAAATTGAGTGAATACAATGAAGGAGATTAATTGAATCACTAGAAACTCAAAATATCTGAACTACATAAATTATCTAAGTTGATTTGACAAAAAGAAAAAATGTTGTGATTACAAATCATGAAAATGTTTTTTACAGTATATATATCTATATCTTGTGATGACATGAATATTCCGCATCATTACTCCAGTGTCACATGATCCTTCAGAAATCATTCTAATTGCCGATTTGCTGCTCAAGAAAAATGTGTTATTATTTTTAGTGTTGAAAACACTTGTTTTTTCAGTATTCTTTAATAAATAGAAAGTTTGATTGAACAGCTTTTATTTTAAATTGAATATACACACACACACACACACACTGCCATTCCATCTCAGTCCTGTACATCATATATTATACACCATAATAATTTGACTTCATCATCTAAACAAGGTTGTGTGTGTTTTTCTGTAGTATGTGGCTGCGATCTGGCTCAGGGAGGATTCTTCATGAAGAATGGAGAGTATATGTGCACTCTGGACTACCAGCGCATCCACGGCACCCGCTGTAACATCTGTGGAGAGTTTGTGGAGGGGGAGGTGGTGACCGCGCTCGGAAAGACCTACCACCCAGCATGCTTTGTGTGCACAATCTGCAAGTAAGAGCCGAGGAAAAACCCACTCACACACTAGACATTATACAGTCACTGACATTGTGGTTTATGGTAAGCCCAACACTGGCAGGAGTTTTAACAGGGGTCGCATATGTCATGGCCTACAGGAGACCATTTCCTGCAGGAGACAGAGTGACATTCAATGGCAAGGACTGTCTGTGTCAGTACTGTGCAGAGCCCATGTCTCCAGGACACACCAAAGATGTCGCCGGACCCAGCAGTGAGTGCAGGACCTGAAGCTATAGCATCCATACGAGATAATGTCACAAAACCAATCATGAACATGCCAGGGACATTTTTCAACCCAAAATCTAATGTTACAAAAAAAAAAAAATCATGACACCTAAACACATTTGAAGTCAAATTATTTACACAGCAGCTGTACAGTGTGCCAATAGCGATAGATGTTATTTAAAGTAAGTGTAACTAGATTAAGTGAAAACAGCAGCATTTTCTTTGCGATAGATGCTATTTACACTAAGTTTAATTAGCAATAGACAATAGAAATGAAAATACTGTAGAGATAGATTATATTTACACTATGTAAAAATAGCAGTAGGCCTTTTTTCTTTGCAATAAGTATAAATAGTGGGAGATTTGCACCTCATTGTTGTTGTAAATTAAACAGTATGTATTAATATAATAGCATTGTGTAAATTATTATGTTTTTTTTTTTAATTATTAAATGGATGGCGCCTTCCCTACACCTTACCCCTAACCGATAAACACTTTATTGTTAAATGTATTAGACACTTTTTTATTTATTTTTATCCAATCAGACGTCACTAGGCGGAGTTAGTGGAAATAACCTAGTGACAGGAGGATTTATATATTATTGGTAGTATTTGTTACGTTAACTTTAATTTTTGCATTTTTTAAAAATTTATTTATTCCAACATTCTGCTACAATTAAGTAAAAATCTGTAAATTACCATAGAGAATAATGGGGAAATCTAAATTCTAATTATGTAACTTACATCAACTTTATAATGCAGCTTATTTAATCACAACTTCCTTGATGGTCAAATATTTAAACTTAAGAAAGAAATAAAAATACCATCAGTGTAAATAAACTTTAGGAAGAGTCCAAACTTCCACATGGAGACGTTGCATCCACACGCCAGTAGCTTAGAACTTTAATGGGAACGAAAGTGAAATTCACTGGCATGAATTTACACGTGAAACAGTAAATTATTCAGACCCTCCATCTATCCTTGTTCCCTAATTCTGAGGGTTGGCCAGGATCCACCTACTATAATAAATAATTAACTATTATTTTCTCTTAAGTCTATACTGTAAGCTTGGCTACTAAAGCCAAATGTCATATTTTATTTATAAAGTAAAATGTGAAGAAGAAAACAATAGCAGATATATAAATGTGTGTTAAGAAAATGCTGATTCACAACAATGGTGATCAAGACAGTGAGCATCAAGTTAGTATAAAAATATTTTGGCACAAAAACAATATATATATATATATATATATATATATACAGTGTTTTTTTTTTTTGGTAAATCAGTTTTTCTTGCGTCTGTGTTTCAGGTTGTGCAGGCTGTGGCAGAGATATTAAGAATGGTCAGGCTCTGTTGGCTCTCGAGAATCAGTGGCATTTGGGCTGTTTTAAATGTAAGGCCTGTGCAAAAGTATTGACTGGAGAATACATCAGCAAGTAAGACACATTCGTACACAAAATCCATCCAATCCATCCAAAATGTTGGAGCGACTGCATGCATCGGTTGGTTCTCTATATGTGCACAGAGACGGCGCCCCCTACTGTGAGCAAGATTACCAGGTTCAGTTTGGAGTTCAATGTGAGGCATGTCAGCAGTTCATCACAGGGAAAGTCCTGGAGGTACGCACACACACACACACACACACACACACGTTGGGTTTCCATGTTTGTGTTCCATGTTCCACACCTACCCCTAAACCTACCCGTCGCAGAAAACTTTCTGCATTTTTATATTTTCAAAAAACATCATTATGTATGATTCATAAGTTGTTTTCCTCTAGGGGACCAAATAATTTCCCCACAAGATCAAATATTTCCAAATACTATACTTACTATCCTTGAATTATCCATGTCCTCACAACATAGGGACACCCGAATGACACACACACACACACACACACACACACTCAGTTTTGAAGTTCTGGACTAGTAACAAACTGCCCCTTTGAAATAATTTGAGCAATGTTGTTATTGTTAACAAAAAATGTTGTAATAAATCTGAAACAAAACTTGAAGTGATAAAGTTAAAGTATTAAAATTACTAAAACTATCTGGGGTAAAAATAATTTAAAAAAATATATGTAAAATCAATAAAAACTACTTACATAACAAAATTACTAAAATTCAAATGAAAACTGAAATTATAAAAGCTGATTCAAAATATTAAATACAGTATACTATAATAGTATATAAATAATACTTAAATAACACTGGCTTTGAGGTGATTTATAACAAAATTCACATATATTCACATTTAAAACTAACAGTCTTTCTATTCCAAGAAAATACACCAAAAATATGAATGCCACATATTCTTTGTAGTGACATATACAATTTTTGTCCTCTAGAATGAGAATGTGCTGTTGATTATAATCTCCAACCACCGATTTAATGCTTCAACAGTAAAATCTTAAGCAAACAACGTCCTCAGAATATGTCCAACTTCCTGTTTGAACAGGAAAGATGTCAACACAGGAAAGAAAGAATATTGCGTTCATCAAACAGGCAAACCAACACAGTACTAGAATGGCTTTGTTTGTTGTATTCAGTTGTTTCATACAGTCATCACCCTGATCAGCACAAACCTTATGAGTGCTTACACTTTATTTTGATGTTCGCCTTTTAGACTTTTATAGTTGACTAGAAGTAACGTGGCACCTTACATGTCAAATAACTCTCAATAGAGAATGGTTTGATTATTATTAGGCTGTTATGGGTTAGATTAGTGTTAATTAGTTACTTATAGGCAGTGGAATGTCTATTGGGGAGCATCAGAATAAAGAGTTAGCTTAGTTAGATATTCAGTCTACTGATACTCATATACTCTAATGAGATTGTGTGTTCACACTTGGAAGATTTGCTGGTGCAGTTGCTCTTTTAGTACGATTCATTTGTGAATGCTGAACCTTGGTGCGTGCCAAACAAATCGGTGCTGTTTTGATTCATTTACACATTTTAGAAGCTCTTCATGAGTTCTCAGCTGGTCAAAATACCATGTCAGCTACGCACATACAACATGTGCATTTAGCCTTGTATGCTTTTAGGTTCTGTGTTAAAGTCCCCATGAAATCAAAATTGACCATACTTACTTTGTTTGCCTAAATTGATCATTTTGTGGTGAACAATTCATACATGCAAGTCAATCCACACACACATTTTTTTTGGCTTCGTAATCTTTAATCAAATTTTGAAAATGCCCCTCCCCTCTGCATTGGAGGACCTTGCCCGATGACGTGGGCTTTACGGTTTGGGTGTCTCCTTAACATCCATAACCACGCCCCTCCAACTGACAGCTGCTGTGTGTTTGCGAGCGCCGAGCGAGCATTGATTGACAGCGTGTGTAAACTTGCGTCATCCTCCATTTCAGAATGAAACACCCATTTTTCTAGATCCAATCAGGTGCTAGTTGGAAAAAAAAGCCACGCCCACTATTTTTGCCTCATTTAGTATTCCGTTTCTCTCGGAAATACGTCACAACACTGGAGAAAAGTCGTTTGCAACTTCCGGTTCACGGGGACTTTAAAATGCCAATTTGAACGCTAAGCCGACCAGGAATGTTTTTATTGGGTTTTTTTTTTTTTTTGGTCCGAACCAAGTGAACCGAACTGCAAGTGTGAACACACCCTTATATTCAACAGAATGTCTAAAAGTCTCCAACAAATGATTGTGACACAGACATGCAGCACAAAACCATGTTAAACACGTCCGATCACAGATAACCGTCTGCGTCTACAGTTTCACAACAGGCTCAGAGCAGACGATTGCAACAGGAAGTTTCATCCGGATAATTGAAGCTGATTGGCTGTTAGAGAGACACTTGTCTTTTCTTTTCACACGTTAAAGCTTTTCCTGGTTGTTATAGTGGGATGCTCTGGAGTATAACACACTCTATATGAAGGACTTTGAGTGGTTTGAGATCACAAAATACTACACAGGGCCTGTAAGTCACTCTTAAGACTGATTCTTGTGTATGGATATAGTTCAAAGGTTTTGAGACGATTTCTGCGCTATAAGGAGAGAACACAGAACCTTTCTGTATTACATTTGATAAGCTCATTGGTTCTGGTCATTTGAATAAAATATGTGTCGTCTCACATGATACACATGCAAAGCATCAGGTGCTCTGTAACAGTCTGTTTGAGTTATCTGACTTCATGGTTGTCAGTACAGGTCAACTTTGAGCGAATCGATATAGTGATGTGTGTGTGTTTCTCCACAGGCAGGGGACAAGCACTACCACCCCAGCTGTGCTCGCTGTAGCAGGTGTAACCAGATGTTTACAGAAGGAGAGGAGATGTACCTGCAAGGTGAGTCTAAGCTTACAGACAGCACATATAATACTGCAACTTGACATTAAATTAAGTTAAAATGTCATGTGGTTGGCCATTATAACTGTGTCATGAATATTTTTCAGTGGTACAAATTTAATTTGTCATTAAAAAGTTATAATGGCTTCATGACAGCCAATGTCAAAACCAACCACCTGACAGTTTAATGTAATGTTAACCAATAAAGCTAGGTGGTTTCTTAAGTTTGATCATTAATCTGCTATGTCATGTTTATGAAAGGTTGTGTTGTCTTAGTCATGTCAAGGTGTCATGACAAAGATGTTATGCTCAGTTGTCATAAACAAGACATCTCAAACATTGTCATATTTTCATTAAAAATGTCATAATTGAGCGAATGACACTTAATGACAGTTGTCATAAACTTGCACAAAACTTCCTTCATATTCATAACGTGTCATGATTATGAAGGTGTCATGTTAATAAAGTAAAGTGCTACCGAAGCAACATTACTTAGATATTAAGTATGTTTTTTATTGCTTCAAAATTGAGTGAGTTCATACCTAAAACAAAAAAAATATCTGCCTGTGGGGTAAGAGAAAATACAGCTTAATTATTTTTCTCAGATATTTTTTCAGCAAAACACATTTAATTGTAATTTATTAATTTGAGATATTTTTGACTAAGCTGCTCAATTCATATAGATTAGTTTACAATCTCTTTATGAACTTTTTGAAGCATCAATGTGATGCCTCTTGGAACTAAATAGTTATTTTTAATTTGATGATATCTGTATTTTTTTATTTATGTTGTTTTGTCTTATGTATAGTATCTAGAGAATGGTGGCAGATAATGATAATGGCAGAAAATGGCTTCATTTAATTGGTCAAAAATACAATAAAAACAGAAATATTATTAAATATTATTACAATTCAAAATGAAAGTTTTCTGTTTGAATATATTTTAAAATATAATTTATTCATGTGATGCAAATCTGAATTTTCAACATCATTACTTCTGTCATCAGTGTCTTTAGAAATCATTCTAAAATGCAAATTTGCTGCTCAAGAAATATGTATTATTATTATTAATATCAATGTTGAAAACAGTTGTGCAGCTTAATATTTGTGTTTATTTTTATTCTTTAAAAATATATGCATTTATTTGAAATAGAAATATTTTGTGACATTTTAAGTGTCTTTGTCACATTTGATGCATTTAATAATAAATATATATATACTGTATATATCCACCATGCTAGAAATTGAGATTATCATTGTTCATTAAAAAAATGAGCAGTTTGCCAATAGTAAAGGTCACCTCAAAATCATAACCATATTAATTTTAATTCTTCTTTATATGCGTTATCAAAACTGTATCCATATCACATGACTTTTTTGTCTATACACTCCTTTTTTGTCTATATAATGTATGGTTTTATGTTTTAAGAATATTTTTTGTGTTGAAGTCTATAGACCCCAGGAAGAATAGCAACTGCTTTTGCAGTAGCTAATGGGGATCTTAATAAACTAAACTAAACTTCACTTTAAATGTGGCCTCTTAGCCTTTTAGTCTTTGGATTATTTTGCCTTGTGTTTCATTGTTTATGCAGGATCAACAGTTTGGCACCCAGGCTGTAAACATTCAACTAGAGGCGAGGAGAGACAGCGGGTACGGCCCTTTTTCCATCTCACGTTTGTATCCGGTATTTACATGTTTGTCCTGTATAGTTGTTGTCTGTTTGTTCTTCTCTGCAGGCTCTTTTCTGAAAGTAAGCAGAGCATATCTCATTGCTAGCTTTGAGGTTGAACTTTCTCCTTCTGGCTGTTTTCTAGTAGACTTGTCGCTCAAACAATCGCTCCGGGAACACCGCTATAGGCTAGGTGATTCAGAATCTTGTATGATGTCCAACCAAACCCCTGTGTCTTCCTCCACAGCTATTGCCTGCATCTCTAGCTCTACTCAGCAAAACAGAAAGGCAGGTACTGTACTCTCTGTCAGCTGCGGCATGGCATCGCATGACCATGTGCTGCCCCCTGGAGGTGGAGGGTGGCAGTGCTCCTCCTGCAGCGCTCAAGCCCACCCGCTCTGTTTTAGACATAAACCATCATTAACATCTGGTTTATTCCATCTCATAGACGCTGATGCCAAAGAACAGATAGTCTGTTTAGTCGATTAGTAAGTTAAAAGTTGGATATTAGTGTAACCCTGACTCGCATTCCTTCGGTCCTCCGATCAAGTCTAGCAGCTGTAATCACGCATGCTGCATTTCAGTATGTTGAGTAATATCAGAAGCCCTTACATTTCCCGCCATTGGAACATGAAATCGCTATTGACATTCATTGTGTGGAAGGCAAATGAATGAGTTCATTTGTTTTAGGTTTGTTTTAAAGGTTCTCTCATCATTTAGTTCTGGCCTTCATGATATGGGTCAAAACACACTGGACTTGTTGACTAAAAGTATTTCACTTTTAACAATATTGCTGTGCTTTTGTCATTTTTATTTTTATTTATTTTTAAAAAATTGCTATTTAGGTTTATTAGATTTTTTTTTTTTAGTTTTAGTTTGAGTTTGTTTTGATTTATTTCCAGTTAATAATTTTACTGCTATATTAATCATTTTATTAAATTCTATTTTATTTCAATTAACACACACATATATATTATTATAAATATATATAATTAATTATTTATCTATTATTATTATATTTTATAATTATTTATTATTAATTAATTATATATATATATATATATATATATATATATTTAGTTTTAGTTACGGGTTTTCTTAGAACATTTGAAAAATTTGGATAAATGCATTTATAATATATTTATGTTGCACTCATTTCATATTTGTTGTGGATGCCTTGTTTGTTATGTCTCACAATAAGTGAGTCATAGCATTGATCAGCTGACTGACTTTCTGCACCCTGATTGGCCTTATATGTTTTACTGTACACTATAAAAATGTATATAATATATAATGTAAGTCAAGGAATACATTAGTCCAACATTATGTGCAATCAAGCAAATTTAGGTAAATCTTCTGCTAAAGGGAAAGTTTATGGAGTCATCATGGTTCATACTACCGCTAATCATTATGAACTGATGGTTAGCTGTTTAGATGCAAATTAATATTTTATTTTTTTAAATTATTTTCTGTGCTGTTGTTTTTATCTAAAGCTTATGTTGAATATAGTTTTTTTTTTTTTTTTGGTTTGCTCCACAGCCGATGCGCTCGTCGACCGAGAGTATATGTTCCAGACCTGGTTCAAGCATACCTAGCTCACCGGGTCACACCATATATGTAAGTGCATTAGTTTATCATTGTGTGAGTTGATATATGTGCATATATCATTATATAAATACCATGGCTTATTTTTTATAAAGCTATTTATGTTGACCCCAATTTTTCTAATATATATCAAAAGTAATTATTTTACATCAAAAGCTCAAAAGTTACAAAATAATGTGTTGCAAAAGAGTTTAATTTCAAATAAATGTTCTTTCAAAATTAAAAAAAATAATAATATATATATATAATTTTTTTATTTATTTTGGGGGTTACAATATGAAGCAGCACAAAATTGATAATAATTAGAAATATTTTTTGAGCAGCAAATCAGCAATTCTGAAGGATCATGTGACACTGAAGACTGGATTAATGATGCTGAAAATTCAGCTTTGCATCACAGGAATAAATTACATATAAATCATATTAAAATATATATTGTAATATTGTTTCTCTGTATTTTTGAACAAATAAATACAGCCGGGCTGAGCATACGAGACTTCTTTCAAAATCATTTAAAAGAAATTATCGACCTCGTACTTTTAATGCTGATTACTCAACAAATATCAATAATTATTGTGCATTTTATTGGACTTTACAATGTTATAAATTGGCTTATTTGAGTTGTCATATAGTTTTATGGATGTTTAGATAGATAGAAGTCCTGATATATAGCTTTCTTTTCTGTCATTGTGAATTCTGACAGCAGTGTTTAAATATAGATAATAGTTAACTTATTAAAACAATAACCGCGATAAAATTACTATAACATACAACCTCTTGGCTTATTGCTTCTTTCTTTATTATTTAAATTCTCATAATTTCGCTGTTGGTAGATCTTAATATTTTCACTGCTGTCATGTAGAAATTCATATATGTGTGTGACTCCCTGTGTGTGCTTGTGTTTCCCTCTAGGCAAAAGTAGACAATGAGATCCTTGATTACAGGGATTTAGCAGCCATTCCCAAAGTCAAAGCCATTTATGACATTGAGCGTCCAGATTTAATCCACTATGAGCCACTTTACACCACCACACTGGAGGAGTCAGAGGAGGGAGAGAGTGTGGGAGAGGTAAAATTAAGTCAAAAAGAAGCTCTGTTCCAAACCATAGAGACATTTCTGTCTAGACAGCATCATAGGTGACATGCTCCTGATGAGAAGATATGAAGAGTTCAGATGCAAAAGCCTCTAAGTGCCATTTGAAATTTTCTTCTAGAATGATCATTTTTATCAAGCTTGTATATTTAAGTTCAGTGATTTCACTTAAATGGCAATGATAATTACCTATTAATTGTTATTTAAGTAAAATTACTGAACTTAAATATACAAGTTTGATAAAAATCATCATTAAAGAAGAAAATTTCAAATGGCATTTACAGGCTTTTGCATCTGAACTCTTCATATATATATATATCGTCGAACACTACAGATTAACTAAACTGAAACTGTCAAGTATCTTAACTAATAATTATGATGCGTCTTCTCTCTCCGACTGAATCCACCTCAGCACCAATTCACCTCAGCACGAATGTCACTATGGCAACCTTGTACTCTATGATTGGTTGAAATCGTCCAGGACATTTAAAGGTATCCGGGCCTTTTGTACAGCCGCCCCCGAATTCAAGAATTGAATTCGATCATCTTGAAAAGGCCTACATTTTGTCCTGGTCATCCTTAGGTCGCTGGTTCGTCTCCGGCTCGAAGGACCATTGAAATGAAGAGGTTCGATAGTAGACTAATTTTAATGGATGTGAAACGCAGCAGGCAGTCGGTCAGAACTGTATAAGATGAGGCTTAGTTGAACAGACACACCAGGCAGGGTTCAAACTTCACTTATTTACTGAAGAGCTGGTTGATTTACATATGGGGTATGTGTGTGTGGTTTTGGCATGTACGCACACAGCGACTCAATGTATATGTAAACCAGCTGAATAATCGTCGAACACTACAGATTAACTAAACTGAAACTGTCAAGTATCTTAACTAATAATTATGATGCGTCTTCTCTCTCCGACTGAATCCACCTCAGCACCAATTCACCTCAGCACGAATGTCACTATGGCAACCTTGTACTCTATGATTGGTTGAAATCGTCCAGGACATTTAAAGGTATCCGGGCCTTTTGTACAATCCCCTTTAAATTTCATTCAGCAGATGAAATTATCATAGGATATTATAGGATGTTGCCTTAGAAGGTACATATGTAGGTGGTAAATAGTGATGCAGCTCACTAGGGTTTGAAACAGAGCTCTCAGAGTTCAGTGTCCAACACAGACTAATACATTTTTTCTACTTGTGTAAAAGGGATATTTATTCACTCACAGTAGTCCTTTATTTGACATTCACCTGGACTTTATTATCCCAACACAACACCTCTCTGTTGACAGCTGCAGAGCTCCAGGAGAGAGTGTTCACCCATGCCAGACGACCGAGTAAGTTATTCACATGACCTGTTCCACTCATTCGCATGTTATTGGTGTCCCATTTCTGATTTAATGATTCGGATCGGTTCTCAAGAGTCACTAAGCCATGGATGGATGGATGGATGGATAAAATAATAATAATAGATAGATAGACAGATTATTTCTTTTCACTTTGGGAAAAAATTTGACTCCGACAATGTCCTTTTTTTTTTTTTTTTTTGTAAGAATTGCCCCCATAGCTTTAATAGTCTCCCAGTTAAAATGTGAATTTCTTCATAGAAGTTTCATTGTCTGCATTTTTTTTTTTTTTTTTTTGTTTCAGACCAGGTCACCCACGCCGATTGCTGAAGTAAGTCCGATTTTGAGTTTTATTTTGCATGCAGGCAAAAATAAAATTATTACATCATAATAAATTGTGGAGAATATTTATATTTTCAATTATAAGAACATATAAATTATATTATATATTTTTTGTTTTGTTTTTTTCAGGGTTATTATGACATGAGAGAACGTATCCTTCACAGGTCGACGAGTCAGGGCTCCATCGGCTCTCCCATCTACAGCCGCCACAGTTACACACCCATGTCCCGCTCACCACAGCACTTCCACAGACCCGGTGAGCTATGAACCCTGTCTGTCTGCTGTCTACATAAGACTCAATTTAATATTGCATCAAATCAAAATGTCTTTTATGGATTATTTACAGCTTTCCCTCAGTGTCCAAATTTAGTTTTAGAATAGAGAAAATCTTTGCAAATCCCCTCTAAACACTAGGACTTGTGGAAATCGAGATGCACCACTATTCAAACAGGTTTAAAAATTAATAAATAAATAAAATTAAATTAAACTTTTCATCCTGCAAGGACAAAGCAATCTTAATTATTCCAAACTTTTGACCATTAGTCTATGTGTATGTAAATGTTGTTATTTATCACTAGACATTGCTACATGTGCTATAATATATAAGTGCATATATTATGCATGTAAATGATCAAATCATCTTTCTTGTATTTATTTATTAAAAAATGCCTTAATCTAGTTTTTAACTTCATTGTTTATTTTTAAATACTACATTTTACTTAGTTTAATAAAAATTTGAGGCTTTAGACATATACATACATACATAATTATTGATTATTGATAAATGGCTGAAGAATGCTGTTTTTAGCTATTTCGCCCAGCCCTAATTTGAGCTGTTCTCCCTATTGACCTCTGACCCTGTTTCTGATTGGAGGCACTGAGCCGTCCAGTGGTCGGAGTTCCCCAGGGTCCAGCACCCCTCCTCTCCCTCTGACCCCTAAACATTTTCACCTGCCAGGTACTGTTGGGATTCTTCCAGCGGCCCCCTGTGTGTCAATCCCAGCATGCCCCTGTGTTTAAGCACACTTTCACAATTCATTACATGTTCTATATCAGGTTATCTCTGTCTTTAAACTCACACTACTCACATTTTTGTTCAGAAAATGCAAAGATCTTACATCATATGTTAATTTGGTGATGGAAAATCCAAAGTTTACGTGATGCAGTTGTCAGTTTCTCCGACTTTATGGATCGTTGGTGCATTTTGTATGTGTTATTGCTTTTGTTTGTTCTTTTTAAAACTCTGATATCAAGAATTACAATTTTAAACATTTCATTTTTCCTTTCTTTCAGATCAAGGAGTAAACATCTACAGAAAACCCCCTATCTACAAACAGCATGGTATAGTCATTCTGAACATTTGAGATCAACACTTTAACTTTTACATTGATGAATGATATTAGATTTGGATACATGCCTATTGATTTATAATACTAAAGCAGTGTTTCCCAACCAATTTGTGATATATTGACTCACACAGCCACTTCTTAAAGGGATAGTTCACCCAAAAATGAAAATGCTGTCATTAATTATTCACCCTCATGTCGTTCCAAACCCGTAAGACCTTCATTCATCTTCGGAAAAGACAAATTAGGATATCTTGATGAAATCTGGATGACATCGTTAAAAAAATAGTCCATGTAACAACAATGGTTCATGGTTTAGCTTGATAAGACCCTTATTCATCGTCTGGAATCGTTTAACGGAGTTTCAGAATATTTCACACCATGACTGTATGGTTTGTATGTCACTTTTCCATAATTCTGTGTTTTGTTTGTCTGTTTTTGTTTGGAAACTGTGAGTCCCTCCACCTCATTAATATCTGCTTGTGTGCCATTTAACACCACCTCAATGTTAACATGTAAGTATTGTTTGAAGTCTTCTCAACTGAGCTCATTTCACTATAAATATCAATCAACCAACCGATCAATCAATCATCATTAAAGCGTCTTCTGATGAGTGCCTGAATAGCTTTCATTCATAACATATCCATCAATAACAAAACTTGCAAAAAAAAATGCACGATTTTTAAGTTAGATCTGCAAAAGTTAGTATCTGCTCATTTATTTAGTGACCGCGTATTACCAAACATGTAAAGTCATGTAAGTAAAGTCTGTTTTTTTTTTACATAATTATTACATTGATATCTTGTTGCTGATATCACCAAGCATTGAAAAAAGTAAATAGGCCAAATCTCAAGTTTATTGGTATTTAAATGGGTCATATCACACACTATTGTTTTTTTCTCTCTCTGAGGTCCACTTATAATACTAGTACTGTATATAATATTGGTACCAAAACATAAGTTGACACAATTTATTTTAATTTTTTGCTGTTGTCCTTGTATGCAAATGCCATTTTCGCATGTGAATTGAGATCAAATGCTTTTGCACGTGCAGGTTTTCTGTGGAGTTCAATGTAGTTTGTTTTTCTCCATCCCAAGACAATCTGCACTGAAAAGTGTCTAAATTATATTTAGATCAGCATAAAATGGTCAGGGATCTTGTTAAAAATAAACTTCAACTTCTTGTTTCTAATGTTACGATCATTTGGAGTCACATGCAGAGCGGCAGATGCTATGGATGGATGGATGGATGGATGGATGGATGGATGGATGGATGGATTCATGGATGGATGGATGGATGGATGGATGGATGGATGGATGGATGGATGGATGGATGGATAGATAGATAGATAGATAGATAGATAGATAGATAGATAGATAGATAGATAGATAGATAGATAGATAGATAGATAGATAGATAGATAGATAGATAGATAGATAGATAGATAGATAGATAGATAGAGATTCATGTACATGCGATGGATGGATGGATGGATGGATGGATGGATGGATGGATGGATGGATGGATGGATGGATGGATGGATGGATGGATGGATGGATGGATGGATAGATAGATAGATAGATAGATAGATAGATAGATAGATAGATAGATAGATAGATAGATAGATAGATAGATAGATAGGTAGGTAGATAGATAGATAGATAGATAGATAGATAGATAGATAGATAGATAGATAGATAGATAGATAGATAGATAGATAGATAGATAGATAGATAGATAGATAGAGATTCATGTACATGCGATGGATGGATGGATGGATGGATGGATGGATGGATGGATGGATGGATGGATGGATGGATGGATGGATGGATGGATGGATAGATAGATAGATAGATAGATAGATAGATAGATAGATAGATAGATAGATAGATAGATAGATAGATAGATAGATAGATAGATAGATAGATAGATCTGCCCCCACATTCACATCCACGCTATGCAACACAGAAGAGTGGACACGCCCCTCACTACTGATTGGCTACAAATGTCTCTTGGTGCTTGGTCCGATCCCCATTCAATAGCGTTTCTCAAACTTTGTTTCAGTTTTCTTTTTCTCATCAGGGAGGGCGTTTTTACTTCTGATTATCACTGTATCGGATTGTTTGTGATATGACCCCTTTAAAGTATAGTCATTCGCAGATATGACCATTCGGGTCATATCCCCCGCTGCCTTCATGCAATGTGTTCTGAAGCCAGTGATTGTTTTGTCCGATTCCTGCATGGCTTATTTTGGCTGAGTGAATTATGATATAGATGTGCATGTTTAGCATGCAAGCAAACAACCAGTAGTCTCTATAGTAGCATTGTGAATGTGAATGAGGAGAGGCCTTCAACTCTTATGCCACATATGGCTTGCAGCAGGTGGTTTTTCAGCTATCTGTTGGTTAGATGTTGGTGTAGCCACACTGATGGTCCAGCTCCCCCGGTTTATTGATCTAGATTCAGCTGCCTTTGCAGCCCAGAGCAAGTCTGCTGATGACATCATCAAATCGGCCAAATTCCCCTCAGCGTACGCCCCTGGTCCAGACTACCCAGCAATGATAGAGACAGACTGCTGGTCCTTGCCGATCTCCCATGCTGCCCTAGGTACTGTGGGAACTACAACCTTGCCCTCAAGATTTAAAGCAGATTTATTAACACATAGATAGATGTAGATGTAGATGCTAGTATGTAGTAAGTTGCTTCTTCCTGATTAATGGACCATTTTGCAAGATGTAAGCAACACTTGTCCAGAAACACTTCCTGTTTCAGTTTGCAAATGGTTCCTTTATTTCAAATGTAAAGAAAACATCTTAAAGATGTTTGTTTAACTTTTTGATTCAGTTCTATATGTTGTGTTGGTTGTATTTTATCCCAACATTTATGTAGTGTTAAAAAACTGAAACAGGAAGTGCTTCTGGATCAGTGTTGGTTACATCTCGCAAAATGGTCTATAGTTTAATATTCAATATCAAATTGAAATCTTATATAGAGTACTTTTTCTAAAGTTTGTTTATCATTGTGTTTCAAATTATTGTATTATCGCATTAAAACAGCTTTTGGTGCTGGATTGGCATTAAAACCGAATACTGAGATTGACTTCAAACGTCTGTGTTGTCTTTCTGTCCATGTGTTACTGTGTAATCGTCTGTCTTGATGTAACACAAGTGATCATTTCATGTCTGTTCTATCAGGAAGTATAAATACCTAATGTAAAATGTGTTTCCTTTATATAAAAAAACAGATTAAAGACTGCAGAATTTCTGGCTTTCTATTGTCTTTTACATTAGCTCTCCCCTCCATCCTTGACTTTAGGTGTTTGTGTGTGGGACTGCGTCCTACTAAGGTGTTTTTATTGTCGTTGTGCTGCTCAGGAACAGACGGGTGGAGAAGGTCAAGAGAGGAGGATGAGGAGGAGCTTCAGAAACGCAGACAGATTCAGGAGGAACATCTCAACAAGGTCAGGAACTGAAAGAAATGCAACACAGAGAGCAGCTCTAGAACGTGTTCCTGTTTAAATGGCTTCATGTTTCTGATCCCAGATCCAATCTGGTTTGGGGAAAATGATCCTTAAAGAGGAGAAGGAGAAAGAGAAGATCCGAGAGAGTCACGAACGGAGTCAATCGGCACAACGCTACGAGCATGGAAGCAGTAATGCTCCTCAGTACAATAGATTGCAAACTAGACATTCATGTTCTGACTTTTATTGAGGTAGTAAATCGAATGCAGGATTTGAATTTAAGGAATCAGGATTAATGGAATGAAATGCATACTACATATATTTCAAAATACATTTTAAAAGGAATAATATACACTCTCAGTAAAAAAAGGTACAAAAGCTGTCACTGGGGCTGTACCTTTACAAAAGGTAAACTTTTGTCCATTTTAGGTAATATGTACATTTCAGGTGCTAATATATACATTTTAAGTGTTGATATGTCCATTTCAGATACTAATATGTACATTTTAGGTGCTAATATTTACATTTCGGGTGCTAATATGTACATTTTAGGTGCTAATATTTACATTTTAAGTGTACATTTTAGGTGCTAATATGTACATTTTAAGTGTTGATATGTACATTTTAAGTGTTGATATGTACATTTCAGGTGCTAATATGTACATTTCAGGTGCTTATATGTACATTTTAAGTGTTGATATGTACATTTTAGGTGCTAATATGTACAGTTGATGTGTTAATGTGAACATTTTAGGTTCTAATATGTACATTTTAAGTGCTGATATGTACATTTTAGGCGCTAATATGTACCAATAAGGTACCAATATGCACCCTTTAGGTACAAAAGTGTACCCTTTGAAAAGGTACAGTCCCAGTGACAGCTTTTGTACCTTTTTTCAGAGAGTGTATATATACATTATTTACAGTATATATTATTGGACCTAATTTTTTCATGGTGAATGTATACTATGTTATTTCAATTGCAGATCAAAGTTCACCGTCTAAATCAGGCTCACTGCCTGGATACGGGCGGAATGGACTGCATCGGGTAAGATCCTTTCTTTTGAGGAATCTGTGGGACATTACTTAAAGGGGTACTTCAGGATTTAGCATTAAGCTCAGTTTGCATTAGTAGAAAACGTGTAGTATTTTCGAATTACCATGCTTTCCACCCTCATATCCCCCTGAGACGAGAGATTTATGTATTTTTTGTCTGGAAAAAATACTCTGATGATGCAAAATTCAGAAAAATACTACAGTAGTAGGGTCTGTCCCGCATGATCTCAACCCGCCCATAGAGGGTGGATCTCACTCACAGAATGAACACACAGTGTCATCCATCTTTTTTTGGAAGCTAAGCTAGCAGGCTCTTGTTCTGTGGAGAAAGCTGAGTAGTAGGGGTTACCATCCTCTTTCTCCTAGGGCAGCGAAGTAAGTGCATTCTGGGAGTTGTTGTCTTTCATCCACATGAGCCAAAAATACATTTTCTGGCTTTTCTCAGTGTAGAAAGCTCCAAATTCAAAAATAATTTCACTTTTCTTCTACATAAATGACCCATTTTAAATACACATTCATCTTTCCAGAGGTGAAGTATCCCTTTAATAATCACAATATAATATCATGTAATGTAATATATTGATTAAAGAGATACTACACTGTAAATTTATTAACTGTTAAAATGTATTTAAAGATGAAAAAAAATATTATTGGGAGTACTTTTTACAAGAAAATACTATTTCAGTTTGTGTGCTTTCATTGTGTTACAGTCTGAGATATTTATTAGCTGTTTCTGAGTTAAATATGAGTTAAATATATATACTATATATATATATATATTACAGTGTATTCAACCCATTTTTGTCTGTTTCTAATGTCTTTTTTGTTTTTCCTCCAGCCTCAGTCGACTGATTTTACACAGTACAACAGTTATGGGGACGTGTGCAGTGGGATGAGAGGTTCGTTTATCTGTCTCTTTATTTAATTTATCTTAAATTACATATCTGACCTTGGATCATGAAACCAGTCACACAAGTAGCACGGGTATATTTTTGGAAATAGCCAACAATACTTTCGTTGTATGGGTCAAAATTATCATTTTTTCTTTTATGCCAAAAAGCATTAGGATATTAAGTAAAGATCATGTTCCATGAGGATATTTTGTTAATTTCCTACTGTAAATATAGAAAACATTTATTTTTTGTGAGTGAATGCAGTAAATTCACTCAAAACTTTAAATGCAATGTTTAGATTTTTTCGACCCTCAGATTCCAGATATTCAAATAGTCGTATCTCGGCCAAATATTCCATACATCAATGGAAAGCTTATATATTCAGCTTTCAGATGATTTTTTTTTAACCCTCTGGGCTTCTTCGGTCAAAAATGACCGAAAACTGTTACGTTTTGAAATGTTTAATTTTTTTGCTTGATCGGATCGGGCTGAAACTTGGTGACTTTTGTTGTATTACCTATATGAACACACAAAAAAATCAAGGAGATGATTCTGATTTGTTAAAGGGTCGTAAAAAAAAAAAGAGTCACACTTAGCTTCCTCCCGGTCAAAAATGACCGACATAGGAAATGAATGGGAAATACGAAAAAATAGGAAAACTCAGAGAAACTTTTGGTGGTACAAGCTACAGATCAGCAACTCTGCAGAAAAAAAGTGTATACAGCAATGAAGGGGTGACACTCTAGAACATCAAGAGTGCAAATAAGACCCCCCCCCCCCCCCCCCACACACACACACACACACACACACACACACAAACACACACACATACACAGATGAACTGGCAAGACTGCACCAGCAAATTTGTAGAATATGAAAAATAAAATCAATAAATGAGAAAAAAATCTTGCTCAAATGTGCACTCACACACACACGCACACAGACATGAGAAATCATGTCTAAACCAACAAAAAGAATCAAAAAGCCTTTCTATGTATTTGAATAGGAAGCTATAGGCAGCCTACAGGCTGTACAGGACATTGCACATATGTAACTATTTTTTAAAGCCACTAGGTGGCGCTCTTCTACTAGAATTATTATTTTTTTATTAGCTGACACTCTATTTTGATGTGAAATGTTGTATTTATTGAAAAAAAATATATATAAAATAAAAATATGTATATTAATTCTAATGGAAAAAATAGCTCATAAAAATTATATAATTAATGCAAAGTATAATAAAAAATTCTAAAAATTCTAAATAATAATCAGAAAATATTATAGAACAAAAATATATTTGAATGGTTATCCTGGGAAGAAGTAAAGTTAAATTTTAAGGCTTCGTCCGTTTTTGACCGGGAGGAAGCTAAGTGTAACCCATTTACGAAGAAGCCCAGAGGGTTAAAAAATGACCCATGTGACTGGTTTTGTGGTCCAGGGTCACATATAGGAACATGTAATGAGAGCAAATAATAGTCAAATATGTATTGGTCAAAGTATTGGAAGTAGTACAAATGCATATTAATAATAAAGTTTTTCTCATATTGGTCATTTTAATGAATGAAAATAAAAACAAACCTTTTTACCTTTTTTATTTTCTTCTTAACAGAGTTTCAGGTACGTAGCTATAATTACCTCTTGGAATCACTCTTTTTTTCTCATTTATCCTTCTTGCTTTCTTATATTGCTAACTGATACAGGTATGTAAAATAGGGTACAACGGGGCCAAAGGCACACCTTAAGAAAAATGTGCTTTTCACTACTCTCATAGTGTATGATTGCAGAAAAAGATGTGTTTGTATTGAATATTTATGGAGCAACAGATTTTGTATGAAATAAATCATAAAAGTGGTTTATTTTGTTTACAAATCTTATAAAATATGAGGTGGCAAGGTGGGCCTATTACCCCAGCCCCCACATAATGCACACATGATATTATTTATACAAATATTTTAGCTAAAATAATGTTTTTAATAATGTCTAAGTCAATAATTGTTCAAAACAATCACTTTAGCAAAGTTTGTACTATTTTCTGTTTATTTTGATAAATTAAAGAATTCAGTTTTGTTAATAATATGGAAATATATTTTTAAAATTATAGAAACTAAATTATTTCATAAAGTAAACATTCTGAAAGCATTGAAGGAGATCATATAATAATTAAATGTAAACTTACAGTAGTTACAATACATTATATTTCATTATATATGACTAATATCTTATTTTTTAAAATATGTTGATTATCTCTAAGATGGACAGCCAACCTAATATATACAGATTGCATCAAGGATCAGCCAAAAATCAACTAGCATCTTGTTTTGGAAAGTGCTGCGGCAAGTTTTTGTGCAATCTAGTGGTTTAGAAGAATATAAAATCAAAACTTAGCCCTGTTGTACCCTATTCTTTAAAAATAATATCTTCTACATGCTCATACTCATTCAAACAACATTATGTGAACTAAAATTGAAAGAAACAGCTGTCATGGCTGTCATTAAAGTAGCTTCATGTTCTCACTCTGTCTATGATTTGTTTCTAGGCTATGCATGATGGCCACCGCACATCCACTAGAATGGACAGAGGAGTGTCTATGCCTAACATGCTGGAACCAAAAGCAAGTGTAACACATTAAACTAGCAAAACATTATCTGGTATTGAATATGAGTTCAATTATTACTGTAGGCATTGAACTTGGATGTAGGACGTACTTGGATGTAATGGTACTCTACAGCCCGTTCACACCAAGGACGATAGCTATAATGTTAAAGATGTAGACCTTATGTAGTCCCGCCCCTTTTCATCTTTGGCCTCATTGTGTTCTGTCTTCCGGTTTATATTTCATGAAGGTAAGATCTTATGGATTTATGAACCTCTGAATTGGGACACAGTTGGAATCATTTTCACAAGGACTTTTTTCTAGAAATTCATTGAGCATTTCAAGCGGCAGAAGGCAAAACTGCAGAGCGTGATTACAATAAACAGAACATTATTGTGGGCGCTAATAGAGTTATCTTCATAGTTATCATTCTTGGTGTGGACAGGCCTTTGTGCTTTCCTGATTTATTTGACCCTAGACTACATTTCAAACAATTAAAACGTGTTTGTGCATTTTTGTACTGATTGAGATGTCTTTTAAAGGTATATCCATATGAAATGCTGAAGATAACCAGCCGCGGTCGCTCCAAACTGCCCAGAGATGTGGACAGGACCCGACTAGAGGTAATTGCTCACAGATTATGTATCATAAAACACCGCATTATGATATAATTAAGATGCTCTGGGGGATTTTTATACTTTATTATTCATTTTCACCTGCATTTCTAGCGCCACCTGTCTCCAGAGATGTTCTTTGAAATCTTTGGGATGGAAATGAAGGAATTCGACAGGTTACCTCTGTGGAAACGCAATGAACTGAAGAAGAAAGCCAAACTCTTCTAACCAGGATGCACAACATCTACACACACTCACATGATGTATCATACAGCTGTTTGCTAATCTTCTGTTGTTTCTTGCTAAAACTATAGCCAGAAGACAGTTCCATTCTGCAATATTATCATATGATGTCAGTTTGTAATAAACGGAGGGTCCAAGCATTTCAGATATATCTCCAAAATTCGCAACACTTTGTTCTCTTTGTCTCTGTTGTTTTAGTTTTCCCTCTTTCAGAAATGAGTCTTTGTCTTTTTGTTCTTTGTTCCTCTTGCATATCTTGGAAAATCATGTTCATGCAGGTCTGACCATTTGCAGTCATAATCCATTTAATTCAGTGTTCCAGTAAAGACTCCTCTGTTTGCGTCACTTTTTTTTTTTTCAGGGAGGGATTGTAGATGCTACACTGTGTGGGTGTCTGTGTCTTTGTACCTGTTATGCATTTAAAGAAATGTAATCCATAGCACATATCCATGTATTCACCCTTTACTACTGTATCAGCCTCTAAAGCATCTGTAAAATTAAAGGTGAAGCGTGTAATTTCTGGGTCAATAGCGGGACCAAACGTAATTGGGGGAAAATGGACAGCTATCAGGGAATGTTCTGGCAAGGTTCTCTCAAAGTTATGAACAAACATCCTTCTGAGATATGTTCTTTCAAAGTTATCTGGTCTTTAATGATGCTATTAAATCATTAGCACAAAAAAATATTTATACATACTGCCCTACAAAGCAAAAAGGCAGTAACTACGCAGAGTGCAGAACTGAGAAAAATGACTTTTGCTAGGACTTTTTGCAGTTACTGTACAAACGACTACCATTTTTCTCTAAAACGACACGCATTTAAGATAAGATGTTTTGTCATATAACAAAGGATGCCTTGAATGTCATAAAAATTGTAATAATTAATGCTTTACCAAAACTGCAGTTACTGCCTTTTTGCTTTGTAGGGCAGCATATTCCTTTAATGTTTTCTCTAACGCTCACATTTAAAAAAAAAAAAACTGAGAGCATTCAAAAATAACGTTTTCATAACTAAATCGGAACGTTAGCAAAACTTTCTTGGAACATATTTTGTGCTTCTCAATATCTTTTTCATTTGATGCCACTAGTGGTGCAGAAGTGACACATTTCACCTATAAGCTTTCTGAAGCTAATTTAACTGTTGAATCAATGCTGATGTCCCTATATATTGTACATTTAAATAATAGAATACAAATTTAAGGTAAAAATGAACTGGATTTGACTTTTCTTTTTAAGAGCTGATAGTCACTGCCAATTTATCGTATTTCAATTGTATTTCTAAAGTAAATGAAAATGTTTCAATGAGCAACTCTCAGTAAAACCAAAGGCAACAAGAGAACGGGCTGTAAAAGAGTTGTAGCTGTTTTTATTTTATTTCATCCTCATTAATCAAATCTGACGTAATGCACACTACAGTAGGCTACATAGGCTTAATGTGAAGCTCGTGCGTTGCATTATTAGCTGGACCAAATCAAGACGAATTCAGCTGAAAACATTCTCATTAAACACCATGATCAACAGCGACAAGTTTGAATAAAAGATGAGGAAATACATTATGTCTACTTTCGTCTCGTCTCTCTCATATTAGGAGTGGTTGTCAATGTTTATGAACCAGATTACTTTTTTTTTATAATTTTTAAAATTCAAATAGATACGGGATGACACTTTTTCACCATTTATAGTTTTAATAATATTTTTTATAAATTTCAACATCTCTACATTTTTTTTTTTCATTTGTCATTTCCATGATTTAAGCATATTAAAATTACCTTACATTTCCAGCTTTTCCATGAACAAGTTTGGGAAGAGTGCCGAACTGCAGCTTTTATTATCAGCATTAAACAATACTTTTATTTTGTGCAACATACAGTAGTACAGTGGTTTAAGGACCATTTACAGTGGTTTAAGGACCTACAGACATATAATGGCCATTACACAATAAACGAATATGAAAACACCCAATATACATAAACAAACACCTCAAATAATACTATCAAATGACTTCACTTTATAAATATACTTCTAATAAAACAAAAACAAATGAAAAGCAAGCAAAATAGTCCTTGGAGTTCCCGACCATCAGAACCATATAAATACGACCAATGTTTCCACTCGTACCCCTTTTGATGGTGCACCAGCTCACAGGACTCAGACGTATCAAACAAACAAACAAACAAACAAAAAGAACGGTAAGAATAAACTTAAACTAAACGTTAAAGAGTGTGCGCACTTAACTCCAAACTAAAGTTTTAATAAAGTTTATTAAACCAAAATAATGTTGTTGTGTATTCTTTACTGTAAACAAATTCTATTAAATAAAAACTCAAACTGACCTGACCCAGGCTCACCAACATCCACCACAGTCACGTAAGTTAGACGGGTCTTAACAGCTTTTAGTTACAGAGTTCAGGAACCGTTAACTGTGAACTAAATTAATTCTTATTACTGGTAGAGTTAACTTACCTGGTACCGGACATTTTCTCACCGGTTCCCAACATGCAAACATCTGATGTAGGCTAGCCTACTGCGCACACATCTGTGCAAGCGTTACATTATCTCATCCCATCACCAACAGTTTAATACTCGCACATCCAAACGTAGACAGAAAACGGCCTCATCTTCTTTCTGATTGCTTGAACGTTACGAAACAGTCGCTGTCATAAATCAGCAGCTCATGAATTGCCATTGCCGCCAATTGTCCACTTTGTATTCAAATATCTTTTCTTTTTCTCATCCTCGTTTGTTTTAGCTGGCCTCAATTGACCCCAGTAAAGTGCCGCCACATTTTAGCTAAAGTCCAACGCAATGGCGGACTTTGTTGAGATTAACAGTGTTACCTGCCAATAGCAAAATTCACCCGCATTTGGTGGTCTGGTGTTAATTTCAGGCCCTGGTAGTGTATAATGTTGATACTGAATTTCTCCTCTAGAGGGCCACAGTGTCGCATTGTGTGTTTGCTGGTGTCACTACACATATAAAGCTCTGTCCGTCTGTCTTATAAAAGTGTGCAAAATCCACAAAGAATGATTGTTCCTCTGTCTTAAATCAGTGGATCTGCCTTTGACCTTGATATAAAATACAAATTCAATAATGAATGAATGGGGATGGTAAATCACAACTCATAAAACTGCCACAAAGGTCAGCATAGACTGTAAACGTATAAATCACCATTAGCTGAAGTGACCAGAATTATGTATTTTAAAACGGACGCATTTCACTTTCAAAAACCCCATCACAACGGGATCTTGTGATGATGTTTCAGCAAACAGTCCAACCCATTACATATATTTATCTTGGATTATATTTTGCAATATTACCCGCGAATGACGGTTCGTGCTAATAGATGTTTAGCAAGCAAAGCATTATGATGGGAGAAACTTGGCATGCAGCTTCACAGCTTTCCAGACCATAAACACGCGTGTTTTTAGTCATGGTGGGGAATTTCCATCGACTTCAGTTGTTTTAACAATAAGCCAGGGATTAAACCCTCACAGAAATCGCAAAAATTAGCATGTATTTTAAGCAAATTTCAGGTTACTTAATATTAGGCCTATGTAACAGACGTAGGCAAAACCTGACGCAGAGACGCTCTCTCATGTCAATGCTGTGTATTAATGACATAAGAGAGTGTGTGTGTGTGTGTGTGTGTGTGTGTGTGTGTGTGTGTGTGTGTGGTGCCAGACAGCGATCAATTCTGTGCCTCCTGTGTGTCTTTGTAGGTTGGGCAATAAACAGACTGTCTTTAATTAAACTCGGGCTGACCAACAGGGAATGTAAGTAATAACCCTTAGCAAATATAGCCTATTTTTTGTTAGCCTCTCTCTCTCTCTCTCTCTCTCTCTCTCTCTCTCTCACACACACCTAAAGTGAACATACTCCATTCAAGATGACAGATGAAATAATGATAAATACAATTATTTTAATAGGCTACATTACATATTTTGCTCTCTGTAAATGTTAAATAGCTTAGCAACTCTTAAAATCAACTGTGATGTGATGAGTCTCAAGCACTATTTTGCTGCCAATGTAGACTGTTCCACTTCCGTGTGTGTGCGTTAGTCTGTCTGTCTGTCTGGGTAGCTGGAAGGTATGTATGTGTTGTGTGTTATCTGTCAAATGTTGACCTGGATTAGCAGGACAGAGCAAACAGATCATAAAAAGTCATAAAGATGGTGTTTATTGTCCAGAGCAAACCAGATTCACAGACACCTCTCATGTGCACTCATTCTGTTGTGTTTCTGAATCTGAATATCTGCTTATATGTGTTGCTTATTTATAGCCTATATTATTTATATGGATATGCAGATGCACTACTGTAGAATTCCTCTATATTTATTAATACACATCTCTCTCGTGTTTTTCCAACTCTTTTGTATGCAGTGAATTGTGAACCTGCATTGACCTTAGTTCAGGTGTGATCTGGAGATGGTTCGATAAACATGAGCTTCAATCAGACATTGGCTTTGCTCAGAATACTAATTCTAAAGTATATAGTACGATATAAATTAGCTTACGACAGAGCACACTGTATCCCACAATGCAATGTGCTTGAAATCTCCATTGAGAGCGCATGTCATGATTGACATATTCCTCATTATTTGATCAGTAACTGACGGGTGTTAAAATATTATGCTAAATTAGATTCAATGCAAAATAACGTCAAAGCATATATGTTTAAAACGTTAGACACTTTTTGAACTGGTTTTGTGTCATATACCACAACATCATTAGACTGTCATCACTGCATTGTTAGTTTCGGAAGAAGAACTGACTGAGAAATCATCAACAGGTTTACGTAACATCACAAATCCACACGATTCATAAGAGACAAAAAAAGGGCCATGCCAATGAAACGTCAGTGCGTCATGTGAACTATTCACAGTCAGCGAGGCAGAAAGAGTTTCCTCTCGTTCGAGTCAGAACTCATGGAGCATAACCCATGTTCCCTAACTCCTCTATTCTCTATAATATTCATAACTCAAGTCTGTGAATGCTGACTGTATGTCCGGATGAGAATCCTATCGTCTCACTGAATGGGTCTTAACCTCAACACAGATGATCTGTTGTGTGTTTTTAACATATTCTCCTTTGACTGATGACTTTATGTCCTGTTTCTACTTGTTGACTTGTTTCCAGGTCTGAGATAAGAGTCCAGAAATGATTTCTGCCTGAAACCCATGATAGAAATGATCCAGTGTCACGCACAGGCCTGCGTTTAAAGGTAAAGCATATGTCATCTTGTTTTTATACAGTACAGATTGTTTTAAAGGAGCTTCAGTAATAAACAAGACCAAATGATCAATGATGCAAGCAGAATTGACAACATTGTCATTATATTCAGTTTAATTTAGTTCAGTGTTGATTCAGTTCATTTCAAAGCTCATCAATTCTGAAATGAGTTCAATTCATGACAACAGTGTACACTTTGAGTCAGTTCAATGTTGATTCAGTTCAGTTCAATAACAGTGTCGATGTTGCTAAATTAAACTTTGAATTTAATAAACCTATAGCCTGAATTTGGAGCAGGACTGGGATTTCTTCTGTTTGGTACCACTAGTGGTGCAGGAATGTCCCACTTTACTTTTAAGTGCGTGTGTAACGACGGTTTGTGAGTCACTGGAAGCGCTTGCAGAGCTGATTATCTCCAGAATGCCTGTCGCAGGTTGTGGTTTGTCAGTTGGCTTGTTTTCTCTCTGAGGGGGTGAAGAGCTGTCATGTTTGTCCTTTGCACCTCAGTGTGGGGTCATCTGATAACACTGCTTTGGTATGTGGCTGTGTGTTTAAGGAGCAGATGATGATAATGTGGCACTGCAGGAGAGATCCTTCTGACTGTGATCTAAAAGTCTAGTCATTTCTGTGAATTGTAACTCGATGAGAAGATTGCAGATTTGGACTTGAAATCAAGGAACAAAAAAAAATTTAAATCAGGAAAAAGTTATTTATTATCCAGTCTTGCCCAGTCCCAGTTTCCAGTTCTGTTTCCACATTTTTTTTTCCAGTCCCTTTAATATTTTGTAATCATAAAGGACACCCTAAATTGATCAAAAGTGCCAGTAAAGACATCATCACAGGAGTGAACCTTTTAAAACCTTTTTATTTTAATATATATATATATATATATATATATTTTAAACTATATAGTTTTAAAATTATATTTTAATATATATATATATATATATATATATATATATATATATATATATATATATATATATATATATATATGTACACATATTAAAATATAATTTTAAAACTATATATATTCAATATTTTTTAAATCAAAAGTGTTTTTACTTTTTTTTTATCAAATGTGCAGCCTTGGAGAGCATGAAAGATGTCTTTTACACTTAAAAACAATCTTACCGACCCCTTTTGAATGGTACCTTGTATAACTATGTTGTTAGTACTACATATAACTTTGTTAGTACTTGTTATTTATATAAGTTTGTTAGTACATGTTATTTTGTTAGTACTTCATATAACATTTTCTTTCCCGTAATGTGGCATTAAAATAGACTTTCTTACTCTTTTTTTTTCTTTTTCAAACCACACTGCCAATAACATTTAACAATTACTGTGAAAAAAGGCAATAAATTGTCTAATATAAAAAAATAATACAATAATATAGTTGTACAGATAATGAAGAGAGGTACTGTGTTCACTGGATGATTGCAGGTTTTTCTGTGCAGAATATTGAAAGATGGAAACAACACATTATAAAATATTAGACTGCACTTTCTTCTTTCTTCTTTTAAGTGCTATCGATTATTCTGAATGTGGAAGATGCAAACAGCTGCTTACACAAATGAAATTTCTTGTATTGATTTTTATCTGATGTCCATGATTGGACTTTTATTGCTGTTTTAAATTACGGCATCTTTAATTAGTGAGACTGGACCAAGGGTCACCTGTAAAACAAGAGGGTTATACGTTATGACACGAGAGATCATTTCCCTAGTAACCCAAACATGGTTAAGCCTCTATTCATGACTAAGACATCTGACAATAATATATCCTTCAGCCAGATGGGGTCACTTCTCTGGGTCCATATCTCTCAAGCCTAATTGAGCTCAACAATCCTTGCCCTTTAGCATTTAGGGATTGATATTTCCCTGCTAAAAAAGGCCACCGTATACTAGCATGAGGCCAGCACTAATAAGTTCACTTTATTTGAGTTTTGCTTTATAACACACTCACCGGCCACTTTATTAGGTACACCTTCCTTGGACCCACTTTTGCCTTCAGAACTGCCTTAATTCTTCTTGGCATGGATTCAACAAGGTGCTGGAAACATTTCTCAGAGATTTTGGTCCATATTGACATGATAGCATCGATCGCATAGGCCACATTTTAAAAGGCAATGTGAACAGCCAAACCAAAAATCGTATCTGAGCAGAAAAATCAGAATTGAGCATTAAGACTTGAGGTGGGAATGGCACCATTTACCATCTTTTTTGGTATTTAGCAGGACAAGTTACAACTATTGCAGATTACTATGGTAGCTGCACACAAACTCATCCGTGCATTAAGACAGATAGTTTTCACATAATCAGATTGAAGAGGTCTCTTAAAAACTGAAGAATCAATCAACTGAGAGAAATACATGTCCACTAGTCACTGATCCCTTGCTGTTTCCACTTAGAATGGTATTCATCTCTGCAATCATCTCTGTTTATCTTTCCTGGATGAAAACGTTAGCAGGCAGTTAGCGGCCAGTTTAAAGCTAGGTGAGAGGTGTATTCTGTAAAGAGCTGTGGTTGATTTAATGAGTGTTTTTGCTTGTGTCTACACCACTGCTGCCATTTAAAACCGATCTCATTAACGGATTGTTACCTATGTATGGTAGCTAATGCTCCTGACACGTTGAGCTACAGGATATCTCACCTCAAGATGAGCATTTATTCTAAATCAGGCCAGATTAAAGCAAGCATGTACAGGATTGTGCATCGTCGGATATAAATAAACTGTACTATAGTGACCAAATCCACTAAAACTATTAGGTTACTAGCTTGGTGCACTGATTACTTTGCAAACATTTTCAGTGTAGAAAAAAGTCAAATCAAACCTTAAAATACAAAAAAAACCAAAAAAAAACTTGTTTTTCTGTTTAAGCAAGATAAATGTACTTTAGAAGCAACACTGCATAGTTTTCTGATTGTATTGTGTCTTACTTCACTCTCATGCAATGTTTACTCATTTTTTACTTTTTTATTTTTAAAAATTCTTACTTTTTAATGCTATTTTTAAACTAATTTTATGCTATTGCAGTAAGAGAATACACTGTAAAAAATTCAAAATTGGAAAGGTTTAGGGTCAGGGTAGATTTTATATTATACAAGGAAGGTAACATTTGTTACATGGTGTTTCTTTTGTAATTATTTGTGAATATTAACTAGCAGTTTCTGAGTGAAAAGTGTTTCAAAGTAAATCTTACACTATTTTTTCTATTTCATTGTACACTCATGTTTAAATAAATTAAAATTAATTCAATAAAGTTCCATTTAAATGAGCTAAAATTACATTTATTTTAAAGTCCTTACTGTGTATCTTATGCAATGTTTATTTTCAAGTAAATGCATTTTGTTTCAAGGATTTTTAGATAGTTATATATTATATATAATATGTAGGCCTAATGATTTAAAAAAGTTGGTAAAAACTGGTATTCTGTTTTATCGATAACCCTAAATTGGGTTAAAACAACCCAGCATTTTTTACAGTGTACAACTCTAAACAATGCTGGGTTGTTTAACCCCAAATTAGGTTAAACATGGACAAACCCAAATGTTGGGTTAAAAATGTAATTTAAAAATTTAACCCAACTTTAACTTTCAACTGTACATTTTTTAATTACATTTTTAAACCAACATTTGGGTTTGTCCATATTTGACCCAAATTTGTGTTGAAATTACCCAGCATTTTTTAGAGTCTAATGAGGAAATATAGAGCAAAATTTGTCCTAAATGTTAACATGTCACAAAATTGCTTATTCCTCGATCTAGATTCTGGTCTGCTCACACCTAATTCTCAGCCTTCTTTATACTTTTAGGCTAGACTGTATTAGCCTTTAGCACTCTGTAAATGTGCTCCATTGTGGGTTACCGTGGAGAATGTGCCTTATGGTGCAGGAAGTGAGGGGATTTGTCCTCTGGCTGTTTGGACAGGGGTTCCCACTGAGGGGACAAGCTGTGATTCCAAACACCTTTTGAATAAAAGCTTCAGTGCACTCACAAAGGCGAGAGTTGAAGCGTAGTGCCATGCTTAGATTCACTGTAACATGTAAATGCAGTGCCTACAATCTGAGGAAAACTAAGTTCTTTGTTCAGTAGAAATTTATGAATGCCAAATGTCTCAGTGAATGACTTTGTAACCTAATGTGAACTACTGCGCTTCATATGCATGCGAGAACAAAGCTGTTCATGAATACGGATGTCACAATGAACAAAATACTGTCTCCCTTCTTACCTTTGAATATTAAGGAAAAGGAATAGTGAGATTTTAGCATCACTGTTTCCCTTATACACCAACATCCAGCAGATGGAATAGCAATAACAGTGAGGTTAATCAGCTGTCAGTCTCTTTCTGGCCTGTTTTTACTATAGCTCTAATGACTTTTACAGTAAGAACTGTGGAACCTTAAAGCAATTGCATGCAACGCTCTCACCATTGTGTCTGTACCTGCTTATATATTTGATGTAAGAATATGCCAGATGTATGAAATTGAAATGTGAAAGAGACATTCATACATGGACCTAAGAGTTTGGGGAAATATTATATAATAATATTTTTTATTTGAACAAAAAATTAAATCAAGACTTTTTTGCTATGCCTTTTAAGTGGAGTGTTTTATTTTTAGCTTAAATATGAAAATCACTTATAATAATATGGATGTTGATGATCTAAACTTTAACTATAACTTTCTAAAATCAATTAAATTACGCAAAATTCTACATAAGAAATAAATAAAAAATTAAGTTTCTTTTAATTTGTTTATATTTTTATTTGTTTAGTATACGTTGTATTTATTACTATTAATAATATTATTATTACAATTGTGCACTTTGATTTATGTTTAAGTAGATTTTTTTAATCATGTCTCATCATTTATTTTTTGTTTTTCAAATGCTTTGAGATTGTATTATTTTCCCTGTGACCAGACCCTTTTCTATAGCTTAAAATATGAAAATCATCAATATTTAGAATGTTTAAAAGGTTATGATCTCAACTGTGAAAGTAGCAAATGTCAAATTATTTAAAATATGCAAAATTATGCAAAAAAGTGTATTTATAGTGAACATAAAAAATACTAGCTTTGAAATTAGCCATAGCAAGACAAGAAGTTGAGCTTTTTCAATTAATATTAAAAATGTGCTCAAGTTCATCACAAAGATTTGAGATGTGACTTAACATTGTTCATGGTATTTAGGGGAAAACAGCAAAAATGTGTTCTGCAAAAATTAAACAAATAAAAAAACCTAGTTAGAGTGTGAAAAGTGAAAAAGAGTAGACTTTAAGTCCACAGTGCCAAAAGTAAAGTACCTATTGTTGCAATGCTGTGTCTGATTACCATCATAAAACAGGATTTCTGCATTATATATTTGCATCTACACACCTGTCTGCTCATTCTGCACGTCTTTACACTCCACTTCAGTCAAGCAAGACTTTTTCTGTCGTCTGCACACAACCTCCACCTCACAGATGAAACAACACCGTCTACAAGTATAGAGAGGTTTTAAGTTGTACATAGTTGTAGACATCAATTTTCATTGACTGATACATCAAACAAGCCTCATCAATCAAGTCATTTTTGTTATCCATCCATCAGTGCTTGAGTGCTTGTATCCACGTGTGTGTGTGTGACAGGCTGTGACCCTACAATGGAAACCCATGTTGAGAAAGACTGCAGGAAGTTGATGAATGAGTGACCCTGTGACCCGAACTCCCACTACACCCTGCAGGTACTAGTCTGAGGTCATCACACGACTTTACAGCCAAACCCCACCCTATGAGGTCAGTGGTCTTTACCCTCGACAGAGTTCCCTCCGCAGGGCAGGTGTACGTCTGAAATGCACTTGATGTGAAACTCTCTATGGACTTCAGTCAGAGTAGAAACCATGTTTCATTTCAATTACATAAGGCTGTGGGTCTCTCATTGAGTACGGATGAAGTTTAAAACACTTTTTTCAATCAGTTTTAACAATATTAAATCTTCAGAAGCTATGCATATCTTAAACGAAGTTGTAGGCCAATATTATGTTCCATACCCAATTCACAATTTTGTTTTCTCTTTTTGTAAGAATTAGGACAAGAAAAAACTATGCTAAGAAAAAGAAAACTTGGTGACACTTTACAATAAGGTTCATTAGTTAACTACATTAGTTAACATGTACAATATGTGAACAATACTTCTTCAGCATTTATTAATCTTCTTAGTTAATATTAATTGCAACATTTACTAATACGTTATTAAAATCAACGGTTGTATTAGTTAACATTAGTTAATGGACTGTGAACTAACATGAAGGCACAATGAACAGCTGTATTTGTATTAACTAACATTAACAAAGATTAATAAACACTGTAACTAATGCATTGCTCATTGTTAGTTAATGCATTTACTAATGTTAACTCATGAACCTTATTGTAAAGTGTTACCGAAAACTTCCACTTACAAACATAAATGTTTTTACTTATTGATCTTGTTTTAAGGATATTTTTCCAGCACAGTCTCATCCCAAGTCGTCATATAACTGACGTTTTGGGACGTCTTTTGACCATACGTCAATATCCGCCTTTTTAGGGCCCCCTTAAACGTCGGTAGATGAGGTAATCGGATCCTAAATCTACCCCAGACCTAAACCTAACCCTAAACCTAACTGACGTTAAAGGTAAAGCGTCAGTTGTATGACGACGTTTAAGGGGCCCTAAAAAGGCAGATATTGACGTATGGTCAAAAGACGTCAGTTATATGACGACTTGGGATGAGACTGTGTTGATTTTTCCTGGTAAACGAAATAAAAACACTAAAAAAAGACTTTTGATAAAGTAAATTTGACCTAGAAGCTTACTCAAATTAAATCTGCATTAAATAGGCATATCCTGACTAAAGTCTATTAAAGGATCAAATAAGTATATTGTACATACGTGCGTGCTGTGCTGTCGGATAGACTGACGTGATTCTGAAACACAGACGTATGACCTGATGTGCCCTTCGCCCTCAGGATGTACCACAGTTTTGACCCCTGACCGGTTTCTATTACTCTCGGAGATAGTTTCCTCAGATGAGTCACCTGCTGTCTGGACCGTCGTCTGACTGACCACTAAACACTAATGGAGGGTGAGTACAGGTGAGAACAGGACATGCAATAAAGCTGTGGAGGAAATGACTACTCTTACCAGCGTTTTACATGATAACGCTAGTGTTCAGAAAATACCTGGGCTGCCTTTCTGTTGTTGATGTGCTACTCTAGTAGCTGTATTTTCCACATTCATTCATTTACAAATACCATACGAAGAGTTCAGATGCAAAAGCCTCAAGTGCCATTTGAAATTTTCTCCTAGAATGATGATTTTTATCAAGCTTGTATATTTAAGTTCAGTAATTTCACTTAAATGACAATTAATAGGTAATCTTCATTGCAATTTAAGTGAAATTACTGAACTTAAATATTAGGGTTGGGTATCGAGAATCTAGTATCGATTGGAACCGGACTTTTCGTTTTTCCCGTAATCGTTCAAAAGTTCAAATTTCGATTCCTAGTTTCGATATTCACAGTCCGCCGAGCTGAAGAAGAAACCGCTGAACAACACCAACGAAGAAGCGTCTACCGGAAGTGTTGTTATAACCGCGCGAGTCGAACATGAGTAGCTTACGTCAGCGGTCCAAGGACCAAATTGTGGCTTCACTTATCTAAAAATAACGACATCTCGGCAAAATGCTAAATTTGTGACAAAAGGAATATTTGTGACAGAAGGAGTATTTCCTTCAGAAAGGATTATTTCCTTCAGAAAGACCGTTGGTTAGCATGGTTAGCTAAACTTTTTTGACCCTGCCTCTTAAAAGAATCGGAATCGAGAATCGTTAGGAACCGGAATCGAAACAAGGAATCTGAATCGGAATCAGAATCGTTCAAATTCAAACGATACCCAACCCTATTAAATATACAGGCTTGATTCAAATGATCATTCTAGAAGAAAATTTCAAATGGCACTTAGAGGCTTTTGCATATGAACTCTTCATACATTCAATTATTTTTGGTTTGACTACAAACGTTATTTTGGATCTGTTCTTTCTCTTGTTTGATCTAATTTAATTTGGGTTTTGTTAACTAATTATGTTTTGGTTTTCTGAATGAATATCCCCACATGAAGATGTCTTCAATGTTGGGTGAATTTCTGGGTTTGAATTTGCTGCATGATGCTGAGCTCATGTTGATTTGTAGATGAATAGCATTATATATTTCAAAATGCCTGATTTATTGTCAATGCTATTGATTATGCCCATTGATATTCATTTTCCGATGACTCCAGCAGACTGAGTTTGGAGGAAGCCGCTGGCCTGATGCCAGGTCATGCTGTGGAGACGCTCTGACGCCATCCTGCTGAGATCCGGTAGGATTACTGTTTACATTGAGCTCCATGGGAAATGGCTTTCATTGAGGGTGTGTGTGCTACAATGCTAAGTCATACACACACACTGTAATCCAAGAGCCATTAACCGCTGCATGTGATGATGGATAGACTCTGTCTAATGAAGCATAATTGACTCCAGATGTGTGACTCAGCCGGTGTGTTTACTAACTGCTCACTCGCACAATCAGCAATACACAAAGAACAATGGCAATAAAGCTTCTGATGCATTCTTGCTAGATTGAAGACATTGTTGCATAATCATTTTGATAACACCTGAGTTTAACATTAATCAAGTGCAGGATATTCAAATCAACCTAATTATGCAGAATGGAAATATTAGTTACAATACAGGGGCCACAGAAAGTACTTTCTTATTTAATTAAAAGTTTTCGAATAACAAAATATCAAAATAAGTGGAATTTTACAATGAAATATAACACGATTAGACTTTTCTAGTAAAATATTTAGAAAATATTTTAATAATTTGAATCAATGGTTTCCAGATGTCAAATTAGTGACAATCAGGAATTTTTAAGTGTGACTTCAAAATCCACAAACAACAAAACACACTTTCTCTCATCCGTGGAAAACAAAAGAAGATATTATGAAAAGTGTCTGTTTTTTGTCCCTGAAATAAAAATGATCCTAGAAAAACAACAATCTTTACCACTTAAGTGGACGAACCTTTGAAACTTTGGGGGATAGAATATACAGTTTGTACAGTATTCAGTACGTCTAAGTCTCCATAATACATTTAAACTCAACATGTGTGTGTTGCTGTGAATTATACCTTTAAGTTAATTTCTAAAATCATAAATGCACAAGCCTTCTAATCAAACTGCATGGTGTAAGTTATACCATTGCTAATATGTATATAAACGTAAATGCCAACCCGATCTCACGACCAAGTCGTATGAATTCGACGAATGATTAAAAAGTGGCTAATTCGTAACAATTCATACGACCTCACTCATACGAATTTCTACGATTTTTGCTAAATCGTACATATTTTACGAATTGGCCAATTCGTATGAATTCGTACGAATGACCTACCCCTGACCCCGCCCCTAAACCTAACCATCACGTGGGTTTAGACAAATCGTACGAATTAGTACGAGTGAGGTCGTACGAATTAGTACGAATTAGACACTTTTTAATCATGCATCAAATTCGTACGAATTGGTCGTGAGATAGTGTTGTAAATGCATATGGAAATACCTAGTGAAGGTCTTGTTCATGAATGTCTTATCTGAGGGCCGAAATCTTGTACGTTTTATGGTCTGCTAATTTCAATGCGTGTCCTTATGTGTTAAGAGAACCTATTCCACAGCTGTTCTGCACCTGTTCATCTTCTTCAATAAACCTGTATTATAACCTTTGAGGATTCATTTCACTGCATCATAGATGGAGCAATAAAAACGTTTAACAACCCTTAAAGACATATGATATGGTAAGACAACGTGCATGCTTAGAAAGCTATGAAAGCAAACGATCGGAAAAGGGAAGTCCTGAAATGTTCCCTTGGGAGCATCAGTTCCAGTATTGACTAAGAGGAGCAGGCTTCAGTACGCTTAAAAAAGGAAACTGTTTGTTGCAGTATTCAAGTACTTGGGTAAACTCCAGTAAAAGTACAAGTATTTATTTGTAATATTACTTGAGTACAAGTAAAGTTACAAAAGTCTTCAAGCTTTATTTTTTTTTTTTTTTCATTTTTATTACCAAAACTTATCATACATTACTTATTATTATATTTATTATACACGTTCACAGCATATTTACACAGTTCACAAATAACAGAGAGTCATGATTTTCATTTGTAATAGTCAATACTAAAATTCAGCATTAGTAACTTACTTTTTACGTCATTCAAGCTCTATCCTGAGTTCATTTTGACCACATCATTTAATGCAATCAGATCAGTCAGATTTGTGATTTCTGAACCAATTCAACAGGTTCTTTGGAAAGAATTGTCTCATTCACGAATCGCACATTGCTTCATTTTGGCTGTAGTTTGCCATATCATTTTTGTTAGATAAATACCTTAATTTATCTAACAAAATGAGTCTTACAACTAATTTGTATAATTTGGCGTTTAATTCAGTATGAGAGCTGTTATTTTTAAGTTTCTATGAACTTCTTGTGTTTTAATGTTCTTGCTTTTTTTGTTATTGTTTTATTTTTGCTTTCCCATATATTTCAAATATTAGTTGAGCGTATTGGACTTGATCGGTACAATCCTGTCCTATGCTCAACTAATATATTTTTCCCTCATATTTAAAATTTTAAATATACATGTAAAATATTGTCCTCATATTTTGATGGTTTAAAGCTGCTGTAGGTAACTTTTGTTGCATTTTTGTTAAAACCATCATTATGTCCTGACAGTAGACTATTGCTGCGTCCCAATTCACATGCTATCCATCCTAAATAGTATTTGAAAATAGAATTACTACGTCCCAAATCGTAGTATGTTGAAATGAGTGTTACTTATACTTTTAGGACATAGTATAAGTATGCGATATATATATACACCAGTGTCTACACTGCCGGAAGACGAGGGAGACGCAAGGAAAGATATCATTACATTAAGGCCATCTAATGTCAGGGAATGAATTTTTACGTTCACTCGGATCATCATCAGCGAAAATCGTTTGGGTGTGAACACAAAAAACATGTTGAAAAACACTGGCGAATAACGCGCGCTGATATTCGTCCCGGTGTGTACGGGTTTCTAAAGTTTTCTCAAAACTCCGCACTGCCGCTTTATTCAAACTTGTAAGGTCATTAAAAACAACAACAAAAAAAAATCTCAACCTTTACGCAATACCTCAAAATGTTGCAAGTGTGAAAGATTGCTAACTTATATGAGTGATCGAACTTAAAATTTCTGCCTGTAAGACAGTAAAACATGCACCTAGAAACCAAAGACTGCCTAGCAACAACTTCTCAACAAGTTAACAACAACCCAGAGCACCTCAGAATTGTGGCTGCGGGTTTTGCACAGGCAAGCTACACCCGCATATAACTCGGATAAAACAAAAGTCTGATAATTATCATAATACCACAAAATTGTCTTCAAATCACAACAGAGTATTGCGAGAAAATCCTGTCTGAGCTGGATTAATGTGTAGCAGCAGATGTGATGCGTAATTCTAACGAGGTTTTGTTTTGAGGGGATGATGGGTGATTTGCCGGCATGTTTTGAATCTCCCACCCATGCAGCTCTTCAAGTCTTTCACGTGTTTTACTGACAACAGAGAACAAAGACGTCTTATCTGCTGCCAAGAGAGTGTGGATCGTCTTTATTTAACTCTCTCTGTCTCTCTCTTTCTCGCCGTTCTCATTTTGCAACTGCTGCAGCGTGTCGTTTTTTTAACATCCATCAATCAGCTGTCGCATGCCTCATGTCAACCAACACTGTGCTAATGGCAATGTCTTATGGGATTTTATGGCCAGAGCAAAGTATCCACAAAATGTTATCTCCTCAGGAATTTATGGGACATAATGAAAAAGTCAAATACAAACTTATCAATCTGTCTTCAAACACTCACTTCAGTGCAAAATGACATTAGCAAAGAAAAAGATGAACCGATAGGCTAGTGGAGGATGAAAACACATGCAATAAACTCATTAACTGAAGTCATGTAGTCTCTGAGCTGCCTGTCATACCTGCAGTTTTTCAATTTGTGTCTTCAAAGGAATTTGTTTTAGGCAAAATGAAATCATTATTTACTCACCCTCCAAATCAGTATGCTCATGCTGCCATGGTCACTACAATAACTAATTGTTGTTATATGGAAAAAGAGCTGTGTTTAATATTTATTTTCAAAATATTATTATTATGTATTCGTTATTTAGGGGCAGAAAAAACCTTCAACACCCATAATGCACCACAGGTCTGCTAAAAATAAGGTTACCAGAGTCAAATACTGCCTTGTTTTTGTAGGAAATGCTACTTGGCAAACTTTTAGTCATTATAGTGTCCACTTATTTTTCCCGGGTGCAATGCTTTGGTCTGGGTGTATTTCTTTTGCCACTTGCAAACAGAAATTTTGCAGATGGGTGACCATAGTGACATTAGACTTCTGCAGTGTTTTCTGTTTAGATCAGGATTTTATCATCATCAAAACATAATATTTTGACATTAAATATAGACAGCCATAGTGAATACAGTGGCCAAGAGTGATGGTCGGAGAGGGATATTTGTTTTTAATGATCATTCAAGTTTAAAACCATCTAAATATGAGGAAAATATTTTATGTTTTTTAAAATATGAGGGAAGAACAAAACATTAAACTTGGTTATGGTATTTATGTTAAAAATTATTGGGGGGGGGGGGGCAAACTACAGCTACAGGTTCTATTTTACTATGCAAAAAAAGGGCATAAAACAAAAGGCTTACAGGATCAGTTATTAATTTTGCATATGTTCGTAATTTCTTTGTATGATAGCTTGTCCAAAAAAATCCCACAAACTTTGTTTCATTGTGTTATCACAACTAAAACGATTGACTCCAAACACAACTTGATACAAAATAATTACAAAAAAAAAAAAAAAAAAACTCTATATAATAATATCTGAATAAAGAGTGAAAATGTGAAAAGACAACACTTTGGGTCACCGCTGCATATGAAGGGGGTAGTATGTTTTTTGCAAGCTTAAATAATGTATTAATTCAAAATTAGCTAAAAACGTATTGAAATATAATATGGTAAAATAAAAGACTATGCATTTCTGTATATAATCAGTCATAGAAATTCAATTTAAATTATTTTTGAATTAATTCAAAATTGGGCAAAGAAATTTTTGTGCAAGATTGATCACATTTCTCAAAAATAATGATAGATTCCTGAATTTATTTATTTCCCTGTCACACCACTTATTTTACTGTATAGCCTACCTTAGAAGTGAAATGTCATTTTAAATTACATATTGAAAAGGAAGTGACATCATTAACAAGTTCACATTAGCATAATATATTTTGTTTGTCACGCCCAATTGTCATCTCCAATTAACAGGGGAAAACATTTAAAAATATTCAATTAGGGGAAAGTCATGTCACAGCGTGATTGTTAACAGGATGAGCAGCAGCCATTTTCTGAAAAGTTGTGCCTTTGCTCTTTCAAAGTGCTTCTGTTTTGGGGAGTTGAGGTAATGACAGAAGTGGGATCCTAAACAGTGAGCAAGAGCCCAAAATCAGGGCATGTACCAACACGCTCCAGTTTTGGTAGGAAGATGCACTCATGCTGCACTCCTCCAGCGAGACACCGAAAACCAATTCTAGAGAGAGACCTGTGACCCAGAGGAGATGATGTTTTCCTCTATAACAAGCACTAAACACAGAACCCTACGTATACAATTTAATTGGATATTCCCTAAAGTTTGAGCAATGAGCTTGTAGGTCAGAATGTTTTGGTCCACTTATTCTTTGAAGGTGATAAATAGAATGTGCTATTTTCCCCCTTCGAGTAAACAGAGTAATGATGCTCAGTGGGGAGGACTCAGATTCAGCTCAAGCTGAGATGGCAGCTCTGAGAGCTTTTGGGGATGGCATAAGTTCTTTTTTATCATTGGTAGGGATGAAGTTTTGTTTCACAAACTTCATTTGCTGTTACCCATAACCATTTTTGTATCCTCTAAACTCGGAATTTGGCGTAAACAGAATGAGAACATGGATCCATCATGCCTTGTTACCACTGTGCAGGCTGGTGGTGCTGGTGTAATGGTGTGGGGGATGTTTTCTTGGCACACTTTAGGCCCCTTAGTGCCAATTGGGCATCGTTTAAATGCCACAGCCTACCTGAGCATTGTTTCTGACCATGTCCATCCCTTTATGGGCATCATGTCCCCATCCTCTGATGGCTACTTCCAGCAGGATAATGTCACAAAGCTCAAATCATTTCAAATTGGTTTCTTGATAAGTTCACTGTACTAAAATGGCCCCCACAGTCACCAGATCTCAATAGAGCATCTTTGGGATGTGGTGGAACGGGAGCTTCGTGCCCTGGATGTGCATCCCCAACCCGATCTCACGACCAAGTCGTACGAATTCGACGAATGATTAAAAAGTGGCTAATTCGTAACAATTCATACGACCTCACTCGTACGAATTAATACGATTTTGCTAAATCGTACATATTTTACGAATTGGCCAATTCGTACGAATGACCTACCCCTTACCCCGCCCCTAAACCTAACCATCACGTGGGTTTAGACAAATCGTACGAATTAGTACGAGTGAGGTCGTACGAATTAGTACGAATTAGCCACTTTTTAATCATGCGTCGAATTCGTACGAATCGGTCGTGAGATAGTGTTGGCATCCCACAAATCTCCATCAACAGCAAGATGCTATCCTATCAATATGGACCAACATTTCTAAAGAATGCTTTCAGTACCTTGTTGAATCAATGCCACGTATTCCACGTATTCTCTAAGGCAGTTCTGAAGGCGAAAGGGGGTCAAACACAGTATTATAACGGTGTTCCTATTCCTAATAATCCTTTAGGTGAGAGTAGCCTATTACACATGTTTATTTTCTCTCTTATGCTCACCAAGGCTGAATTTTTTTTATCAAAAACACAGAGAAAACTGTAATTTTGTAAAATATTAAAATTTTAAATAGCAAGTTTCAACTTTAATATATTTTAAAATGTAATTTATTTCTATGATAATAAAGCTTTGATAATTAAGATTTGCTCTCTCCATTTATTAAACCGAGACAAGCCATTAGATATTACTGAGTGATAATATTCCATTGAAAGAGACAAAAGTAAGGATTTCTTGGGATTTGTATAGATATTTCTGTACCATCCATGAATATTGCATTATCTAGGACCTTAATACAATACTTGTATTATTATTTTTAAAAAAAATGAGATAAAAAGAATGACTGACTGTGCATTATTCCATGAAGTCATGTTTGCAATCATTCCAAATTCACATTATTTTGTGAAAGTCAGAATTACAAATACAAAATGTCAATTGTATCTTAATTCCAACTATTTATTTTCACCAGAGAAGCTTTGTTCATAGGTGACAAGCCCCAAAGTCCATTAGGACTCGAGTTGTCTTTCATGCGGTCATCATAACAGCACTACCACTGGTTTTATGACTTGTGCCCGGGCAAACGCTCTCACACGTGCAGGAGGAGATACAGGAAGGGAGGAGAGAGGTGTCTGACTGAGGCACTTCTCCTCAAGAGAGATGAAAAGACACCTCCTGCTGAGTCTGAGCTTATTGTCTGCTGAAGTGTTGTGGATGTAACCGGGAGTGTTGAAGCTTCAATAAAAACAGTGTCTCTCTTTGTCAGGCATGACCTTAAAGATGCTTTTAAAAGCAAAAAATCTCTGTAGTTATCACTCCTTTACCCGAACTGTTGCTGCTTCAGTGGCACGTTCATTATTGTTGGGAAGTTTCAGAGGAAATCCTGACTGAAGCTTGAGAGGAAATCCTAATTGTTTCTCTTCAGTTCCCCATATTACCTCAGAGACCGTTCGAATTCATCAACCGGTGTGGAGCAGAATGATTTTGTTAAACCAGAGCTCTCTGGGGCATATCCTTTATTTCCTCCGAGTATTCGGTTATCTTGAGACCTTACGTGGTTAGGATGACAGGAAAGACCATCTGTTCTTCTGCAGGGTCTTTGATGTGGTCAACACCAGCACATAAACCTCATTTTAACACTAGGAGACCAGCCTTATCTGTTTCCCACAACAGCTGTGGAAAAGGCAAGAATCACTATTATTATTGCACATACTCAAGGATAAGGATTAAAACATGTCTAACTCTATGTATCAGACTTGGGTGTGTAGCTCATCCCATAGGAACAGGTATAGGAACAGCCAACTTAGCATCATGGCATGGCAATCACATTCTCTTCAGAAAATCTAAATATGTAGTTATTTCAACCCCAATGATATAAAAATTGGAGTTTTGTGTTTCTAATCCATTACTTTTGAGTTAATTTACAGTTTTCAGGTTTATTTGATGAATAGATTTAAAAGAACATCATTATGCATGTCTTTAATGTTGCTTTTGATCATTTTAATGCATCTTTGGGGAACGTTATAGGTGCATGCATTTTGAAAAGTAAACCACACGTTTTTTTTTTACTAAAGAAAATAGGCCGTAGATAATGATGACTCAGGTTGCACTCATGGGCATTTCAACATTTCTGGCCTATCAAATGGTCTCTAGAAAGATCTATCTGCCATTTTTTAAAATATGCAGAATTAAATGCTCAGATGGTATATTCACGTTTAATACATGTGAAAATTAAAATCCGATTTGACTAGATGTAACATAACATTTAAGACATTTTGAAGTTGTATGTGTTTATATGGAAAAATGCAAGCACGCCAGTCTTGTATCCTGTAGTATTTAAGCTTAACTTGACAATGGTGAGAGTATAAAATGTATAATCTTATATGTTAAATACATGGATTCCTGACTAGACAGTTCCCAGGGAGTGAGCTGGGATTATGGGTGATCCTGGGAAGTAATCTGACCACTACTACTGAACATTGGCATGAGAATAGAGCTGGTTAGTTAATCCATTTCCTGTTATTCTTAAAAGGCTTAAAGGAAGTGGTGGAGAAACATCTGGAGGTTGTTTGGAGCTCCTTCCAGGGCAGTAAGAGGGTTAGGAGCCTGGGACGGACACCACCTGTCTGGAGCTGTTGACAACGGAGGATGTGCTCTGACATAATACTCAGCTTCCTCACTACAGGCAAGGAAAGAGGAACACAACATGCATGCATCCATCCATCCACATAAACATTGCATCTTTCAACATTGCACCATTAAACAATACCCTGTTAGTGAGAGCCACTGTGCATGTGTTTGTGTTGGTGACAACCGTTGACATTCGTGTTGTTATAATGATTACCAAAAAAAAAAAAAATGTTGCCTCATCCCAGAGTTTTACAGTAAGGCACAATCTATGTATATGGCCACATTGAACACAGAAATGTTCACTGTTTCAAAAGTGCAGACATGATAAATGATCATAAATGTTAAATGTGTTTTGAGACTATAGAGAGTTACACTTTTGAAAATAAAGGTGCTTTAACATCCACGGAATCATCCCATTGCGGACAACAGGACAATTTTCTCTGAAAACACATTTTTTCCTCTCCATTTTGGCCTTCCGTCCTCACGTAGATGGCATTTTTGTCAACATAGACGGAGCTTTTTGAAAACAGCAAAATTGGGGTATTCAAAAACGATGACATGTTTAGTCATGTGATACATATTCTACCTATAGATATCTATGCTTGTACTGCCGTTGTTGTACCTACTATTTACTTTCATTGTGTTGCTAAAGATAAATGTTCCTTTTTTTAGAATCTGCATTTTGCATTCCTGAGAAGATGACCGAAAATGTTCTTGCAATTGCTATCCTACAGCAAAATTGCAATTTAGACCATACGGTTTTGAATGCAACCTGGTTAGCGGTGGGATGTTTTGCTAATCATGCCAGAAGAATATCGTGAGAAGTTTATTGTTGTTCTCTCGGTATCATCTTGTGAGATTTGATTATGTTTTATGAATGTTAAAGCATTTTCAGTTTCAGTGTGGATGAGCAACATTTGGAAAACACTTTGGAAAGCATTTTGAAACAAAAACACTGTTTTTAAATATTTCCGGATAGATGTAGCCTTATGAGAGTGTAGAAAAAGACTATTTAAACTCAACTCAAAAATTCAACTCTATCTCACGACCAATTCGGACGAATTTGTATGAGTGATTAAAAGGTAGCTAATTCATAAGAATTCGTATGACCTCTCGTGTACGATTTTGTACTATTTGTCTAACCACGTGATGGGTAGGTTTAGGAGCGGGGTCAGGGGTAGGTCATTCATACGAATTGAGCAACTCGTAAAATATGTGCGATTTAGCAAAAATTCGAAAAAAAACGATTTTCGATTTAGCCACCTCGTAAAATTCGTTCAAATTGCCATGAGATCAGGTTGGAAGTTCATCTGCTAGAAAAGTAGCCACATCTCAAAAGGGGATTTAGACAACGTTCCAGCTCAAAAAAAATAAACTTCACATTTCTTCTTTTGAACCCACTGGAATGCTGGTCCCTGTTAACTTCCATTGTACATAAATATAGCCTTGATTTTCGCTTTAAAAGATGCAATTTATATGGGAACTGATCAAATGCTGTCAATAGAGTTTAAATTGTACTTGTAACATTCCTATAAGAGCCTGAGAGAACAACAAGCAGTGTATTTAATCGCATTTACCATCATTGCTCTTTATAAGCAAACACAGCACGACTTAATTTTTTAGTAAAAATTTTCTCACAGTGTCCTTTCTTGTGTCTTGTCTCTCCCTAACCTCAGCCCCCATCCTCTGGCATCACACAATCGATCCCACACACAAACACACACTCGGGGGGAGGGGCGGTCGTACCCTTTGTCCTTCTGGTTACTGTACATATGAATGGACGCAGGCCAGGACAGGAACCCCTGAACTCATGAATGTGAATAGAGTCAGGACACCAGCCTGATGAGCAGGTCTGGCTATTAGAAGTGTGTATGTGCGTCTGTGTAGTAAGGAAATGAGCACTCTGTGGTCAGCTTTCTACAGTGATTACATTACATTACTTTGCGGCCATAAACACTGCCAATCAAAATGTATGTTTCATGATCATGTTTTTTTTGTGTACGATTTTTGATCACTAAATAACCAACGGATTCTCATCCCAAGGCGTCATATACGAGGCTTTTGCCAAAGCGTAGACAGCCAACGCACATGGCACCCTTTAGCGTCAATATAACACGCTTCGGTTATGGGTAGGTTTAGGTCTGGGGTAGGGTTAGGGTTAGACCACTAGGAGGCGCCTTCTGTCCCATATATATCTGCGTCTCATATTGACGCTAAAGGGTGCCATGTGCGTTGGATGTCTACGGCAAAACCGCTTTTTGACAAAAGCGTCGTATATGACGCCTTGGGATGAGAACGGGCTGAAATAGTCAGTTAGTCAGTTAAACGTCACACATAGGCTCACTATTGGCCGACGCTGGTCGTGTGTGACGTACAACAACAGATCATACGCTGTGAAACTGGAGGCCCAGAGATAAAGAAATTCATAGTTGAAATAAAGTCGTTATTTATGTTTGTTTTGCGCACAAAAAGTGTTCTCGTTGCTTTATAAATTTAAGATTGAGCCACTTGGACTATTTTAACGATGTCTTTAATAACTTTTCGAGGCCGGCAAGTTTCAATCCCTCAAGAAGCCTATGGACTAGTATGGACGAGTGATCCAGCCCTCAGATTTCATCAAGATATCTTAATTCATGTTCCAAAGATAAACGAAGGTCTTACGGGGTTGGAACAACATGGGGGTGAGTAAATACTGACAGAATTTTCATTTTTGGGTGAACTATCCCTTTAAAATATTGAATCCATGGCTAAATTAGACTTAAAACACAAAGGCTTTGGCAGGTTTAGCATGTGTATGCGTGTTAGTTTTCAGAGAGGTCACCTAAAGCGTTCTCATTGTCAACACATTCAATACAAACCTTATTTCAGACCCCTCTTCTTGGAAATGCATCTACGTATGAAAAGGTTTTCAGAACTGTATGAAAATGTCTTCTTGTTAAGCTTTGCTGCAGAACAACAATGACCAAGTTTCATGCTCTGTGCATGCACCAAATTACAGAGAGACTTGTAGCATTGCTAGAGGGGGACATCTGTTGAACAGGGGGACAGCTCAGTGAATTGTGACACAGATGACAGTGGGCAGCCGTGTGTTTGGACTGAGGATTACCTCATCACTAAAAGAAAGCAGAGACCCTTGCATCCCCCTATCCTCTCTGCTTTTCTCCCTCCCTCCATCCTGGCTTTAATTATCACCCGTCTGTTGGATGGCCACTGTTCCTTTGTGGTTTCTCTCTATCTCTCATCCCCCATTAAAAACCCTGTTTCACTTGTCTGTCACATTAACATTGCATTAGAGATGTGACATTGACAAAGAGCAGTTAGAAGCACCCTTAGTATCAGCAAATAGTGATGCCAAATACAGTGGTTCCGATCTAGGAAACAGATGTTGTTTTGGATTATATTTGGCAGTTGTTTTAAGCATTGTGCATCTCTATCCAACTATTGTATGGTATCAGTTTGAGTATCAAAATCACCTCTAAGGAATCATTCTTCATGTTGAAACCACCGAGTCATCCATGTGGATAAATCTTTCAAAGGCTGTCCAGGTCAGAGGAGGCTGGAGTCCCAGTGGGTGTTGATTGTGCATGGAGGACTTGAGCCATAATGAGATCCCTAATAACAGCAGTAACCCTTCAGAGTAATATGCCTCCTGTGGATAACCAAAATACACAACTACTCCAGCCGTCTGTCTGTTTCTTCATCTTTTGTCCTGCTTGTCTAACTTCCCTTAGATTTGTTTTTCATGCCATACACCTATCTTTATTCTGGCTTCTCTTTCTCTCTCTCTACCAAGCATCTTCCTGATGTGTATTGATCCTTTCTGTTTCTCATTCCCTTCTCTCCCATCCTCTGAGTTAATTTTACACTATAGAAGAGTGGGGAGTATACTCATTAACATTAGAGTTGTCATATGTTGGGGTTTTATTGATTTTTATCCAAGTTTACTACATTAAACCTCCTTTTGATGATTGTTTTATTTTATATCAGAAGCGAGCTGAATTTGAGGTTCGTTTCTCTCCAGTTTTGAATTCAAAATGCTCACAAGGATGCAGAGCGAAATTGCGGTAATACACAAAAATCTAGGTGTGTCAATCAGGTTTTGCTTAGACAGTTTAACTTTTATCCGATAAAAGAGCAATGTTTAAGGTGTTGACATGACCTTTACATTAATTCTCAAGTAATTAAACATAATTGGTGTAAGGTCATGCATGGAAACATATTCTGAAACAACAAGATTTATCCATGCTTTTGTGTTCAATAGGACTGCTTCATAAGATCTTATGCGATTAAAATGGGCATGTTAAAGGTGAACAGTGCAATGAAAATAAGTTTCCCAGATAGAAAACTTAAATAATTTTTAAAAATAACTATTAGGCTTAATTGTACAACACGAAAACACAGAAGTAAGCGGTGAATTCGAGTCAAAAATATTTGGACAAGCTAAATACTTCTTGGACCTCTGATTATAACATCTCTGAATCATTTGACAGTTTTACTTGTGTAAAATGTTTTAACAAATCATGCAGTGATTTAATACAAGGGGTAAATGCAGCCATTTCAATGAAATTCATTTAGTCAAATAAAAGCTAAGGAAGGTCAAGGCTTGAGGCCAAGCTGCGAAAGAAAGGTTTGGGAGTGTGTGGTCATGACCTCTGTGTTGAACCTGTTGACTAGGCATCAGGGAGTGTGAGATGATCCAGCTAGACAGCTGGTGAAGGTGAATGCAAACTCAGGGTCAGGCTTGCTGGCCTTGACCCAGCGCCAAAGAAAAACAGAGCGACCTCTGCTCTCTATAATCTCGTGATTTGCTTGATGTTCTCAGACACAGATGCAATTCTGTCTGACACAATCACGATTATTACACATGATTTGGGGGTTTTATGATGCTATGCACTTAGAAGAAATTACTTTTTTTGCAAGAACTATCATATTTCAATATGTTGTGCATAAGTGTTGCATTTCAAGGGAAGTTAATAGTTGAACTTGTTTAAAGTTGATCTGTTAACAAACTTTTTTTCTGCAGTGCTTGCTGAACAGGCACTGTAAATTATATATAAATATCTCACCTTCACAGAGCCAGAAACAGTCTTAAAATACATGGTCAATTGTGTTGATGGGGTGTATGTGTGTGTGTGCATTGTCATGGTGATAAGACCAAGCAGTGTACTAAATTGTAAGTAAAAGTTGATGACATTCTCGAGTCTGTTAAGAGAGTTAAGCTCCTTTCAACCCAGACTAGCAAAGATAAAACGCATCCAGGGGCCCGAGGACCATCTGGTCTTCACCTGTGTTGAGCCTATTCAGAAACCAAAAACCCCATTCCAACCTCTGTGACACTACAGGAATTTTAATAGAGATTCTAAGAATGAGATTTTGAGATTTTGTCAACTCTTTGATGTCTGACATCTATTCTTCTCTTGGTTTTAATGCTCATCTTTCATTGATTGTTGCTTTAACAATTTTTTTCTCCCCCTTAACAGGCTTGCAGCCTCAAAGCTCTCACCTTTTTCAGATAAAGCCATAGCAATCAGAGATTAACTGAAAGCAACAGAACTCCTGGCTGATGTATATGGATCTGATCTTGTGTAACCCCTACACCTGGGTCCCACTCGACCCGAACCCGGGTCTCCGGCTTGAGAGTCGGGCGCTCTAACAAGGAGGCTAAAGACTGCAGCCTCTAGCATCTGTCACTAGAGCGCCTATTGAGATCAGAGGAGTGATGTTTACTTGCACAGCAGCTAATAGCTGGCCTCCGTTACACTCACCCCCCTAAACCTCACTCTCATCCGGGTCACGGCACCAATGTAACCCCTCCACCCGGGTCCCACTCGACCCGCTCCGAGTGGGCCTCGAACTCGGGTCTCCGGCATGAGAGTCGGGCGCTCTAACAAGGAGGCTAAAGACTGCAGCCTCTAGCGTCTGTCACTAGAGCGCCTATTGAGATCAGAGGAGTGATGTTTACTTGCACAGCAACTAATAGCTGGCCTCCGTTACACTCACCCCCCTAAACCTCACTCTCATCCGGGTCACGGCACCAATGTAACCGGGTCCCACTCGACCCGCTCCGAGTGGGCCTCGAACTCGGTTCTCCGGCATGAGAGTCGGGCGCTCTAACAAGGAGGCTAAAGACTACACAGCAACTACTAACTGGCCTCCGTTTCATTTGCATGGACAAAAAGCTTGGACAGATACAAGCACACTCTGAGGTGGGACAATGGACTATTGAATGTTTATTTGGGATGACCACTTAATACTGATAGTTATCTTCCTATGTTTTACTTGCACTGTAATTTTAAGATAGACAATATTGATAAGAAAGTAAAGGGAAACTGAAATTAACGTGGAAAAGGCAACAGATTTTTATTGAATTACATAAAGTACAGTTTTGTACCAAAAGCAGTTTTCACATTTGATTACAAGATATTCAAAGACCTTATTTACAGTGTTTATTTCCTATACATATCAACAGAGGACGTTAGTGTTGTCGACGAGCCCAATTTTTTGAGGAGTAAAGAAATATGACTGAATCGCGATAGTTGTGAGTGTTTTGGGTTTAAGTTAGCTGGAGCTCAGTGATCAGTTGTGGAAATTACAACATGTGACATTATTGGATTTGAAGCCTCCAGGTTTTTTGGATTACAGGTGCAAATGAACCATGACCAGATTGGTAAAAAGGGCTCCAAGTGAGTCCCAAGGTGAAGCTAAAGGTTTACTTGACAAAATCCACCTGAAACCTTAGTGAAGCTACACCAAAGTCATAACCTTAAGGGACGCTGGCTGAAAGCGGCGGATCTTCTTCTTCAGTGCTCTGGAAGCTTTGATGCGGCAGGCCGCTGGTTCTGCACGATGCTGTTGCTGAAGAGAAAACCCCTCTGCCGTGGTCCCCATCGCTGCCTGAGCCCACACTAAACCCCCTTCATCTTCCTCTTCTTCCTCCAACAGGTCCTCCTCATCCAGCGAGAGACTGCTGTCCGAGTCGGAGGCTGTCTGAGAGCCCTGGCTGGACTCGCTGTCCCCAAAACGGTTTGTGGTGTAGTTGCTCATCTCTCCATCACTGCTTGCTGCGATAGTAGAGTGAAAGAGCGACGCACACTCGGCAGAATACTCGGAGAACTCTGACTCGCAACGAGGAGGATAGCGGCTGGAGATTGGCGCAGCGGGATATCTAGATTCTAAGTAACTGAAGTAAGAGGAGGTGGAGAGCGAGTGAGGAAGGGCCCGTGGAGGACAGCCCCAATGACCTGAGCGAGGTCTGGCACTAACACTCCTTACCATGGACACCTTTCGAGAGTTCAAGACTTCCTTGGATCTCTGGGTGTGGAGAGTTGGGGGCAACGGGATCTCAGAAGCGGAAGGCCATTTCCGAGAACTCTGTCTCTTTTTGGCTTGATCCAGAGGAAGGTGCACAGGTTCAGGGGCTTTACGGGACTTGGAGGTTTGACTCTGTTGAAGGTGAGGGTTGTTTTGGGTGTGGTGTGAGTTGAAATGTCCATTACAACTGCATTCGGAGCAACAATTCATCTGGGACTCTTCCAGATTTGTCACTTTCCCTTTGCAAGTGCCGGACTGCTTTAAGTCAGCTCGGGGTTTGGCGCAGAACTCTCGAGACAGGTGTTTTTGCTGCTGTTTCTTTGAAGATTTTTCTGAGCTCTTCTTTCTCAGTTTTACAGATTTAGTTTTCTTGTCTGCCTGACGCACTTTCACCCTCTGGGACCCTGCAGGAAGAAACTGTGCATGGACAAACTCTGATGGAGGTGTACCACCCTTATCATCAAAAGAAGCTCTACCGTCCTCTCTTCTGAAGGTAAAACTTGCTCTCCTCTCTACGAGCTTTGGGACCATAGATGACTCCTTGGGAAAATGTCCACTCCCCTTTTCTGAATTGTTAGACTCTGCACCAGTCTTGCCTGTAGCATTCCTTATGGGCAAGTCATTATTTTGGAGGTCCATGGAAGGTGCTGAGTGTGTGCCATGGCATGACGTCTGGACCACAATTGCTTCGAAATTGGGCTCCAAACCAGGTGTGTTCCTCTGTTGCTGATTGCTGTTTAGTGCTGAAGAAGTTTTTCCAGTCTCCGGTGCATTTTCTAAGGGCATTGTTATTTGTTGAAGGGATCCCCGAAGTTGAGGAACGTTGAGCTGTCCAGAGGTCATTTCCTGGGATCTGGGTCTTTGCTTCTGTGTACTGCTAACCGTATCATTTCTTCTTATGCCGTTTAACAGGTTTATCTTACTGGAGCTTCGCTGTAGTATCTTGTTAATGTATCCAGCAGACCTGGAGTTTGTGAACCCTTCGATTGGGTTTTGGGTTTCCTCTTCAAGACTCACTTCAGGCATTCCAGCAAGTGCTAATGCACTTCCCTGATCACCGGTGCAACTGAAGATGGGGCTTTGTAAGGCCACAGCATGCAGTGGACTGGGGTAACAGTACACTTCTGTCCCATTGCTAGACACCAGGTTACTCTGGTATTTGGGGTCTACTGAGGGGTTTTGGAGGCTAACACAGGGTTTAGAGCTCTTCACATCAGTGAATTTGAAGGAGCCAAAACCAGGTGCGATCATTCGGTCGAGATCCCCTGAAAGAAGAACCCAAGAAAAATTGCATCAAGATACTTTACATTTCAGAAGTTAAGCTGGTTATGACTATGTGACTACAATAATCTGATCCTGATTGTGCATGTCATAGTACTTTGCACAAGCTTTACCCTAAGAACACATTTTCATGCTCACCTGTGGAAACAGGTCTTTGCCTTGCTGCTCGAGCAGTTGCTGTTCGTATACAACTGCTACCGAGCTTCACTCCTGAACGTGGTGCATCAGACTGGCCAGTGCTCTCGTCAGCAGAACAACGTCGAGACACACCAGTCTGTCTAGAACCATTACGGCCATGTGGCACATATGAGTTGGAGAGAAGTGGAAGCAGACTGGTTTGAGATGAAGAGGAGAGACTCTCGCTGTAAACAGAGGTGCAAGAGTTGGACAGAGAGCCTGAACCACCATCACTGAGCTCGTAGAACCCTGGAAGTAGAAATTAGCACTATTAGATGCAATGCAGAGTACCAAAAAATGCTTGATGTTGTCATTTAGGTCTAAAATGAAATGTTGGAAGCTGGTGCAAATTTTAAATCTTTAAATGGCAAGCTTGGAAGAGAAATTACACCTCTTCAAATGAAAAAGGAAGTCTGTGATGTGAATAGGTGTGTTTAGTCACCTGAACTGGGTCTGCTGTCACTCTCTAGATGTTCAGTTGATGCTTTACACACGTCCAGTTTCAGCTCATTGATCTGATGGTCTAGCTGCTGGAGATGAGTCTTCAATCCCACATCCTGTCTGCGTAGACGAGTCTGCAGGTACAACACACATTCGCATATATCAGTCTCAACATGTTAGCATGCAACATGCATCCTGACTGCAACTGCAAATACAGTACATACAAGATATCTGATACATCAAGTAATTTAAGCACATTTATGAACCACATGAGCAGAGTTGTGTATAATTTCAACAAATACTAAGCTGAAAGTTTGAGAACAGTGAAGTGGAATAAACTTAGTCGTGCAAAAAACAAAACTATTGTTCTTTGTTAAGCTACTATTCACACTCATTCCAAACTAACCACAGAAGAACATTGAAAACTAGATGCTTCCAGACATTTAATGGCTGATATGACTCCTGCTGTTATACGATGTAGACAAGAGGAGAAAAAAAAAACAGGAGGAAGCAAATAAAAAAGGAGAGCGGTTGACTATTAACTAGGCAAGGATAAAGGGTAGCCTGGGGGAAGTGCTGTAAGATTACTAAACTCTCTCCTGCAGAGGAGCACAAACTATTGTGTAAACCAAATGTGTATAGGTCCAAGAGGAAATGACATGCCAAATAATGAACATCTATAATGGTTGACTGTAAACTATCTTTGCTAAGTAAAGTGTCACACCTTTGCCAAACTCTGACAACGCATACTTTAATATATTGTCTTTGTACTTGCCAGTTGGGGAAAGAGAACAATGAAGAACACTAATCTGATGGTATAACCGTAAACTATAGTTGTGTGGATAATGCAACCGTTTGAAAATCCTTAGTGATAATACCCTAAATGTTATTACTAAGGATTTTCTTAATGTAAGAGGGTTTTTTGCATCTGGGAACTGACATTTGGATAATTATGAAGTCAGATCCGCCAGATGTTTTCTCAGGGTTCCTAGAGATTTGACTAATGAATCTTTTCTTTTTAGAGTGTTCACAGTGAGCAATTCATAGGCAGATGGAATAATTCAGAGCATAGCATAACTAGAACGATTTAATTCACTATAAATATTTCCATGACTTTAAAAAATATATACATTTCTGAAAAATTGTTTAGTTTTCTGTTAATTTTAGGGAGTGGATTTACAAACAGAATATCATAATCTGCACAAATACTTATACATTGGCGGAGCACTTATTGCAGATGATATCAACTGTGCAATTTTCCTGTGCTTTGTGGAAAAAATAAATAAAAAATCATAATTTAAATGGTGTAAGAGCACTAATGCCAGTCTCTTATATGTCTATAGACCCGAGTCACGAGTATTAGAAGGGTTCAACAAAAGTCCAAAACATTCAGACATGCATCGGCTGTGGGGTCAAATCTGTGTCGCCGACCGAGCCACGGTTCCTCTGTAGCCATTCTCATTAAATTGGGTTAATCATCAGAAACGGACTGGCCCCCCTCAGAGCCCTTGATTTATGACCCCTCACTATGACCCCCAGCTGAGCTTGTGATTCAGCACTGGATTCAGTCATCAAGCCTACTGCCAATCCATGCACAAAATACACAAATTAATCCCCCCTACAGTAAGAGCACACAGGAATGTAGGCTTTATGCAAAGATTGTCATTTGCTGCTAGAAAATACCCAAAATAATGTATAAGACTAATCACAGACAACTGGTAGATCTATCTACATATTCATCCAAAATGATCACATCAGAAATATTCACATCTTTGTTACAAAAATGTATGTCAGAAGGGTTTCTTGGCTGTTGTAAACAGTCATATGACTAGAATGGACTAGACAACAATCGCCGTTTAATCCAGTTTGCTTCTCTAAGATGTTACTTTTATAGAGCTTTGATAAGGATAAGCCAAATAAAAGCTGTTAAAGTATAATACAGATAATATATGATGTATATTATATATAAATTGTCGATTATTGATTGTTTTTTATATTAAAAGGTTTAAAACTAAACATGTTTCGCCAGCTGGAAATCCCCAAGTCCAATTTTAGAGTTTTTTTTATATCATTATTACATGAAAAGTAAAAAAATAAATATGTTTACGTGCATATAGCCTACATTTTTGTTGCCCACAATTGCCTTATTTTTTTTTTTTTTTACTCCGTAGTTACCCACTGTGATCAAAATGAACCACATACTTTCATCAGAATTATTGTCACCTTGTGTTTAATAAGATGTCTTACCAGCTGTTGTTTTAGCAGAGTAAGTGTTGCCTCCAGTCTCAGCTCTTCTGTGCTCACGTTCTCATGTTTTGATGTATCGGACTCTTCTCTGTTCAGGGTCAGAGCCCAGTGCACCATGGCACTCTGTTTGTCCCGGAGGAGATGCAGTTCCTGCAGTCCGGCCAGCGCTGCGTGCAGCCTCTCTCCTGTCCTTCCCCGGTCCATTCCTGCAGCTGCGGTCAGCACACCTGATCCAGGTGTTTTTCTCCCCAACATTATCAGACGTGGGGTTTAGACATATCCAGAGAGGCGAGGGAAATAATGAGATCCGCTATGTGACTGAGCTTGTCCGAATGTGAAACAACTATTGCGTTTGGACGAAGCGCATGTGACTGTGTGTACAGTACCTGCACGGGGGGCTGTACAAAGCAACCCCGCCCACTATCGCGCTGACCGTGGAAACCCCGCCCCTTGCTGGCTGATTGGCGGACATTGACTTAGTCTGGTCAGTAAATTTGCCAATGCTTCTTTGGTAAATGTCTCGGATATTATTCTTAATGAGGTTACGTGATCAAATTCTCGAAGCAGTTAATCGAGAAAAAGAAAGTTAAAATAAAGATAGTTCCCCAAAAATAAAAATTCTGTCATCAGTTGCTCACCCTCAAGTTGTTCCAAATCTGTATGCATTTCTCTCTTCTGCTGAACACATACACACATTCACACGAGACCAAACATCAAACAGTTGATAGCCATTGACTTCCCTGGTATTATACTATGGAAGTCAATGGGGCCTACCGACATTTTTTTCAAAATAGCTTCTTTTGTGTTCAACAGAAGAAAGAATTTTCATTTTTGGGTGAACTTTTTTTTAAGACCTATGCTCTGTGTCTTAGAACACAAATATGAATAGCCTACACAAGGACTGATTTTTTTTTTTTTATCAAACACCTATTTAAAGCATATAAATGGTTATATTTTTAATCCGCATTAAACAGTATACATTTTCTTATGTGTTTTGTATTACTTTTATCCATGTACTTCATATACACAATAAAAAATCCATCTTGGTTTGCACAATTAGCCACTAGCGCCCTCTTGCGTACAATGACTGACTTACAGAAAACCTCAAAATGATCAACATTGGCATTGGACATTATTTAGGCATAGTACGGTGCATCAGTTTGCATAATTCCTTTTCAAAAGCTCAAGGTAAAAATAAAAAAAAGATATTTAATTTTTTATTTACATGCTATGCATCAAGCAGAGTTATGTTTAGAGTATCTGCAATCCATGTGCCTTTTTTGTGATGTAGGTCTACACAGGAAACGTGTGTTGATGAGAACAGGGCAAGATTGCATCAGGGTTCGAGCCCTCATCGCTGGCAGTGGCGCTGTGAGGTAAAGTCAGACTGTACCACACTGTCTTTCCCCTACAGCTTGCATAAGTTTACCTCTGTCAGCCACAAGATGTTGGAGAGGAAGTGAGATACAGAGAGATACAAAAATAAATACAACAAACAGACCTTTGAGTAAGCCATGCGAAATCTGATCAAGATTAGCCTAAATACAAAGTTTTATCAATGTTATAAAATATGAGATGGTTTGATTAGGGTTTTGAGGCAATCATCTAAACAAACGACGCACAGATCCTTTCGCGGGTCAAAATTTACCCCAAAATCGGAACACATGATGACCTAGAGATGCCATTTGTGAGATTCGTCCATACAGTGACATTGCCGAAGTCAAACAGAAACAGAATCTAACGTGAGACAGACAATGACTATTATACCTGCTATTGTGTTTTAGGCTACATAAACTTGCCACAGGGAGATACTGTCCTGTGTTAAAAAGAAGAGATGTGATGTTACCAGCTGGTGGCGCTATAACACAGGCATTAAGTGCTGTATTTGACCCCTGTGTGAATCTCACTAAAACTATTGATATTGTTTCCATTTTCTTGTTTTATAAGTGACATTTTCTTTTTTTTTTTATTAATTCTTTTTATAATAATTCGTATGTTTCTCAATGGTGATTTTCATTAGATATAGTTTTTTTAAACTGCTTTACAGTGCTATTATACAATGATTTTGTACATTTAAATCAATATATAGATATTGCATTACAATAATAAGACTGTACAGTAATAAGTCTTTACTGTATTACTGACAAATCCAAGACTTTGAACTATATAAATGATCTGTAAGTTTTTAATAAGGATGTTTACTAAAATACTTCTCTCGTACGTGGCGTGTGTGTGATGTTGGCTGAGGAAAATGCTGCAGTGCTGTGAGGGCTTTGATCAGCGTGACTCGGAGGTTTCGGACTGTAAACCAGCGCGTAAGAGGAAAGTGATGCTTATCTTGTCTTGCCTTGAATCTTGAATGATACAGGTCCAGTGGACATAATGCTAACATTGTCCTCTCAGGATGTCCCTGTGCCCTTATCCCCTTCAAAGCACTTCCATATAGTGATGTCATGGTTTTGATCCCGCAGTGTCATCCTCCTCCTCTATGCGTACCAGTGAGGGTGTAAAAATAAATAAATAGCTACATTCTGATGTAGTCATGTAAACAAACACACGACCCAGTAAGCTGCTTTGCTAATGCAAAAAAAGGATGTTCTTTCTCAGTATTTTTTGTCTCGTTTTCCAGTATTATTATGTGGGCATTCTTAAATTAAGATATTAGTTGAGATTTTGAGGAAAAAAAGATCAAGAAAAAAATACCTACAAATGGAGTAAGAAAAATAATCTAGGTTTCCTTTTTGAATTCAATTTGAGTTTTGTCTTGTTTTAGGCAAAAATTCACATAATTTTGATACATTTTTCAAAGTAATTTTGCTTTTCAAGTAAACGAGAGTGCTTAGATATTTGTAGTTGAAAGCAAGACAAAAATACTGATTAAGAACTTTTTTGCTTTGTGTTTAAGCCTTTTATCAGAAGTGTATGGCAAGCCGTTTTAGCTTAAAATATTCGCAGTGTAGTTGTAATTGCAATTTTACTAGTAAGAATAAAATTAGATAGGTCTCTAATTCAGTTGTTACTAGTAAGAATGCTATTGCAGAGCTCTTGAAAATGAATGGAAGTCAATGAAGACCTACAGAGAGAAAAGAAGTCAGAATTGTGAAATAAAAAGTCATAAAATGTCTTTTATTTTTTCTTCTGTGGCAGAAACACGCTTCCATACTAATGGGAATTGTTACTAATAATTGAATTAGAGAGCTCTCTAATCATAATTGTTTTGTTCTAATTTAATTCTTACAAGTAAAAATGCAATTACAACAAGTAACGCTGGGAACATTTTAAGCTAAAATGGCTTGCCATAGGAGAGAAAACAAATGACACCGAAAGATTTTGCTCATGGCGTGTTTCACAGCAATGTTCTTTTAAGTTGCAGATCTTGATAACAGTTCTGTTTTCATCTCTTCTCCTTAATGCAATGCTTTTATCTTCAATATGTTACTAAATTTTTCCATGTCTTTTTTCCCCATTGTTTTCTCTCTCATCATGAATGCAACCGTCCAAATGAGACACAAAGGCCTCCAAACACAACCATAGCGACAGACAGAGATGCCGCTCAGAGCGGAAAAAGAAAGTTGCGTCCGGTGATAAGGTGTACCTGGATTTGTGAGGCAATAAAGGACAGGTCACAAACAACAGGAACTGCAGCAGGGGGAGTGAAAGGTAAACAGGAGTCAGGAGTCAGGAGACAGTGAGTGATGAACACAAGAAAACAAACATGTTGGCAAGCCTTACGGTCTTCAAGCCACCAGCATCTGATTTCATGCACAAGGTATTTTCCTGTATGTGTGTGTGTGTGCTTCGTTTGGAGTGTATAATGGAGTGCAGTGCGGATTGTTCTTCTGAAAATAGACATTTACTGTAACCCAAAAGCAAAAAATGATTTTTTCTTCATAATTAAGATATTTTGAAGAATGTCTTTAACCAAATGGTTCATGGGCCCCATTGACTTCCATGGTATTTTCCCCCCATACTAGTCAATTGGGCCCATTACTGTATACACTCAAATAAATTATATGTTGGCAGTGTTGTAGTACTCGAGACTCGGACTCGGTCTCGAGACCATATTTTAATGGTCTTGGTCTTGTCATGGACTCGTGTCCATTTGGACTCGGAATTGACTCGTACTCGAACATTTTTTTTTAGGACTCGGAATTATTCCCGAGTCCACTCGAGTTCAATTAAAAATATTTTTCATGATTATTAATGTATGTTAATAAAATATTTCTTTAAATTGATTGACACGCCCAGTGATTGGTGATTTTCTAGTGCGCAACTGCGCATGACAAATTGTAATAAAATTACTTTTAACACCACCTACTATGTGGTCTTTTTACCCTAAACTGATCATATTTTTTAAACTCTAAGTAAATTCAGTAAAAAAAAAAAAAAAGTATTTCTCTAAATAAATAAAAGTAAATTAGGTAATCAACCCTCACTGGTCTCGGTCTCGACTCGGACTCGACCGTCTCTGGTCTCGGACTCGACTCTCTATGGACTCGGTGTCAACTCGGACTCGAGTGAGGTGGTCTCTCTCGACTACAACACTGTATGTTGGCTTTAATTAACTTTTTATGTTAACAGGTTTCATATAACTGTGTTACGTTAAACAAACATAATTTGTTCATGTAACTTCAACATCATGGAATAAGTTATTTTAAGTGAGCCAATTAAGCTCTGAGCAGAATGTTAAATGAACACTAAAGCAAAGGTAAAGTTGATTAAGAGCCCAACTAAAACGATGATCAAAACATAGTTACCAATGGTATTTTTAATTCTTAATGCTAATTATTTGAAAGAAAGAAAGAAAGAAAGAAAGAAAGAAAGAAAGAAAGAAAGAAAGAAAGAAAGAAAGAAAGAAAGAAATATGTATACAGTTATTGGTATGTGTGTGGGAGTTGTCGTGAGTATGTGCACGTGTGTGTGTGTGTATGGTCTCCTGTCATGAGGGGTTTCCCATGCTGGTTGTCTGATTGAGTCTCTAAGCTTTATTCACTAACAAAACCACAGATATGGGATTTCAGACATCAAAGAAGATTTTCTCTTTACCTAAAAACATTCTCGTATCCCTTCAGCACCTCTGAGAGACTCACACAAACACTTTCCCACAGAAAATCACTTCTTTACACACTACAGTTTACTTATTTATTAAATGCATTAAGTCACACTTGAAATTGTGTGAAAATATAAAACCATCTATCAAATTTTTTTCAAAAATAAATGAATCAAAACGTACTATAAATACTTTTCATTTTCATTTTCCGTTGTTTTGAATTTACTCTCAAAGAATCCTAAAAAAAAGCATCACGGTTTCCACAAAAATACCCAGCAGCACATGTTTTTCCAACATTGAAAATGATAAGAAATCAGAATTTAGAATGACCGTGTGACACTGAAGACTAATGATGCTGAAAATTCATCTTTGCATCACAAGAATAAATTACTTTTTAAAATAGATTCAAATAGAAACCCCTTTTTTAAAATTCTAATAATACTGTTTACACTTAGTTTTGATCTAATAAATGCAACCTTGTTGAGCATACGAGGCTTCTCATCAACCGCAAACCTTTGAATGGTAGAGTATATCCACTAAAAATTATACACAATGGTTTGATAGTCAACATGAAAATGCTTTCCTGATTTTATTGTGCACATTATTCCAATGTTTGCCAATAGAGTGGTGCAGGGATGACGTCAAAACCTGGAAGACTGACGAGAACCTCCAAGTATTGTCAAGTTATGTTTACCACAGTCCGTATTTTACTCATAAATTGAAAAACCTCATTATAAAAACCTGTTGGAAAATCCCAGCGGGAACCACTTCATAGCATCAGACTTCAGGGACTCCAGCACTCTATTGCAAAAAATTTAACCTCCTTAATCTGACATTTGAGAGGGTTTGAGAAGTCGTTCAGAGGTGGAGCCACATTTGTCTTTTTATTAAGTCATTTTGATTTCATGTTGCCTTTAAGTGTCCAATTTAATATTAAAAAGGGCAAATCCTTAAATGCCGACCTTTTCCACCGTAATAATTTCCACAGAGATGAGAAGTATTTATTTACTCTTATGTTATGTTACTCTCATGTGGAGGCGATTTGTCTGGTTTTATTAGTGCTGTAAGTGTCATGCAGTGAAAAGGAAGGCATCCCATAAAGTAAACCTGTCCATCCGTTCCTGTGGTTAGGCCCGGCATTACCCACAATCCTCTTTGTTGTAAACCACATCTGAGCATGAACAAAGCCAAGCTTCTCTGATATGTCAATGAGATGTCTACAAGCCAAGGACATCAATGCAATGTGCAATGCAGATTGTTAATGTATAAACCATGTGTTTCTGTGCGTGGAGGAGCATGTCCGAACATGTTCCTCAGCTGGTAATATGTTATTTCCCCTTTGTTTATCTTTTAAGAGGGTATGTGGGGCTTTTATTCTATTACAATATATTCTGTACACCGTATCAGCATTGTTGGAGTAGATGAAAAGTCTGTCATCATTTAATCGCCCTCATGTTGTTCCAAACCCACATGACTTTCTTTCTTTCTTTAATGAAAGACAAAAGGAGATTTAGACAGAATGTCTGCTCTTTTCCATATGAAAGTGACCAAGGAAAGCAAGCTACAAAAAAAAAAAAAAAAACATCATAAAAGTCTCATAAATATAGTGCATTTGACATGTTCCAAGTCCTCAAAATCAAGCTATAGCATCAACACTTCCATCAAAATCCATCAGCATCTCATTTGGTCACATGACATGAGAACCAATGATGTGTTGTATCGTTGATGGTAACACTTTATTTTTTAAGGTGGTGTAGTTACACGTTACAACAATAGTAACAGTAAATTATGTATAATTAAAAGTAAGTAACCCTAACCGTAACTTTATAGTACATGTAGTTAATATGTAAGAACCTGGTTTCTCCCAAGGTTTTTCTTTCATAATCTGTCACCTGATGGAGTTTTGGTACCTTGTCACTGTCGCCTTTGACTTTTGCTAAGTTGGGGACAAAAAAAAAACTTTTACTGATAATTGACTCACCCCCATGTCATCCAAGATGTCCATGTCATTCTTTCTTCAGTTGAAAATAAATTAAGTTTTTTCGATGAAAACATTCCAGGATTTTTCTCCATATAATGCACTTCAATGGGAACCAAATGGGTCAAGGTCCAAAAGAAAGTTTCAGTGCAAACTGCAAACTGTTCAAAGGGCTTTAAACGATTCCAGACGATGAATAAGGGTCTTATCAAGCGAAATGAATGCTCATTTAAAAAAAAAACAAAGTTAAAGTTTTAGAAGCTTAAATGCTCACCTTGCTCTGTTCTGTGATGCACGTTTGTGACTCTCCAGTTAGAACTCGTTAATCAAAATGAAGGAATCTTTTTTCGAGTCATTTGGTTCATTCAACAAATTAAATGAACAAATTGACTCGGAAAAAGATTCGTTCATTTTGATGAACGAGTTCGAACAGGAGAGTCAGAGCAAGGTGAACATTTAAGCTTATAAAACTTTTTATTTTTTTAATGAGCGATCGTTTGCTTGATAAGACCCTTATTCATGTTTTGGAATCGTTTAAAGCCCTTTGAACAGTTTGCACTGAAACTTTTGGACTTTTGGTCTTTTGGACCTTGAACCGTTTGGTTACCAATAAAGTGCGTTTTAACGGAGAAAAATCCTGGAATGTTTTCATCAAAAACCTTAATTTCTTTTCGACTGAAGAAAGAAAGACATGGACATCTTGGATGACATGGGGGTGAGTAAATTATCAGCAAAAGTTTTTTTTAACGTGAAGTACTCCTTTAATATTAAACAATATTATTGATTATTGATCTGCCTGCATTGGCTCCATTTATTTGATCAAAAATAAGGCTGGTAAGGCTGATTTTTTTTTTTTTTTTGCATTTTTACTCCAGTCTTCAGTGTCACATGACACTTCGAATATGTTGATTTGCTGCTCAAGAAACAAACAGTTCCACAGACGCTGTGACGCTCATCCTTTTATTTATTTATTTACTTATTATTTATAGGTTTACTCATCTGTTCTCACACTCGTTCATTTCATGGGACTGTCGTATAACTCAAGAGGATAGATGTCTGCATGCAGCGGACAGAAGGGTTCTACCTGAAAGACTTCATTTTGCTCGGAGAGATCATGTTTTAAGGGTGAGTATAAAAATGTCAAGGTCCATTCAAGAGTAAGTTATCCAGACCAACCTCCAGTGGCTTGTATTCAGACACAGGTTCTCTGCTAAAAGAGAAGCACTCTTTCTCCAGGAGCGGAGAGAGCTAGAGTGCTTTAAGAACGTGTAAAGTGTTGGGCCAAGTTGAATTCCACACGTTGCCATCGTAAAACAGTCAGCAAATTAATGTTAATCTGTTTTTTAATGATGGAGTATCCCACAAGTGACCACACTGCTCAGGAAAGTTTGACTTGCAGCCATCTCCAATAACAGAGACAGGAGAGGTGGACGGATGGACTGATTTACAGCAACTCTAATGTAAAGTAAACCATCGAATAAAGGAGCCTATAATGTGTGCATGCACACATGCTGTAAATCCATTCATTTTACATAAAATAGGGGATTGCAAGAATATAGAGGAAAACGCAAGATTTGCAGGAGACGTAGGTATAGTAATGCTTTGTTTCGATAATCCACTTTAGACATTCTAAGTAACTTTGCGACTACACTCTTAGAAGAAAAGGTTCTATATAGAACCTTAAAAGGTTCTATCAGCGCTACATATTTGGAACCCCTAAAAGGTTCTATACACTCTTAAAAAACGGGTTCCTCTGGGTTCTATATAGAGTTCTATATAGAATCGATTTTCGATTTCGGAAATACTCCTTCGGTCACAAATACTTGTCACAAATTTTGCATTTTGCCGAGATTTCGTTAATTTTTAGAAAAGTGAAGCCTTTGGACCGCCGACGTAAGCTACTCATGTTCGACTCGCGCGGTTATGCCAACACTTCCGGTAGACGCTTCTTCGTTGGTGTTGTAAGTTCCGCAGTTTCTTCTTACGCTCGGCGGACTGTGAATATCGAAACTAGGAATTGAAATTTTAACTTTTGAACGATTCCGGGATAAACTAAAAGTTAGTCCCGGTTCCAATCGATACTCGATTCTCGATACCCAACCCTACTAATGACAGTCTACTAATACAATACTGAGAGTTAGTTGACATGTAGTTACTTATAGATAGAATGTCTAAAGTGGACTATCGAAATAAAGTGCAACAACCAGGATGTATTTTAGGACGTACTGTCGGTGTTACATGTACCCTCTGGACTCTGCCCTGCATGTTCTCACCGTACGGTTTGTGTGTGTGTGTGTACTGCTCCCTCACAGTCTTCTGTTGTCTGGCCTTGAAGTATGGTAGGCTACTTATACTGACCTTTTGCTCCTCAGAGGATTTACCTATGTTTCTTGTTGCCTGCAGATATAAAGAGAAGTGATTTAGGACTGTTTCTTACCTGTGTTAACTCATCTGATTGTTTCCATACTTGCCTGTTTCTCCAGTGCTTCTGATCTAATAAAACTCCCACACCTGGGTTCAACTATATTCGTGTCTCAGAAATAACATAATAGCCGGTGTGTAGGGATTTATGTTGCCTATCTTCTTCTAGACTAAAAAAAAAAGATTATTTCTGTCTTGTTTTCTAGTACATATATCTAAACATTCTTAAATAAATATACATTTTGCTTGAGTTTATATCTGAAATCATTTTTATTCTCAAATATATGTCTTGAATTAATGTGTAGATATGTGTATACTGGATATAACACAAAAATGCCAACCAAGAAGATCATTCTTTTGCAGTGCATGCAGTTTACTTGGACAATCCCATAATGCATTGCTACCAACAAAGTGTTGAGATGCGTCCGAAATCGCTCTCTTATAGGTACTTATTTTTTAAAAAAGTACTGGATATGACACAAAAATACCAACCAAGAAGACCGCTAAAAAATACTACATTCGCCATGTTGTCATTATCATGTGACCTACCAGCGTTGCGTTGCTTCATGCTCTCCCGTGGCCTCATGGGATTGTAAAGTGTCCATCGCTTGCCGGCTTCAGAATCTCGCCAGAAGTCGGTCATCCGCATGCTTTTACTATACTGTACTGTTTTTCTGTTTTTTTTTAAATACTGTTTTTCGCCTACTAAATAGTAGGGAAGTATGCGAGTTTGGATGCAGCCTTGGTGTCTATTATGTGTGTGGTTGTCTCTCTCTCAGGTGTAGTCATAATACTTGAGTCATAATAAGTCATAATAATACATGCTTTTATGACTTTTGACTGCTGCAGGTCACCTTTATTGAAAGAAAAAAAACAACTTAGACAAATTATCTCTCACTGTGTTTCATGGAAGAAAGAAAGACATACAGGTTTAAAATGACCTTAGGGTGAAAAAAAAGGCAAGTTTTGTTGATTATAAAGATAATGCAGTTTGAATGTGACCTTAAGCAAATTTCATGTTTCATGGATGGGTTTAGGAAATAGGTAGGACTTCAAGGCTCTCTTATTTTTGAAGTTGTCTTCTAGTGCTTCAGGCTTCTCACAGGTTGGTGTGTGTGTGTCATTTCTTTCTTTCTGAAGCCCGTGAGTTTTGCCAGCCTGAGGCTTGAGCACCTGCACGCAGTGACCTCAGGGTGAGAGGTTTGATTGACAGCAGCCCCGGCGGGAGTGTCATCCATCAGAAGGACAAAACACGCACTGATATAGCCGTCATTCCACAGCCGTCTCCTTCATTCACAGTAAAGTCAAAAAGTAAAGGTAATTGTGACTTCATTCCTCAGACTTGAATTTTTCTTTTGATTGTGCCACCAGTATTAGTATATATTAATATTTCAAATTAGCTTTTATTTTTATATTTTCAGTTGTAGTAATTTTGTTATGCCTTTTTGTCATATTTATTAATTTTTGTTTTAATGTTTTAATATATTCTCAAAATAAAATGTCAAAATGTCCCCACAAAGATGGCATATCCGAAATCCTTGTCCTTGTGGTGGACATTTTTTGGTCCCTGCAAGGAAAACAGCTTATAGACCATTTCACAAGATGTAAACAACACTGGTCCAGAAGCACTTCCTGTTTCAGTTTGTAACTGTTTTCTTTATTTCACATGTAAAGAAAACATCTTAAAGATGTTGTTTAACTTTTTGATTCACTTTTGTATGTTCTGTTGGTTGTATTTTATCCCAGCTTTTGTGTAGTGTTAAAAAACTGAAACAGGAAGTGCTTCTGGACCAGTGTTGTTTACATCTTGTGAAATGGTCTATAAATCATACAAAGAGATGTTTTTTGAAATTGTAAAAATGCAGAAAGTTTTCATTGATCGGTAGGTTTAGGGGTAGTGTTAGGGTAAAGGGATAGAATGTACAGTTTGTAGATTATAAAAAATCATTATGTCTATGCAAAGTCCCCAAAAACATGAAAACACAACATAGGGATCAATAGTATCAACAAACCTGTGATTTGATGCCAGATATTATTTTCTTATTTCTAAAGTGGCTGCTAAACACTTACTAATCAACCAATAAAAATAATCAAATTATAGATAGTACAGTTGACCAAGCCTTTTTGCGGTTATGTAACAGCTATTTGCAGAAATTATTTCCAAATTGCATTCAAACAAGTTTTTATTGTTCATTCATTTTTAGGTATTTGGCAGGTGGAGAGAATTTGATATAGTGCTTAAATCATCTGAACCTGTGGCTGGACATGATGAGGTGCTGATTGCCCACAGCCAGACGCCAAACAGCTCGAGCAGTCAGAGGGACTTTCATGAAGAGCAGGACAACATTTCAAGTGAGGGAAAATGGTCGAGTGGTAAGGAGGAGCAAAAGAGAGAGAGGGCAGCAGTAGGACAGGCAAGTACCTGACCATAATGCATCTCTTTTCAACTGCTTCACTTGTGACGCAGAGCACTAAGGGCTCCGTTGCCCAGTACAGTGCCGTCCACTGTGTGCAGAGCCAACCACAGAACCCTGTCACCTCAACAGGCAGTGGAAACCCCACTTTAACCTCCAAATGGCCTCTGCTAGTCAGCGTCCGCTAGCTAATGCTGTTAGCCAGCAATTTGGTTGATTAATTGAGAGCTGGTGTTATTTGTAGAATAAGATTAAGTTCTTATAACGGTCTACAATTAACGCTGACAGTCAGAGAGCAAACTGCAGGCACGCACGCAACATTTGTCACCGGGCACGTCGACCCCATCTGACTTTAAGCTGTTGACACAAAAGTAAGTGCACGCAGGCATGCCTGTTAAATAGTGTGTTAGCAGCGTCTACTGCGTCATTTTGACTGAGTGTTGCTGTCAAATTCATTTAAAATGAAATAAGCTCAATGTGCTAACTGCATATGCTAACCTCACCCCTTGGGAGTGACTTGAGGTTAAGTGCTTTGGTCTAACTACTGGTGTGTTTTTCCCGAAAGCATCGTTAGCCAACTATGATCGAATGAAGTTCTGTCGTTACTAACTTAGTTCAACGATTTGACGTCTCCACAAACCATATAGGTCCAACTAACATTCGCAAACTTGTGTGGTTGGAACAGCTCTCGAGCTGTGGTAAGAATCCGAGTTTTATGGTAGAAGACATGTGGACTTAAATAGATTATGACCATTAAGTGCATTCGATATATTGCATTCAATTTAAAATATATAATCTATTATTTTAGCATGTCAATAATCAGACGTTTTTGAAGTGTGTAAAATGCACAAAGGAACTCCGTGATGAATCAAACATCAAATAAAGCAAAATGACATGGAATAAAAAAGTTAAGTACTGTAGTCATATAGGGGTTGGACGGTGCAGGTGTTCAAACATACACTCACACCCCAAAACTGTCTCATCTACTTTTTAAAAGTGCTTCAAAATTCACTTTTTTGCTATTGGTGTGTGTTATTTGTTATAGAACAAAACTTAGTTTTGAACAAAGTGTAGAGAAGCTATGTTTAACACAGGCTTATTTTACACATAAATAGAAAAACCCACAATAAAACCCTATAGGATAATCCCGAAGGAACCAGCGGTGAATTAGTCTTCTGGGTTCATAAACTTTGTTGCTTTATTTATTTCTGTACAAAATAGTTACACTATTGCACTGGTCAATATATATTTAAATAATAATTTCTATACTCAAAGATATAGAAAAAGGGGTTCTATATATGTAGCATAACTCCAAAGGACATTTTATGCTAAAAAAGGTTCAATAATGACAAGAAAGAACACTTTTGGCACAAAGGTTCTTTAAAGGCTATTATTCATTCATATATTACATTATTCAACAACATTTTGTAGTTGTTATTAAATTATTTTTATTAAATTATTGTTTATTAAACTGTTGTAGTTACGTAATATCACATTTTAATCATGCAGATTTTTGGAGGATAAAAACTGAAATGTCACTCTTCGTGTGATTGATAAATTACATTTTTTAACCACCATATCTTGAATTTTGTGATCATTCACATGCATTGCATTTTAGGGGTTCCAAATACGTAGTGCTTTAGAACCTTTTAAGGTTCTATCCACAAGTTTCCGAGGGGCGCTCCAGTAAAAAATAAAGTGGGTGAAACTTCCGGTGAGGCGGCGGAAGTAGCATTCCAATGGTATTTTGTGTGTTAGTTAGCGAAGATGCTAGCTGTTTTTCGGAGAATTATTTTACTATTTAAAGACGCAAATCTTTATGAGAGATGTCGTTACGGAGCTCAGGGACAATATGTGCTGTTCGCGGTAGTATGTATAACCGGACTAAACTAGTTCAGTGGCTTAAACGTGATTGTTTTGAACATAAGCTGAAAACGAGTGATCATGCCAGAGCCCGTCTCTAATCCTGCCAACGACCGTAACGTTAGTTTCCATCACCTCCCAAAAGACGACGAATCTTCCTGTGTACATTTTTTTTTAATTCTTTATATTTTATAAACTCTATCAGCATGTGATTGGCTGTTCGCTACTGATGTTACACCTAAACTCAGGATCAAAGCCTGTGTTGACAGAATACCAAATGTGCCAGTAATGTATTCAAGCAGCACATTCATTTATAATTTTGAATAAACTCCAAAGCACAATGACTAAGTGTGTATTTTTTTATTTGAATTGTTTGTCAGCTCGCACATCTGTCTGTCACGATGCCTTGATGAGTATTGATAATTAATAATGTTATTATAATACTCCCAACCAACTACTGCAGAGGGTAAAGGTAGTGTTATTTCACCCTTTTTAATTTCGTTGAGGTTGTGTTCCCACATCGTTAGCTAGTTTGGATCGCTAACTTGAATGACTGTCAACTGTTGAATGAACGAGTGTTAAGCATGTCAAGTTGCGCTTTGTTTACTTCCAACCGGAAGTCGCGCCCACTTTTGACGCAAGGCCTCATGGGGCGTAGGAAACTTGTGGATATAGAACCTTTTCTTCTGAGAGTGTATAAATTAAATTGTCATATGACTCTTTGTTTTACAAAAAAAACAACAACAACAGGTCATTCAACCTGGAACTTTCTCCTGGGTGGTAGAAAAAAACACTGACATTTCCAAATTGGAAGGCAATTACACCAACTAGTGTCTGTAAACACTGTTAGCTGATATTAGCCCCATGTAAAACTCTTACCATCTGAATAGAGCTTTACGGCACACTTATTTCAGGGACAATCCTCTGGAGCATCCTGGAATTAATTGTCTTTCTAGTCACAGTGTACTTACCAGCCCTCGTGTTTACAATAGTGTATTAGTGCCCACTTAATTAATGACTTTGTTTCCAGAAGTATTTTTTCCATTAATTGTTCATGTCACATGACTGATGCTTCTAGTGTCAGTCGTTAAAACACCCCTTGAGATCAAGAGAGTAAGGTTTTGTAAAGTAAGGATTATGCCATTCATGTTACTTCATGGGACTGAGCATTCTCTACAGAGCTCTTTTGGTGTGATTTGCTTGCCACAACTCTCTGATTCGTGGAAGTTTCTATGCATCATGGCTAATGTAGTTTCCGCTCATACTGCCATAGTAACCATGGCGTCAGACGTGGACAAAAAAGCCTAACAGGATGCTCACGCTGTTGTTGTTTTGTTCAAACATTATGGACCATGGCACTTAGACTTTGAGACAAAAAGAGGACTAAAACGAAGATCAACATCTTTCGAGATGCCGAGAGCTCCACGTCCGCGACTAACTTTGACTTGAAAGAGATGCGAGGGTTGCATGTACTTTATTAGGCAGGTGAGCAAATGTACATACAACTAATCAATGTTATTTAGTTCAACATGTTAGAATATGATCTGTATGTTATTCTAATGTTGATCTAGCTAACTGCTAGTCTCATATTATAGCCAACAAACAACTTAACTAACAACATTCAACACACTCAAATGCCATTTAGTGTGATAGTGAAACAGCGCTGCGTTACCTCAAGTTTAATTCATCTAATACACTGACCTGTGTGAGTAGTAATTCAGCACTTGAAATGTCCTTATGCTGCGTTCACGTGCTATGGAAAATAGGATATTTTCCACTTGTGAACTAGTATTTACCAGTGTGTTGCGTTCAAGTGCTTTTGTTGCGGTAATGTGGTAAAAAGACGGAGATCCAGACCTGTTATTTAGCTAAAACTATTTTAGATAGCTTAAGTCATCTGCAACAGCAAGAAAATGATTTATCAAAACTCAAAAGGTAAATAATATGCTGTATATTTTCTAGATCATGAATAGTATATATTTTTTACCATTCACGACTCTCGCGGTGCTCTCCGCCATTTTGAAATGGTCAAAGGTTATCTCATCTCGGCAACTCGTCCATCAAAATATTCTACGAGTTGCCCAGTGGAAAATACCACATGAGGGGGTGTTCATGTGCATTTTCCACGTCGGCTTTTAGTATTCACCATAATTACCATAGCACATGAACGCAGCATTTTTCCTTTATGTCCGCGTTGCGTGTGTAGCTGGTATACGTCTCTCATTAGCAATCGCGCCCTGCTTCATACTACAGTCATGTTAAAAACATCAATGTATTCACTCATCCATAAAAGATCCAAGAGCTTGACGACAAGATCCATAATTCCGCTTAATGCTCTGCGTCATCAACATGCGCATTTGTTATTGTAAGAGGTTGACCACTTGTAGCGAAAAATCCTACATATTGTACCTTTAAACACAATTCTTTTAAAAATAAGTTAAAATAGCTCATAACATGCCTGTCTTTAAAGATTTATTTCTCTATGGAGAAAATAAATGTTACTTCCGGAACCCGACTTTTGCACTTTGCAAATACTGCCAATTTTACTTGTTTTAAACCTGTTTCACATGTACTTTAGGTTCCCATTGGCTGCATGTTATAGTTCAGGGCAGGCTTACGCTGCTGTCAGTGGCCTTCAGTCCTTCCATGAAGACGTTGTGGAAATACAGCATCTGCTTAGAACATAATTGTAGTTTCTTCAGAGCTATATTTTAAGCAGACAAGCAAATAAAACCCGTCCAAATATGATCAACGACGCATCTCCAAAGGGCCATCTCCAGAGCGACATGAACACAAAGAGTCAGGCATTGAAGTTCTGACATTCTCTCTTCTCCTTCTCCATGCTCAGGCAGGTTTCCTTTTCCAGAAGGAATTCTTGTGAGGTCTGTCCCTCATTGAAGGCTTATACCCACCTCCGCTGATTCGGCACTATCAGATGTTTTGTGATAAGGGCGGATTCTGTGAGCTGGGTATCTCCTCAGCCATTTGAGCTGTGTAAACTTACCTCTGTGGGTCGTTACGCAAGACTTCACATACAGTGCCCTGTCTCATGTCTGGGCACAGGTGCCAAGCGCTAAACAAGGCTTTTGCGAACTGGCACTACAGATGCCAAGGCTGACTAATGACTGAATTAATTAATACAAGTGGACTTAACAAGTCCATTGTTTTAAAAAAAAAAAAATCTCTTAGAAAGTAAGAATGGGCATTGTTCTCCCATCAGCCCTCAGGAATGTGTTAGCGATATCCCTTCATAATCAGACAGACCCACTCACGCTCTGTTAGTGATGTCATGACAGGCTTTTCGGGATGATTATGTGATTGTGGGCTTCGTTACACATTTTTGGGGAATTTTCCTGACGTTTATTTAGAAGCTCATAAACTTAAGCCAGCTGGATCTCCTCATTAAGTCATTTGTATGCAATGATTGTGTCCCTTAGCGTCAAGTCTCACATTGTTAATGTCAGTTGGGTGACTGTTTGTTTTGGCTACTGTAGGGTTGCTAGGTGGCTCATTTTGTGTGGCCTTTCTTTATCTGATTTGAACAAAAACATATCTAAAACTTTTTTTCTTTTTTTTTTAAGTGTGAAGATCCACCACCCCTAAACCTAATTGACAGTGGGGATGAAGCAGATAAAAAAATATAATAGACTAATAAGATTGTATGAATTCGCCAAAATGTAAAACTGTTACAAATTGCCATGAGAGTGTGTTGTTAGGTCCAAAGATACTTGTAAAGATTGATTCACCTTTATGATCACGGCATTCGAGCAGTTTTCTTCTTCTTCCTCTTTTTGTAATGGCAATGATAAAAACGAAATGCAGTTAAGGCCCGTACACACCGGGACGAATATCAGCGCGCGTTGTGTCAGCGTTTTTCAATGCAGTTTTGTGTTCACACACCCAAGCGATTTTCGCTGACGATGAGCCGAGTGAACATGCAAATTTATTCCCTGACACTAGATGGCGCCAACTTGCTCTACAATACCACTCCATATCAGTTTTATTTCATCAAGATGTTTGTCATATAGTTCTTTATGTTCTAGCACCAACGAGTCCAGCAGCTATACATTCATCTTGCCTTGCGTCTTCCTCGTCTTATTTCTTCCTGGCTGTGTAGATGGCGACTCCACTTGGCGTATATCTTCTTCGCTGTTGCATACGTGTGCTCGGCAAGACCATTTTGTGTTTGAGCGCCCCCAAGTTGTGTTTTACTGTAACTTACTGTAACTGTAACTTAACTTTACTATAACACCAATCTCATTGGTCGGATAGTTTTTGTACTAAAAACTAAAAAAACAAACCCGAGGCGTTTTTTTAAAAATCACATTGTCGCCCTTTGTTTAATCACGAGGCGTTAAACGTCGGCGAATAACGTGTGCAAAATTCATCCCGTTGTGAACAGGCCTTTAGTGTGTATGTAAATGTGTTTCAAAATGTACATTTTTGTAAACGATACTGTTATCATAATCGTGTAAACTACAAAAATGCGAATGTTTGAAAATGGTGAAGTCTTGCGTATTACGTGTTCAGTCTATAACTGCATAGTTTTTCTTTACAAAGTGACATCGCCATCTACAGGCCTGGCAGCAGAATACAGCGTTTTTAGAACTATTTTAACAACACTGTCGTCTGTTCATAAAAAACGTGTCCGTATTTAGAACATCGTTGTTGTGTAAATGTTCCCGAAGTACAAGGTTTTGAAAATGATGCCATTATTATCTGCTACAGTATGTGAAAACTACAAAAACACAAATTTGTGAAAATGGTGACGTCATGCGCATACATGTTACGTATTCAGTCTATTGACATTTAGGTTTTCTGTACAAAGGGACATCGCCAACAACTGGCCTAGCAGCAGAATACAGTGTTAAAAAATAATTTAAAAAATCGCAGATTCACATCAACAGGGATTGGTTTGACAACATTGTCATCTGTAGGCTACGTGAAAAACGCAAAGGAAAAACTTTTTAGAAGCTACATAATTGACGTGTAAATTTACCCTAGTTAGAAGATTTTTCTGTGAGGGTATACTAAATCGGTTGATTTTTTTCAATTGTGCAGCCCTGACACCTATAATCAACTGTAAGCCTAAATTTGCTGATTGATTTAAGACTAGTTCAATCACCAGACGTCACATTTAAGTCTTCAATGACAACTGTTTTTGTTCCATGCTTCTGTCAATCCTGATTACAGTATTGCACAGCAACAGCAATATTTTATGTCAGTCATATTTCCTCAGCTGTAATCAGCAAGAACTTGTGTAAATACATTTGTTTTTATTTCTATAGTTTATAATTTATTCATCGTGTTCTTAATGAATCCTGTTCTTTCTTGCTGAGTTAGTGGTCGTAAGTCTCATGCAAAAACATAATCAAAATTCAAATTAAGAGTGAAAACTAATAACCAAAGACAAATATTAAGCGTGTTTGGGGAGCAGAAGGCAGGGGAGGGAGGTTGTCACACACAAATAAATCATATGGGGAAGCCAATAAACCGCTGCAGAACGAGTATGAATGCTGTCTTGTGCCACGAAATATTAGGCAGTGTAAGTAATCCGTACAGACGACGGACGCCTGGAATGCGAAGCGGCATCGATAGCCAACTCGTGTCAAGCCGTCAGCTCCGCTGGCCCGAGAGAACGGTGTGTGTGATTGATGAGCGGGAAGCGCGTGGAGACCTGCGCAGAATTAATGTCGCGTGCACTTAAAGTGCGCATGCGCTTATTCGCAGCGATTCTCCTATATTTTGAAATATGTTAAAGTTTTCATTTTATTTTTTCCTTTTTTTAGATTTGCTTTTATATTTTACTTGTTTTACATGTTACTGAAATAAAAGTGTTGCGAGCTTAGGCTGTCACATTTAAAATGGGATGTCCTTCAAAAAACTTAGCTGGAAGTTGTAGCTTGTTTTGAAGTGTTAACAATGAATTGTGGTCCCAAACATGTTAGGTGAGTTGTAAATGTAATTTCTAATCGTGAAAGTTTACTAATGTGATTATGCTTATCCACGGTAATGGAAAATGTGCAGAGAATGCATTATGTTAACTTTATTTCACGAAGGCCCTATGTAGTTGTTGCCTGTTTTGCTTTGGTGACAACTGAAGGTTCAAAATCAAAGAGGCGTCGCAACATGTTGACCTGCTAATTAGAACATATGTATCTGTCTTCAAAATGTTACTTTTCCTCATTGCAATAACCAACAGACTTGACTTTTGCTATGCGTCGTACTGCAGTGCAGGGTTAATGGCTAAAGTTGTTCAAATACAGCAATCTGTGTATAAATATTGCAAAGCAAGTTTAGGTGAAGGGCTAAACGAAACAAAAAAACTCCTCACAAGGGAGAGTTTGTGGACGGACATCGTGTATGTTTGCTGTGCAAATGTTAGCTTTAATAATTAAGAGCAACGCTTTTCCACAAGCACATGCCATTTTCATAGTCAGTCACCTGTATTTTGACAAATTTCACAATGCAAACTTTTACTAATCATGTGACATGTATTCTGTTTGTACAGTGCTTCTCTATGGTAGGTTGTGAGAAAACTAGCTTGGTATTTTAAGTGTAAAGAACATTATTTTTGTGATAATAAAGTGTTATTTCAGTCTTTTCTTAGTTTTACCTTGAAGGAAATCATAGTCTGAGGTACATTTCACGTGAACTCCGGTGGTTCAGATATTCAAGCAAATGAACATTCTGCAGATCATCTCCTTTTGTGTTCTTTGGGTTTGGAAAGCTTGAGGGTGAAAAAATTATGACACTGTTTTCATTTTTTTTTGCGTAAACCTTTCCTTAATTTTTCCATCTCAAAGCTATGTTTCATCCCATATTGGAAAAAGGAATTTCAAAGAGCATACCTCATCTCTCTCTCTCCCTCTCCCTCCATCAGTGAAAGACTCTCCTGAGAGTGTGTGACCCAGGCTCCTCATACATCTGATGAGAGACCTAATAGGTGAGCAAACACACCGATTACCGAGCCTGCTCTGCTGAGGTTACCTGTTTGTGAGGGTTTTTCTGCTCTTTTGCACAAACATTACATATATATATATTTAGGGTGTGTTCACATTTGGCGTGTTTAGTTAGATTAAAACGAACCCTGGTGCGATTGCTCTGTAAGTGCGGTTCATTTGAATAAGCATGAACGCTGTCATCTGAACCCTGGTTGCAGTCTGCGCACCATACAAGCGTACAGAGACCACTGAAAAGATGAGTCTCAGTCCACTTCCAAACAAACTCTGGTGCGGTTCGAATGATATTTGAACGCAACTTGGACCAAAGACATGTAAACAAACCAAAAACCGGAAGATGAGACTCTAAAAAGACAGAATGCTCAATTATACCTGTTTTTTGTTGTCATATCGCGATGTTGCCCATTACAGTTTGGTACTGACTTTTTTGTGTGTGTGTGTGACAGATATAGCTGTTCTTTGGAGAACTAAAAATGGTTTGCATTGCCCCCCTTTTGCATCTTGTTTTTAATACTTTTTTTTTTTAGCCTTTTGTGCCTATAAACACATTTATGAGATAACAACTTCCATAGGATTTCTTTTTAGCCTCCAAGCAAATTCCTGGGGTTCCTGAAGTGTTGCTGATTGTATCTGTGACTGAGATGAAACAATGGTCTTTAGAAAATGAAAACCACAGCACATCCCACACACTTCATCGGCTTTTATGTAAGAGTTGATCAAGTGGAGATGGCACTCTTTTTTCTAGGTTTGATATGCCAATTCGCTGAAATATCTGTTTCTGCTTTTGCTGATTACAGATAACAAGGGTTTTGAATGTAAATGTCAGCCTTAAACAAACAAGTCCCTGTCAAATCCAGAGCTGCTCACTAGTAAACACTTTATTGTGGACCGTTAAGGATGGTTGAAACCTGCAGAGATATTCTGATCATCTGTAAAGCAGGTCTGAACAAGAACAAAGCAGAAAAGAAAGCAAGAGAGGAGGTTTTGCCTCCAAAACTAAAAACTAAATATGGAAATCTGCAGTGTTCCATTAAAGATATTGTTAAATTTGTAGATGTTACCTATGTAGGGAGCTCACTAGATTTTGGAACAGAACCACACCATATTGTTTAATAGACTGCAACTGCATTAGTCTCACCCAAGTATTTTTTCCCCATATGGATTTTTTTTTTTTGATAAACACTTTGTCAAATAAATCAGCTTCGAGGTGAATCACATTAAAAAATTGTATTTGGAGCAAAACTTTTCTTTATTAAGTGGGGAAAAAACGTCATTCCGCATCATTCATGAGTAATACACTGAAAAAAATAATATGCTTTATCTAATCAATAAAATTGTGGCAACATATTACAAGCAATATTATTAATTAAATTGTACAAATTAGAATTAATTAGAAAGTTAATTTGATTAACTATTACTCAATTCTAATTTGTTCAATTTAAAAAATAATATTGCTTGTAATCTGTTGCCACAATTTTATTGATTAGATAAAGCATATTCATTTTTAGTGTAGTTTTTCACTGCAAAATTCAGCTGTTAACCCTTAAATGCATTCTTTAATGATGAGTGTCATTCACTATCTGTGTATATCCGGGTCACTAAAGACCCGAATATGTAATAATAATTTGCGAAATTCATACATTTAAAAGTTAAAGTTTAAATATTGCAGACTTACGGCTTCACCAGAAGCATTTACCATGGATTATCAATGCGGTTTCATTTTCAGTGGTAAACATTCAATCAGAATAAATTGATTTTTTTTTATTTTTAAACTTTAAAGCGTTAAATTATTCAAAAGGGTAAAAGTTGGAATGGAGTTTGTATATTTGTTAGTTTAATAAATAATTTGAAATTCCAGATAAAGATATAAAAGCTGAGAAGTCTTCTTAAGCTGAATTTTGCTGATGTAAATCCACCAAAAATCACTCCGGAAACTTTCGCTCTTTTGACCCAGACTGAAATCTCCAGAGTCTGGGATTAAAATAAGAAGACAACCTGTGAAAAAGACTGTTGAAGCAAACACAAGTTTGTCATGTATATTCAAACTTCTCTTTTTTTCCAGTGACATATCCAGCAGAGTGAGGAGGATGCCAAGAGCAAAATCCACCCGGACATCAGAATTTCCCAGGGAGATAAAGAGCTTTTTGTGTGAGTAATATTTTAAGGATGAGGGGAAAGACGGGACTTTGACAGAGAAAGAGAGATAGAGAAATACAGAGAGAGAGACAGAGCTAACCAGAACACTGAAACACTGTGAACCACAGTCTTTAGCAAGTGAAAATAGACATAATGCAAAGAGACGCTTTTGCAAATTTGCCCAAACCAAGTACTATTTTGCTTATTTGAAACACACAAGGAGATGCTAGACTGAATGTTTAAGAAGCTCTTTACCATACAGCAATGGTGATTACTTGCACAATACAATGATTAGCTACAGCATTGAAGTCTATTGTATGAACTTATAAGACTACGTTTTATGGAATTTAAAGAGGACCTATTATGCTTTTTTACAATTTCAGAGATCAGTAGAGACTTTGTAAAAGGGCATAATAGGTCTATTTGTTTAATTATTATTTTTTATGCCCAAAATCTACTTTTAGTCTATGTAAAAGTGCATCTTGGACATTTTGCAAAAAATCTCCCTTTGTGTTTTACAAAATAAGCAAGTCATATGGGTTTATAGCATCATTAGAGTTAGTTTTTTGATAATAGAACTTACATTTTTGGGTGAATTATTACTTTAATTCTTAATGTTAATTCCCTGCACCAAGTAGTCTGAGTCTCTCTCTCTCTCTTACTTTGCCATGGTTTATTTTAGGTCCTCCTCAGATACGGAATGAACAATATTTGCTTTCATTTGGAAATTTTTGTGGGGATTAAAACCTTTAGGACACATTTTTTTTTCAGGAGGGGTGAAAGGGGCTCCCTTAATCTGGTTCACACAGTCTACCTTTGGTGTAGCGCTAGTACATTTGGGCCAGGTCTGATTGAAGAGGGCAGCGGGTCAATGTATGGATGGATAGATGGAGGGCAAAAAGGAGGAGAGGACAGAGGAATGGCTAGAGGGGAGGTGTAAAGGGGTGCGTATGAGGCGTCCCAGGCCGAAGCTTTGAGGATTAACGGGGTGACTTCTCTTCTGGAATGTTCAGCCGACAGCCAAGACCCTCCCACTCTGCCAGACAGGTGCACGACAGAACCAAAAAATGATACGAGTGAAAGAAAGGGGAAAATAATGTTACGCACTGATGAGTGCTTCACTAAACGCTTATCTTTCAATATCTCTCAACCATTTCAAATCAAACAGAGCTGTTTTGACTGAGCTGATCAGAGCTTTCAAATACAGAGCAAAACATTAATTTTGATTAATGATGAAAACAGAGAGATTAAATCTCTCAAAGCAGCTTTATTTGATCTGTTTTCAAATATACAATGCTTGAATGAAAATGAGTTCAGAGTAATTTCACAACTAGGTGGAACCATTTGAGAAGGTCCCTACTGTAAGTGTAGTGTTCTGTTATTATCTAACAAATCATCTGGCTGTCATCATTTGGAAAAATACAGTGCCAGAAACTGGAAAGTTATGTTTATTCAACTTTTATGACTCTTAATAGCATGCAAGAAGATTTGAAACACAGTACCATGACTATCCTACTTAATGTGCGTTCTAGCATTACACTGTGCGCTAACAAACATTAGTACTCAAGGGGGCGATGCGTTTCAAATGTTTAGTTAGGTAGCTTACTATAAATATTGATAGTACTAACCCACAAATAAGACAGTTTATGGTACACTGTAAAAAAATATTGCTGGTTTAACTTAAAAAAATTAACCTGGTTGCCTTCAAATTTTAAGTTCTTTGAAATGGAAAAATAGTGAATACAATGAAGGAGATTAATTTAATCACCAGAAACTCAAAATATTATGTTATCTGAACATAAATTATCTAAGTTGATTTGACAAAAGAAAAAATGTTGTGATTACAAATCATGAAAATATTTTTTTACTGTAATGTTAATGTTAATTACTGTTAATAGAGACCATATATATAAAGAAATACAAAAATCAGTTATACTTTAATTAGTTGCCAAGGTCACAATTTTCATTTCAATTAAGTTAAAGTTTGAACTAAAACGGAAAAATACTAAACTAAAATTTAAATATGCAATAAAAACTAAATAAACATGTTTAAAAAATTATAAACTAATAAAAACAACAAGCGCACAACAAAATTACAAAAACGTAAAAATCTAAAAATAGTATAAAATATAAAATAAAATGATAAAATAACTAAAAATGTATAAAAAAATAATTTAAAATGTTAATACTATAATATTATATGAATTATACTATAATAATTATACACACACACACACACAAACTTTTAATTCATATCTCAATTTTTCATTATCACAGTACGGGATTTGCCAGAGCCTGGTGGTGTCAACCAATCAGCATTGTCATGACGTCATTTTTATGCAGCTTCAGGGCGATTAATCACAAGTTATTTACTCTCAGCTCAGGTGACTGACTTAAAATGTTCCCATGAGCAAAGGTGGTAGATTTCAATTTCAAATTCGGAGGTTCCTGCACCAGCCGAGTAACTGCCGAGTAGAGATGAATGGCAATGCTAACGGCTTGCTTTCTTTAGGTATTCCATACCAGCTGACAATGATCCCAATAACAACATAATAGTCAGCATCTGTCCTACTCTATAAATCATCTTGAGTGAACTCTATACGATCCGTAATGTCTTAATACAATCTAAAGAACACAGTTATTATGGTAACAAGAACAGAGAGGAAAGGACATTTCTCCACACGTAATTTAAGGTTGGGAATGCCGTGGCTTGCCTGCGCTTGTGCTAAATTTCAAGCATTGCATTTCAAACAAATAGGAGATAAATTAAGTCACAGTGAGTTGTGACCTTGCAGGCAGATGTTTTAGTATTTATACTAATGAAAGTGATTTATATCTCAAGATACTTTTCCATTATTCCATTTCAAGCTCATAAAACAGCTATGGTCCTCAATCCTCTTCCAGAATTGCTTTCTTTTTAATCTCAAGGTCCTCATTGGGAAAGATAACAGATTGTTTGAGGGAGCTTCTTGATAAGAAGCCTGTGAAATGGGATTCTTTGTTTTTGGATTCACCTCTTCTTGTGTGAATAGTCCCGTTATCCTGCTGTTTGAGGGAAAAGGAGGGGCTAGTGTGGATTCAAACTCATTTCTATTGGCTCATCAGATTATATTGATGGTTTAATTACTCAAATCAGAGATTTGATATCAGATTAAAGATGGCCTTAGGTTCTCCAGCACAAATAACCTCAGGTTGAAGTGGGTGCAGATCCATCTCGAAATCCATCAACACTTTCTTTGTTCCAAAGGTTCTTATCAGTCGCAGTGTGACATATCTTGATCGGACCAAATAGTTTTCCCTCTGACTCCCAAGGGCCGTCTTTACCTTATCAACTTTAATGTCCACATGCACCGCTGGAGGAGTTGGAGGCCTCGGGTTATGGGCAGTTTATCTTGGTTGACACTCCCTTGTTTTTATTTAAATCAGTTAAACTCTTCTTTAAAAGCATCACAGTTTTATTTGAAAAAAGACCTCCTATGTTTATAAGAGCTCTGTTTTTCTGTTTTTTACATCAAAAGGAGATGTTCATGAAGCTCTGCTGGGTGATACAGAACGGGAATTGCTCTCAGCGTGAAGAACTCCCGAATCTCTTCCCACACACCTCTTCACACAGCTGCAGTAAACTACAGGTAGGAGTGTTTTACCGCCATGCGCTCTGGATCAGTCGATGTGCCTCGAGACCACCAAGAAAGACTTTGTTCTTTGTCTGGGAACACAACACACAAACTCTCCCTCTTTTAATTAGAGCATCAACAGAGATGCTGCTACTAGAGTTACTGTTGTCTATAAACACTGCTCCTTCAGTCAGTGTGAATAAATGAGTCATCAAAGTCTTCAGGATTCATCTTTCAAAGGTGTTTCATTATACAGACAATCCCATTTTTGTTTCAGTTTTCATATTATATTATTTTCATATTGATCGAGGGAGTCCTAATCTATATCTAGAGAGCAAAATATCATCGAGACTGGAATATTTTGACTTGAGCCAGCAAACAACTAACCAGCTTTCCTGTAGCTCAAACAGAGCATGGCGTTAGCAATACCAGGGTCATGGGTTGATATTTTATATATTATTATTTTTATTTTTATATACACTCACCTAAAGGATTATTACGAACACCTGCTCAATTTCTCATTAATGCAATTATCTAATCACATGGCAGTTGCTTCAATGCATTTCGGGGTGTGGTCCTGGTCAAGACAATCTCCTGAACTCCAAACTGAATGTCAGAATGGGAAAGAAAGGTGATTTAAGCCATTTTGAGCGTGGCATGGTTGTTGGTGCCAGACAGGCCGATCTGAGTATTTCACGATCTGCTCAGTTACTGGGATTTTCACACACAACCATTTCTAGGGTTTACAAAGAATGGTGTGAAAAGGGAAAAACATCCAGTGTGCGGCAGTCCTGTGGGCGAAAAAGCCTTGTTGATGCTAGAGGTCAGAGGAGAATGGGCCGACTGATTCAAGCTGATAGAAGAGCAACTTTGACTGAAATAAACTCTCGTTACAACCGAGGTATGCAGCAAAGCATTTGTGAAGCCACAACACACACAACCTTGAGGCGGATGGGCTACAACAGCAGAAGACCCCACCGGGTACCACTCATCTCCACTACAAATAGGAAAAAGAGGCTACAATTTGCAAGAGCTCACCAAAATTGGACAGTTGAAGACTGGAAAAATGTGGTCTGTTTAGTCTCGATTTCTGTTGAGACATTCAGATGGTAGAGTCAGAATTTGGTGTAAACAGAATGAGAACATGGATCCATCATGCCTTGTTACCACTGTGCAGGCTGGTGGTGTTGGTGTAATGGTGTGGGGGATGTTTTCTTGGCACACTTTAGGCTCCTTAGTGCCAATTGGGCATCGTTTAAATGCCACGGCCTACCTGAGCATTGTTTCTGACCATGTTCATCCCTTTATGGCCACCATAAACCCTTCCTCTGATGGCTACTTCCAGCAGGATAATGCACCATGTCACAAAGCTATGAGTTCACTGTACTAAAACAGGACGGCAGTGGCTCAGTGGTTCAAGTAGGTTGTCTACAAACCAGAAGGTTGGTGGTTCAATCCCCGGTTCCACCTGACCAAGTGTCGAGGTGTCCATGAGCAAAATACCTAACCCCAGCTGCTCCCGACGATCGGGATGGAGCCTTGCATGGCTGACACCACTATTGGTGTATGAATGAGTGAGTGAATGGGTGAATGTGAGGCAAAATGGCCCATTTGGTGGCAAATGGGTCTTTGAAAGTGCTATATAAATGCAGTCCATTTATTTCAAGTTTTCGTGATGATACTTCCTATTCTTTTGTTTTCCGCCTACTGACATCATTGTCATTATAGCCTATATATATATACATATACATATAAAACTTCATATATTGTTTATAATGAATTGATTGAGGAATACTAAGAAGGTTGATGGCTAGCTTTATGAAATGAATGAGGAGGAGGATAGTGGATGACGTCCCTGGTCACTAAAGACCCGAGGTATGCGTTTAAGTTATAGGAGAGTCCAGGGGACCACAATATCATAGATTTCATAGATTTGGACATGGTCTGTTTGATTTGGGCATTTTCTTTGCCCTATTCTCTCTGTTTCACAATGCCCTTGCCTTTGAGTAAACCGCTGCGCTGCCCTCTCTCAACCCCCCTTCTCTTTTTCTTCCATTCCTTCATTCTCATGCTCCTCTGATCTTCCTCTTCTTCTGGTGTTAAATAAGGTGAGCTGAAGAATTATTAGATCTGCAAAATGCAGCAAAGCCACAAATCATATGGCATTAGCGTGAGAACAGACAGCAGCTGCCCCAGTAATCTGCCCCCTTTTCTCTCTCAAAGGGCTACTGTGGGCCCCGTCCTCAAAAACCTCTACGTGTCGTGTGTATGATGTTGTGAGAATTTTGGACTTATGTATATGTAAATGACTGTTAAATTTTATAAAAGACTAAGGCTAAAGACTAAATCACAAAGATCTCATTCAGGAAAATGTGTAATACAGCAGATTCTGTGACAACCTTTGAAAGCGGCCATGAGTGAACAAAACACTCATCCTTCATCTCCACATCAGCCACTCCTATCAAAGTCTTAGCGTGGCTTGAAGTTGGTGAGGGTGAAAAAAAAGAGTTAAATGAAAAAGAAGAATGTGGAAAGTGTGGGAATGAGGAACAGCAGGGCAGACACAAAGGCCCGCCGTGTGTCGGGAGAACTGACCCGATCCAAGACACACAAAAGAACTACTGCAGAGAGAGCTGGACAAGAGCTGGGCATCAGTCCTGAGCCACTGACACACAACCAGAGAGGGGGAGGGAGGGAGAGAGAGGTGGGGTAAAAGATGGGTGAGGCTACACAGGCTCAATTTTAAAGACCACTTTATGCCATAAAGTTTATATGAAGAGTTCACATGCAAAAGCCTCTAAATGCCATTTGAAATTTTCTTCTTTAATGAGGATTTTTATCAAACTTGTATATTTAAGTTCAGTAATTTCACTTAAATAACAATTAATAGGTAATTACCATTGCCATTTAAGTGAAATTACTGAACTTAAATATACAAGTTTGATAAAAAATCATCATTAAAGAAGAAAATTTCAAATGGCATTTAGAGGCTTTTGCATCTGAACTCTTCATATATAAGGAGAAATGTCTTCAATGATGGCATAATACTTTTTGAATGGAATTATTTCATTTTTTTTCTTGTGATAAAGTATGTTTGCAAGCTATTTAATTCATACAATTTTATTAAAATTCTAAATTAATTTAATTAACTAATACTAAATCCCTGAAGTGGGATGAGAATCCCTAAATGGTTACATATATGAAGCCCCTGAAAACCCCTTTATGGTTCCAGAAACTTTTCTTCTTGAGTGTAGGGGTGATTCTGCAACTTACAAAAAGAGAATTTGAGATTTGAGTTCATGTATTATCATTAAAAAGTTTTTTTTCTTTATTTAATTAAAAAAAAATATATATCTTACTATTCCCAAGGTGGCATTTAGCATCATTAGCAATAATTTAGCATCATTACTCCAGTCTTCAGTCTCACATGGTCCTTTAGAAATCATTTTGATTTGATGTTCAAGAAATATTTATAATTATTATCATTTTTCAATATCAATGTTGAAAACAGTTTCTGCTTAAGTTCTTTTATTCTCTGATAAATAGAAATGCCTTTTAAGACACATAACATTGAGTGATCCAATGACCAAACATGAATAAAGATTTAATTATTGGCCTGTTCCTCATGCAAAGCTATCGTAGGACTTCAGAAGTCTTGGGATATAATGGACATGGACTACTTTTATGGTGCTTTTGTTCTTTTTTTCTTTAGACATAAATTTTAATAAATCCCCATCCACTTTCCATGAACAAACAGGTTGGATATTCTATATAATTTAGTGTTTCACAGAAAAAAATTAAATCATACTGTAAAAGGTTACAAAAAAATTTTTAAAAAAAATTCATTTTGGTTGAACAATTTCTTAACTTTTATATGATTATTTTGTGGCATTATATTTAAAGTATTTTTCCTATATGTTTTATTATCTACTGATTAAAGATCATCAATATTAATAGTATTCTATATTATATTGATAAACCACTATTTATTTACTTTTCCTTCTAGAACGTGGAATTGTTCAGATGTGGTTTGCAAATCACCACAGAATGACCCAGGAACTTTAAGACAGACAGAGAGGAGTGGGTGACACACCTGACAGCAACCTGATCTGTGTTGGAGAGAGTCATGCCAATGCCTCTGAGGGATGCTGGTTATGTTGACTGAGGCGCTACAGCATTTGTCCGGTATGTCACAACAAATGGCCGGCCTGTTTTTAAGTCACAGGTGTGCTTGGAGGGGTCACCTGACCTCAAACCTGTTAAAACACACACACACACACACACAGAGAGAGATAGAGAGACTACCTTCATCTCAGATACTAACACACTGAACTGCTGCATCAGACAGAAACAGGATGGATGGATGATAGATGGATAGATAGTTGGTGCGGTAACCCAATGCACTGTGCTGTGCTGGTAACCCAATGCACAGGACAATGGTGACACCAGAATCAAAATCTTCATAATTCTCAAGCTGAAAATAGTATTATTTTAGATGACTATTCTTGAATCACTGACTGTATATATATATATATATATATATATATATATATATATATTTTTTTTTTTTAAATAATGTAATGTCTATTTTTTACTGGTAACATAAGACATTTGGCATTATCAAGAACCACAAATATTCGCCAATTGCATTTTTATTCATTATATTCAAAATTATATATAGCAGTTTAATGTGGTACTGACATAGACTCTGTAAACTCTCACACAGTAATTTTTATTTTGGGGGAACTAAACACAATTTGTCACTATCCACGATACATATTGTCGCATTTTTGTATTGCGATATATTGTGACACGATATATTATTACACCCGTAATAGATAGATAGATAGATAGATAGATAGATAGATAGATAGATAGATAGATAGATAGATAGATAGATAGATAGATAGATAGATAGATAGATAGATAGATAGATAGATAGATTCCGACATGAAATTATATTTTTTATTCCAGCTGTAGAACTGTTTACACTTTTTAGTTTGTTGTTGGAAGATTAACTGAGTATTGACTGCACTGCTGGATGGGAATGTAGAGTCAAGCACAGGTGCTGGATTAATAAGAAACACATTGTCGTCTCAATCTCACACAGACACACATAAAAAGCTCAGATCTTACTACTGTAAACGTAAAACACATGAGATATGCAAAAATACACCATTTAAAGTTAGTGTTGTAGTATTGTCTTATGAATTACTGAAGAATTAATCAATTTATTTGTTTGGTTTATTATGTGTATTAATGTGGGATATTAAAATCCCTGTCTTTATGTTCAGTCTCTTACTCCATCTCTTTTCCAGCAGTGGGAAACACGGGAGGATTTGAGTACTAGTGCTTTTTAAAATCCTGAATTTGGCATCTTTGAAGTGTCAATAACTGATTTACTTCTTTATGTTCCCCGCAGTGTTAAAACCAGAGAGTGCGCCTTCTAATCTCACAGACCCAGCACCAGATCTGCTTATCATAAATTACACCCGGAGGAAAAGGAATGAGGTCAGTTTGAGGTCACTGATGGAAAGATGGAGCTCTAGTTTAAGACAGTGGTGGACAAAAACAGAATAATGGTTGATTTACATGTGCATCTCAATTTAGCCATTTAAGATATCAACTTAGAATGAAAGTTGTTTTTTGGATTTAATGATTGTGGAGAAATGTACACTTACACACTCTTACATTAACAAGAATACAAAGTATTATAAAAGACTTCTTTATTTCTAATCATCATGAAGCACTTTCAACAAAATTATCTGTCTCCCATTCCATGTGTGGCACAGGACTATGATCTGCAGGCAATAGCTGGGTAAAAAAAAAAAACTTCTTTAAAAAAATGTTAAGACTTCTAAAAAAAAAAAATCTGTTAAGATGCATTACAAAAAAATCCAGAAATTAGTCAAAGAAAAGACAAAGAAAATACATAACAAAAAAAAGATGGCCTTGACAAATGCAACATGTAATACTTGTACAACTTAGAAAAGTATACTCATTTTAGATTCACAAAGGACACATACATTGTATGTGTTAAATTATTATTATTCTTTTTGTTGTTTTTGTAAGGACATACAAATGCTAACTAAATCATTCACATATTCAGCAGTCTGTTTAAATACCTTATTTTTTCTACAAAGTGAATTTACATTGTTTTAAAGTACAAAGTGCAAAGACTATGGTTTCCGTTGTCGTTTTGGTGGGGGCGGGAACAATCGCGGCGGCCACTTTAGCCTTGTTTCTTTGACAGGTTCTGCAAATATAGGCAAATGAGAAAATTAGGAAAATGCCATTTTAAAGCAATGGCTTGCTGTTGTCATCATTTATAAATGCAATTTCCCATTTGTATTTTAGTAATTGGTTTCAATCTACTGCTTGGGGGGAAAAAAAGAGAGATGGGAGAGAGCCCTGGAATGCATGTTGTGAATGTTAACAGCACCTACATTAACTCACCAGTTTACTAGATGTTGTGCCTTCACCTGTTTTTGCCCCTGAGGAGAAAGCAATGAGAACGTTTTACAAGCCTGTTCCCCATTACATAACAGCAATACGGGTTGTTTCTGAGAAAGTTATTAAACAAACGTAAACACTCATTGTCAATTAAAACGACCACACAGTCTTTGAACAATCTCGTACAGCTCACTGTCAGAGCGCACTGTCAGTATCTCCAATCAGAAAACAGTTATAAACAGAGTTTATTCTGTGAATCTACTCATTTATAAAACAGGTTCTAACTAAAAAAAAAAAAAGAAAAATTCATACTAATAGAAATAAGGTCAGAATTCTGGTCAGAATAATAATTTTATTACTTATGTATAAATTGGATCTTGCACAAATTCTGAAATGTTGTTAAAGCAACGAGGAGAGGATGACGTTTTATACACAACTGGAGTCAACTCTCAAAAACAGTATTGGTCAATAGACGCCCGCATCAGGGAAGGTTAAATTTACGTATATTTGGAGTAAATATATATATTTTTAAGAAATTAATACTTTTATTCAGTAGGGATGCTTTAAATTGATCAAACGTTACAGTAAAGACATTTATAATGTTACAAAATATTGATATTTCAACTCTAATTTATTTGAACTTTTTATTCATCAAAATATATAGGACTGTTTTTGCGGGAAATAACATGCATCACTCGCCTGTACACGTCTCGTCATATCCATGAATAGAGAAAAGTTGCTCCGGCTACTTTGACGCGTTTATGATGTTGGAGTGGCATTGGTTAGTTGTCACAATAAGTGAGAAAGGTTGACACAAAATAGCTAAATCTCAAACCTCTGTGAAATCACCTGTTTTAAAAAACGCTTAACAGAGGAGTCTGCTGGCAAAAGGAGAATACGACAGAGCTCGTAATAAAACCAGAATCAACATCGGCTTTTTGGAGATGGTGAGAACTGAGGGGTTTGAAATGTTGTCAAAGCAACGAGGAGACAACAAGTGCGTAAGGTAATTTATTGAACAGATAAATTGACATATGTAGCTCTCTAGAAGACTTCATTGTAAAGCATTATCTATTTTGAAGGGTCATTTTCATGCGCAGAGCCCAAGCAAAATCAAAACAGTGTTCTTCCGCAAAATGTTGCTAGAGGGCCAAAATGTACAGTGTACCTCTAAAATATATTCAAATAGAAAACAGTTTATAGTTGTAATGCTATTTCACAATATTATTGCTTTTACTGTATTTTGATCAAATAAATGCAACCTTGGTGAGCAAAAGACTTGCAAAACCTTTCAACTCAACACAAACTTTTAAACAGTAGTATATGGAGCATTTAAATTGCATTAAAAATTGCATACAACTTTAGTGCAAATCATTTGAAATCAAAGTATTCACAGCATTCTCTGATGCAGTGCAAACTCTAGACGCCTGTACATCTGGGTCATCCATGAGGAAATAGTGAGACTCACCCTCTTCCTTAGTGACACCCAGACAGCCCATCAGTTCCTGTAGAGACAGGGCCTTATCGTTGCTGATGTCGCAGTACTCCACAAACTTCTTCACACACTTCTTGGGTTTGGATTTCTTACGCAGCAAACGCTTGAATGGTTTGATTTCTTTCTTTCCGATATCACCGCTGGAATTCTTATCAAGCTGACTGAAATACCAGTGAACAACTCGCTCTTCTAGAGTATGACTGGGGTCTGGCTCCAACATTCTGAAGGAAGAATAAAACCAAAATGTTTTAAGCAAACACAGGACATGTTTCCATGATCATAGTGTGCTGGTTACATGTCTGTGAAACTGGCAGTGAATTAAAATATCTTTCAATAGTGAAGTACTCTATTTACTCCAAGTACTCAACCCAGCTCACAAAAATATGTTGTAACAATATTTTGCTAATGTTCTCATTAGGTAAACATTATTTCTGAATGTTCAAAACGTCAATTTTTAAAAAATGTTTTTCTTGGTTATGCGAATGTTAAGGGAACATTCCATTTTAACATTTTGCACACATTATCGAAACGTTAATGTTGAATGTATAAAAAATAAAATCGTTTCAGGAAAAAAAATGTTCCGTGAATAATGGATAATTATTTTTTTTTATTAATATTTTGAGATTTTCACATGAGAAAGAAAGATAGATTAGTTAGAAAGAAAGATAGATTAATTAGAAAGAAAGAAAGATTAGTTAGAAAGAAAAAAGATAGATTAGTTAGAAAGAAAGAAAGAAAGAAAGAAAGAAAGAAAGAAAGAAAGAAAGAAAGAAAGAAAGAAAGAAAGAAAGAAAGAAAGAAAAAGATAAAGAAAGAAAGAAAGATTAGTAAAGAAAGATTGATTAGTTAGAAAGAAAGAAAGATTGATTAGTTAGAAAGAAGGAAAGATAGATTAGTTAGAAAGAAAGAAAGATATATTAGTAGAAAGAAAGATAGATTGGTTAGAAATAAATTTAGATTAGTTAGAAAGAAAGATAGATTAGTTAGAAAGAAAGATAGATTAGTTAGAAACAAAGAAAGATAGATAAGTTAGAAACAAAGAAAGATAGATAAGTTAGAAAGAAAGATAGATTAGTTAGAAACAAAGAAAGATAGATTAGTTAGAAAGAAAGATAGATAGATTAGTTAGAAAGATAGATAGATAGATTAGTTAGTTAGAAAGATAGATAGATTAGTTAGAAATAAATTTAGATTAGTTAGAAAAAAGAAAGATAGATAAGTTAGAAATAAAGAAAGAGATTAGATATAGATAGATAGATAGATTGTCAGAACATGCTGAGGAATTTCCCTGTTAACTGGGAATAATTCCAGTCAGTCAGCTAATGAACTAATAAGATATTTGTACACCACACAGTAGGAAGGGTCAGTTAATTTTATAAACTGGCCCATTACATCTTAATTTGTCAATGGTCTCTCATTTACCTGCCGGCAGAGGCCGGGTCAGTTACTGCATGAACCATGTCAGTGGACAACGCGTCCAACACGCTCGTCAGGAATTCGGTCTTCTTCTCTCCAGGACATCCTGAAAAAGAGGGACCCAAGAGTTATGATAAGAGACGAGATATTCAAAATAACCACATTGCTAACTACATGGCACAAGCTGATTGGTTCCAGTTGCATCTATAGCCAATGAGCTTGCTGCTCAACATTTAGTTGATCGATGTTTGCTGCAGCTTGCAGCGTGCTTTCAGAGTTTCTCCGAAAGCCTCCACCTTCCCCAGCTCCACCTGTATAGATCTGCTATGGGTAATTTCATACATGCTATTTGTGCAGCAGCATGTCTTACTTTCTCACAGCAGCAGGTCTGTGTATGTGTATGTATTGGCAGTAGCAAGTCTCTGTGCTTGTTCTGCAGCAGCGTAGCAGATCTATTCCGCCAAGACTAAAGCCATTACCATGCTAGACTGTTGAGACAGTTATCATGATAGAACTACAACTATGAATGGTGGTGATGGCGAAGTGGACAAGACACATGCCTTTGGTGTGAGAGACCCGGGTTCGAATCCACTGTGAGACACCAATGTGTCCCTGAGCAAGACACTTAACCCCTAGTTGCTCCAGAGGCGTGTGACCTCTGACATATATAGCAATTGTAAGTCGCTTTGGATAAAAGCGTCAGCTAAATGAGTAAATGTAAATGTAAATGAATGGGCAAAACTGTCCTAAATGTTCTTTCCTCATTGGATTTGAGTGAAATTAAGCTGTTGTTTTATAGAATCGCATGGGAAAAAGCTTAAAAGAGACCAAAGCTTCCTTTCGTGTAACATTTTACCTTTAGGTTATCAGATTAAACAGCGATGAAACCTCATAAACAGCTGTTGTGACTGAATTACTACCTCATGTAACTCTGCTGCTCTGCTCCTAATTTATTGAACTATTTGTTTGTTTGTGCTTGAATGCTCTGTGAGCATTCACATTTGTCTTACTCTTATTTATCAAGGATGCATTAAATTGGTTAAAAGTGACAGTAAAGACATTTATAATGCTACAAAATATTTCTATTTCAAATAAATTCTGTTATTTATGCTGCGTTCATGTGCTATGGTAATTATGGTAAATACCAAAATCCGACGTGGAAAATGCACATGAACACCCCCTCATGTGGTATTTTCCACTGGGCAACTCGTAGAATATTTTGATGGACGATTTGCAGAGATGAGATAATCTTTGATCTTTTCAAAATGGCGGAGAGCACCGCGAGAGTCGTGAATCGTAAAAATATATACTATTCATGATCTAGAAAATATACAGCATATTATTTACCTTTTGAGTTTTGATAAATCATTTTCTTGCTGTTGCAGATGACTTAAGCAATCTAAAATAGTTTTAGCTAAATAACAGGTCTGGATCTCCATCTTTTTACCACATCACGACAACAAAAGCACTTGAACACAACACACTGGTAAATACCAGTTCACAAGTGGAAAATATCCTACTTTCCATAGTACGTGAACGCAGCATTAAACTTCCACAAAAATATTAAGCAGCACAACTGTTTTAACATAGAAATGATTCTTGAGCACCAAATCAACTAAATTGATAAGATATCAATGATATATGATCTGCTAGCATATTATGCTCCTCTTACTAGTGGCTGTTTTAGGTACTGACGCCATAGGTGGCCCAATAAACATTGGGAAGATGTAAAGCTGACAGACGTTTCACTGTTTTTACACCAACTGCACTTAAAGATTGTGGAGAGTAGGAGATAAACTATGTTACGGCTTGAGAGATTCTTCGCCGCCCTATCGTAAAAATCCCACCTCCCTTATCCTGTCTTTGGAAGATGACAGCTGCCAATCAAACTGATGATTTAGGTTTATGGTCTGCTGTGTGTGGGAACTGTGGTCTGTGGATGTCCAGATCATAATTCACCACAAAAAGAAGAAATTATATGCATACTGAAAATTAAGCCTATTTAATTGGATTATGGCATTATTTTATTAAGTAAATCTGGTGTACAATAATCTTTATTATTATTTCAGCAAATTTGTGTCCATCTAATATCAGTTGGTTGTGTTAAATTGAACACACTAAACCTTCTTTCTCATATCCATTTGTCCGTTTATAATGAAAGGAAAAGTGTGTGTGTGTGCGCGTGTGTGCATTTGTCTTCACATGCTGCAGCTGTTTATGGTCAGGCCCCGGGGCAACAGATTCTCTGGTGTAAGAGGTCCTTGTGAACAGGTGTGTGTGTTCAGGTAAACAGTCCTCACACAAGAGAAAGGAAGAGAAAAGTGTACAGGTTTACAAGATGCTGAGAGTTTGTGAGTGAGTGTCATGCTAAAGATCTGCGTGACTTTGTGCTTCTCACAAAATATCCGTCCCATCTGTTCATACGAGGGACTGCATTCTTCTCGCTTTTTCAATAAAAACTATCTAGTCTAGACGCCCGAAAACAAACATTTCTGACTGTTTGAGAATGTATTAATAGAGGAAATGCAGCCTAAAATGTGTCAAGCTGCACAATTTGGTAAAAAATCTAGCAATTATTTTGAGAAATATATTGAAATGATACCTGTATTTGCTTGGCTGTCCAATAGTTTGTTGCAGGGGTTACATATATTTTTTAGGTCAAAACCCTCACGAGTTTGAATTTTATCGGTTCCTTCGACCTGAAGTTATATGAAAGCCGAAAATGAAAAACATCTACTCACTAGTCCACTTTTACAGCCTCGTTGTGTGTTTATAATCGTGCTCTTGCAAAGTATACTAAGTCTAGCTCAAACTTTAAGTATAGACTGAAAGATTTGTCAGAAGCTTGGTGATGGTGTCGATGACAGTCATGTGACCGTGATGGAGTTCGTTTATAGCCTAACTTTAGCTTTTGTATTTCTGGCAATTGTAGAGCTTATTTTCTGCAATAATCCAAAAGCCAATGAAAAAAAATTCTATTGGGCTTTTGTTTAGGGAATTAGGGCTATGCTAACTTCAGGTTTGGCTGGAATAAAGACTTAATCACTGCAGCGCTCTATTAAACCAGACCTGACCTCCCTTTAGTATAAAGAATGCAAAATATAATTAATGAAATGCAGTGTGTGATGAACGTCTGCCAGCTAATTATTTTACTCTATAAAGTTTTAAAGATGGATATTTAACACATCGCTTCACTTCAGAAGGCCTTTATTAACCCCCCAGAGCCGAGCACTTTTATCACAGAGTAGAGCACTTTTATCATGGGTGGATGTACTTTTATGATGGATGGATGCTCTTTTATCATGGGTGGATGTACTTTTATGATGGATGGATGCTCTTTTATCATGGATGGATGCACTTTTATCATGGATGCATGCACTTTTATCATGGATGGATGCACTTTTATCATGGGTGGATGTACTTTTATGATGGATGGATGCTCTTTTATCATGGATGGATGCACTTTTATCATGGATGCATGCACTTTTATCATGGATGGATGCACTTTTATCATGGGTGGATGTACTTTTATGATGGATGGATGCTCTTTTATCATGGATGGATGCACTTTTGTCATGGGTGGATGTACTTTTATCATGGATGGATGCTCTTTTCATCATGGGTGGATGCAATTTTATCAAGGATGGACAAAACTGAAATAGCTATTCACTGCCATTATAAAGCTTGGAAGAGCCAGGACATTTTTAATTTAACTCTGATTGTATTTGTCTGAAAGAAGAATGTCATATACTCCTAGGATGACTTGAGGGAGAGTAAATCATGGGCGTATTTTCATTTTTGGGTGAACTATCACTAAGACACCTCTAATTATAAGAAATCAAAAAACTTTCAGACATTCATTTTGATCTATGAAGGTCTATCACCTGATTGAAATGCAGAGTGAGAATTCGCTGAGCAAACCCATCCAGATCCTGCATTTTACAACATTTCAGCGTTACCCAGAATCCCACAGCTTTCGGATTACATAAAAACTCTCGAGTTGCAACGGAGTCATGAGAATTGCGGTATTGGCAGTGGATTGTGGACGTTTAGCTGCCAGCAGCCGCCGGCCCCCATCAGCCCCCCTTCTACACCACAATTAACCAGCCGTGACCAGAGAGGTGCTCACACAGCCGCACCTGTGCACACGCTGCTGGCAGCCTGAACGTCCACACACATACACCTGAGGAACAGAGGATTGTTTGTTAACATATTGGGATATTACAATGTTTACCAAAGCACCCAATGACAAAGCAGACCAGCAATTCATCTGCATCTCAGACATACTAAGCTGGTTCATATCAGCTTAGTATGGAGTACAGATTCATATTGCCATCATATAAGTGGGACACAATATGTAAGGTACGAGAGGTACCGAGAGAAAGCGGAGTAACCCCTTCAGTCGTTACTTATTCACGACTTATTCAACGCCTCGAGTACCTTATTGCTTTTATAAAATGGTTGCCACACAATAAAAATATTAAAGTAAATAAATATGTATTATTGCAACTTTCATGAAGTAAAATCATTAAAAGCCTTCCTTCCGCTCGAAAAAAAAAATAGTCCCTGACCGTGAACAGCAACAACGTTTCAATGTGTAATATGCATGAAAGCTCAAATTAAAACAACATAGGAACGACAGTGTTGCGCAGTGATAAACAGAACCGTTGGGTGAAGCGGTCATGGTCGTCTTTTATCATGAATAAAGCACAGCTATTGACCAATCAGAATGAAGGATTGGAACTAAGCGTTTTATAATATTCAATACAATATTAAATTAAATTAAAAATAAAAATTCATTTTAACTACTGTTCAAAAATTTGGAGTCAGTAAGATTGTTAATGTTTTGTCTCTGATGCTCACCAAGGCTAAATTTATTTGAGTAAAACCGTAATATTGTGAAATATTACTATACTTATATTTATATTTTAATATGTTTAATAGAATATTTTAAATGTTTAATAAATAATTTATTCCTGTGATGCAAAGCTGAATTTTCAGCATCATTACATCATTGTTCAGTGTCACATGATCCTTCAGAAATCCTTCGAATTTTCTGCTCGTTAAACATTATTATTATTAATGTTAAAAAAAACAGTTGTGCTTCTTTTTTGTGTAAACTTTAGTGCATTTCTACTAGGATTATTTGATTAACAGAAAGTTCAAAAGAACAGCATTTATTTGAAACAAAATGTTCTGTAACATAAATGTCTTTTCTGCCACTTTTGTGTAATTGCTGAATAAAAGCATGAATTTAAAAAAAAGAAAAGTAAAAGATTACTTACAGACACCAAACCCATGACTGGTGTTGTATACACTCTTAGAAGAAATGGTTCTATTTAGAACCAGAAATGGTTCCATCCCCCGCTTTATATATGGAACTGCAAAATGGTTCTAAGTGGGACACAATATGTACCATTTTAAAAAAACTTAAAAGGTTCTATTGGCCAAGTATGGAACCCCAGGGTTCTATATAGAACCCAGAGGAACCCTTTTTTTAAGAGTGTTTAGGGGTTCCAAATACGTAGCGCTGATAGAACCTTTTAAGGTTCTATATAGAACTCTTTCTTCTAAGAGTGTATTGTCAACACAGTCCCCATACAGAAATCTAGTCTAGTCAAATCAACAAATTAATTCATGCTGGAAATGAGAGTCACTCCCTCGTTTCCTTTTTGTTGTTTTTTTATCTTTGCCCTCCACTCCTCTTCCCTCTGTTCTTCATCACAGCCACTCCCCCACACTCATCCCTCCTTGTCATCCTCCTAGGCTCGTGCTATCTTTGTAATCTATCTTTTCTACCTCCCCTTTCGTCAGTGAGATGATCTGTTATCATCTTGTCGTCTGTGCGGACCGCAGGGTCGTGGGAAAACGGGATGGTTTAAGACTCTAAGATGTCACACACATACCTGTGCACACTTGAGCTCACATGCAAACACAAACACACAGACATCCTTGTGTTTTATGTTTACATGCATTTTTCCCAAATGAATAAGTATGAAAAGGTATCAAACACAAACAGCTGGTCGTGCACCTATTAAACAATACCAATTAAACAATATTTCCTTGAGGTTCTTTTATAATATTTGAAAAGTTGTTTGGTAAAAGAAAAAAAGCTTTGTTTTTGGTTTTTGCATGCTTTGTTTCTATAAGTTGTCCTCTTGCTAGTTTTGCGTTGTTTGCGTATGTCGCTCTGCTCAGAAGCACACAGGTCAGCTCACCCTGCAGATGTCTGCTCCTGTAATGGTCCTTTGGTTTGTTTGGATGGGCTCTGGCATTTCCATCACATTTTGGTTGTTCGAATCTAAAGCAAGAGAGAGAAAAGGAAATAAACAAAAGTCAAATACAAAGCATTATTCCTTACACAGAGACGAGTCCAACAGCTAAAATATTCCACCAATGCAGAGATTTTTTTTTTTGTGCACCACCATCGAGGATATCAACATGAAGTAATGTGGGATTTTTATTTAGCATTTCTTAAAGCCAGCATAAAATGGAAGTTCTTTTCTTTCAATATTTTAATCAATATCACACTAATTACAGTGTAAATATTCATAAAACACTGCAGTTTTCCATCATCTATCTATCTATCTATCTATCTATCTATCTATCTATCTATCTATCTATCTATCTATCTATCTATCTATCTATCTATATCTATCTATCTATCTATCTATCTATCTAAATGTGCTCCAGTCACTGCACTGTAAAAAAATATTTTCAAGATTTGTTATCACAACATATTTTCTTTTGTCAAATCAACTTTATAATAATTTATTTAGTTGAGATAACTTATTATTTTGAGTTTCAGATTGTTAAATTGATCTACTTCATTGTATTAACTCACTTTTTCCAGTTCAATCAACTTACAATTTTAAGGCAACCCAGGTTACTTACTTTTTTAAGTTAAACCAACAATATTTTTTTACAGTGTGCTAGAGAACAGATAGAGAGAGAGAGAGAGAGAGAGAGAGAGAGAGAGGAGGGTGAAGAGAAGGTAGCACTTCCATGCGTGCTCTAATGCGCTGTCTGGCACACTGCCTGAGGCTTTGTTAACTCAATACCACATTTGGCGATGGTCTGAAATCCACAGCATCACTCCATTACACTCATTAAAGGTGCCCCTGAATACACCGGGTGCCCCTGACCCCTCACAAACACTCACAATGTTTTGTCATTCTGCCAGGTTTCTTGATCAGATTTGAGCTGGTTGTGCAACCAGCCTGTTAGGAGATAAGTGATTAATCGAAATGATTTGATGGTATATTTAGCTTCATGGATAATGTTCTCATCAAGTTGCTCTCGAAATGTTAAAAGAGACTGAATGAGATTGTGCCAAGTATTGGCCCCTAAGAGCCTCCAAAGCTCAATTTTGTACCCCATAGTAAGTCAAATAAAGAGACCTGCCCCGGGTGTATATTAGATGTACTGTAAGAGAACAAGTCGACTGGCACTTACCATTTTAAAAGCCAAGTGGTGGGTTTTTCCTTTCAATAGAGACAAACTGCTTAAGTTGTATTCTGGCAACTAAATAAGGGCGGATTTGTTTCGTTGAGGCGCCAGAGGTATTTTAAAGTGTTTAAAATAACATTTTGTTGAAGCTGATGTTAAAGAGACATGGTGAAATAACATCCTAGCAGTTGTGCTTGGAGAAATTTCCACCTGATGTTTTGTAAAAAGTGGATCATGAGCTAAAACCACAGAATTGCACTACACATATTTTTTTTTTTAAAGCAAAGTACATTACCTTGTGGATGTGCCCGGTATAGGCCGTCCGGTGTCCACCAGGACACACCAGCAGTACCCGGTGGAGGGATGGCACTGGACGGGTTTGTAGAGGCCACCGTGAGCGCAGTCAGGTACAAAAACCGCTTCGTTTTTATGTTGTCTTGCTTCTTCCTGTGCCGACAGCTGCTCCTGATCACACGAGGTCGCTGAGGTAAAGTGAGACAGAAGAAAGGAGTGAAAAACAGCAGGAGACACAATTTGAGTGAGTAAGTGTCAGTGTTCTCTGTGGTGAAGAGAGGCCGAGCATCTGTGTTGCTGTACAATGAAAGTAGACAGTGGCCAGGAGCTGTCAAGCTTAAAAAAAAACACCTTACAATTTCCATAAAAGAAGTACATTTGACTAATGCACAATAATATAAAATAATAATAAATAAAAATAATCTAAAGTCTTTTCAATTGGTTGTGAGGAACAGTACGAACAAGCTCCAATCTAAATTAGAGATACAAAAATCCAGTGTTTGACTAATATATTGTCTACTAAGATGTCTTGATAGTTTTGGAAGGCAGCGTAGATGCATCCATCACTGCCTGTGATATCCCATGATCCTGTGTCAGTGTTTTTGGCTGGATAAAATAATACATTTGTCAGATTTTGAAATAATTATTAATGAATTAAATTTGAATTGATAAATTTAGTCTCATTTTAAAATTTAATTGGCAGTTTTATGTAAACTTTCTTTTCATCTTAGAGTATATAAAAAATATATACTTTATACTATACCTTTATACTAAGAAATAAGCACTGCGTTTTTTATTAAATATCATATCCCAGGATTCTATACATGTGCTTTGTCTGGATAAAACAATGTAATTGCTGTCTGATGTTGAAAGAATTAATAATACATTTAAATTCAATTCAATTGAAATTTAATTGGAACTAATTAATTGAATTGCAACTAATGAATGTAAATTTGTAACTTTTTTTCAACTTGTGATTTCATTTAGACTGAGAAATAAGAATTGTTTTTCATTAATTATATTTCATTATCTTGTACATGTGATTCAGCTGGTTAAAAAAATGCAAATGCCGAACACTGGCGACGTTTACATGAAGCCAATAACCCGTTCAAAACAGGGATATTAGCAATAACTCGGTCGCGAATGTAAACATGTAAACACCATGTAAAAACGGCAAAAACCCGAATATGCTCATATCCCGGTTTTTAAAATCCGGGATATGAGCATATTCGGGTTTTTGCCGTTTTTACATGGTGTTTACATATTATACCTGGGGTACCCCTTTTCTAACCCGAATTTTTGGTCATGTAAACGCGTATCGGCATATCCCCATAGTGATTTGTGTTCTGCGCATGTTCTGGAATCTTGGTCTTTTGAGTAGAGAAATTTCTTGGCGCTTACAAAAATCCGCGTTTAGTAAACCGAAAGTAAACATGACGAGACCAGGCGAGACAGCACAGCATACTTTTGGAGCGAGGTCAGTAACGTTACCAGCATCGAAGCGCAAACAAAGGCGATCGATATCTGCCCTGAACTAATCATTATCCGTGTGCTGCTGTTGTTGTTGTCTTTGGATACAGGAAGAAGAATCGGAAATGTTGCGAATGAAAATATCAAAAGAATCGGAAATATTGCGTCTTAAGGTTGTCCGTACGTCTACACGCTAACCGCGCGTCGCCGTTTACATCGCCCACGCATGCAAACGGGTTATTCCTAATGTTTGATAAACCCGAATAGTGACCTTAACCCGACCATAACCCGAAAATTGGCTGCATGTAAACATAGTCAATGTTGAGAGATGCACAGACTCAGGTAATTCACACACGCTCAATCTCTCTCTCTCTCTCTCTCTCTCTCTCTCTCTCTCTAACTGCATGAATGACTGTATTAATCAACTTGCTCAAGCCTCTGTTACTAGCTCTAAAATGACATTTTGGAATTAGCAATGGAGGCTTGGGATCAGATGCGCAAGTAATTAGTGCAACACACAAGGACAAAACCTGACCCATGTCTTGAAATACATCATCTCGGTAACTGTAGTATAACGGAATAATTGGCTCTGGTCCATTGAATCCTTCAAAAATAATGTACACACAAGGTGTAACAGCCCTGAGTGTGCATTATTTTCTTATAATTCAACATCCAGTCATCAATTACTTCTTATATAGTTATCTCTGAAGCTCATTTGAATTGGGGTTTCAGTTCATTTGACATGATTATGCCTGCATGCAAGAACATTAACTGTGAAGTCAGTGACTGACCGGACAGCCATGGAGAGACGGATAGACAGCATGTTGGAGGGGGTAAAAGTTAGAGAGAGTGAAAGTGAGAGCTTGTGCTTTATTGAGGGCCTGCAGGAATGTTTATGACATTAGGACTGCACCGGGCTCCCGCGACCAGCATAAATATTTACACGTTGTCTCTGTGCCTGTGTTTGCAGTGCCTTTGAATGAAGATAGAGACCTTGGGCAGAGAATCGCTGCATAAAAGATAGTTTTGGGAAAACAGTGGCATCTTAGTTCTCTCTTTCAATCCTGAGCATGAGCCCCGAAACACATGAATTCTCCATGTGGAGCACAACCTCTCAGTGAGATTTCTCTGCATCAGGAACCAATCATGTCATGTGCCACAACATAGCTCTCCAGCAACGCTTTGAGCCGCCTCATCTAATGCAAGCAAGATCATGCGAGTAAAAAAAAAGAAAGATAAAAAGGAAATGAGGGAGAGAAAATTTGGTGCAAAAGTCAAATTTCCATAAATTGTGCAGCCCTAGTTTCCTTGGTTTTGCAAAGCTGTTCTGAATGGTATTTAGTGCATTGCTTTGCATTTACTAAGGTGCTGTATTCTCTCGCCCACATCCTTTTATAGTTATCCTCGCTCTCTTTCTCTGTGGTGTTGTCAGGTCTTTGGCTTCATGTGAACATTGTTTTAGAAAGTGTTTTTTTCCTCCCATCTTTTCTTTGTCTTTCTTTCTTTCAGTTCTATTCTGAGCTTCTCTGAATAGTGATAATCACCCTTTAGACCTCAACGAATCAGCCGTAATCAAAACCATCAGCGTTCACTGCACTGCACTGACGTTTTATTGATTGTAAATCAAGAGAACTTTACAGTCAAGCTATTCACGCACATAGACACACACACACCCAAATGAGTCTAAGAAACGCACAAACTGTGTAATAATGTCATCAGAATTAGATCTGTTATTAAATTCATGTCGTCATTTTTTCCCCAGATGGGTTTTAATGACATCTCTTGATTCCTTCATTAGATCAACATGTCAGGCAATGGGTGAGTACCGCATTGAGCTGGATCTTCACGTGTGTGTGTGTGTGTGTGTGCCACTATAGCAACAGAGTTTCATAATACTGATCGATAAGAATCTGCCTGTCTCTTTTGCTCTCTATTTCTATTCTCTTAAAAAAATAACAATAATATAATTAAAAAACTCACGTGTCTGTGACTCACATAGTGGTTTGGTCTTGTTTTGTCTGCTGCGGACCTGTTCTGTCCATAGTGTAGGGTACTGAGCGATGATGTCTAAAACACACACGCAAATGCACAAAACATTAGTTCTGTTCCAAACCCTACACTCAATAATCTTCTTGACTCAATTTTAAAGAAGGCTTTATGCCAAAAACATTCAATATTAAGATACATGTCTTAAATGATTGCATAATACTTTCATGTTTATTTAAACAAAAATCTATCGATAAAGTAGGTTTATAAGCTGTTTAAAGCGATAGTTCACTTTGAAATTAATTTTTGGTGTGTTTTAGCGTACCTCAAGGGCATCCAAGATGTATGTGTCTGTTTCCGCAGTATTTTCAATTTTGATTCTTTTTAGGTCAAACCGTACTTGTCTGTCAGTCATATAATGAAGGTCTATGGTCACCACCTAACGAAACGAGCGGTTTGTGTGGCTGTGATTACAAGAGGTAAAAACGATATAAATACTGTTCGTTTTCTCACACAAACCGCTCGTTTCGTGTCTTAGGCCATCAATGTGTACTTGCATATACGAGTCATTAAATCATGTTTAATTTGGACTTCTCTGTGCATGCTGAGCTCTTTGAGGTGGTGACCATAGGCCTCCATTATATGACTGCCAGACAAGAACGGTTTGACAGAAAAATATCAAAATTGAAACTACAATGGACACAAAGACACCTACATCTTGGATGCCCTTGAGGTAAGCTAAAACATACCAAAAATTTATTTCAAAGTGAACTATCCCTTTAATTCATAAAATTTCATTCAAATTAAAAACAAATGAAAACAACATTAAACCATAAAATGATCCCTAAAAGATTCTATATATGAAGTGCCCGACACAACCCTTTTTCTAAGAGTGTATTGTTTCTCCCGTGACACTCACCTTCTTCATCATTGGACGGCTGGGATTCCACTGCTAAAACCGTTGAAGGATCTGCGTTTAGAATGGAGAAGATTTGCAAGGAAACTACAATTACGAGTGTCAGCTAGACAGTCACATCACATCAGCTATGATGAAGCATTTGCACATTGCCCGGTCAGGACAGATTAGAGAGAGATGAAGAAACATAATAAAACAGAGAAGAAAGATAAAGAGTCGAAGGAGGTTTAGTGGTTATAACTGAATCACTGAAAGAAAAACACAGTTTAGACATTTTAATCTCTTTGCTTGGGACGATTAAAACGCCTTTATCAAAACAAAAAGCAGTGTAATTCAAATACAAAATTCTGTAAATGCTTTTTTGTTAAATAAATACAAACCACATCCAAAATGAACACTCCTAGCACCAAATGCGAGTAAAAAACAAGTTTGCCAGTAACTTTAGAATGACCTGCAACATAATCAACCTAATACATGGCTTTTTAAGAAATATGCTTTGAAAAATAGTTTATCTAGGAAGTATTTTCCCCTTCTGAACTTTTTATGGCAATATATCCTCACATCCCAGACAGCACAACATAGTATCTGGTACACATGGATTCAACTGGCTGAATCTGGGCCGACACTATGTATATGAAGACTTCAGAATGGAAAAGCCTCTAAGTCCGTCTAAAGTTTTTGTTTAATATTAACATTATTATCAGGCTCTTATGTACGGAAGCGTATTGCATTCACTTGAAGAAAAAAAGATCTACTCTGTTTTTCTGAATTAACGAGTTAATTTTTCATGAGAAAAAAAATTTTGCTCTGTTTTTCTGAATTAATGAGTTAATTTTTCATGAGAAAAAAAAATGTTGCTCTGTTTTTCTGAATTAACGAGTTAATTTTTCATGAGAAATTTTTTTTTGCTCTGTTTTTCTGAATTAATGAGTTAATTTTTCATGAGAAAAAATTTTTTTGCTCTGTTTTTCTGAATTAACGAGTTAATTTTTCATGAGAAAACATTTTTTGCTCTGTTTTTCTGAATTAACGAGTTAAGTTTTCATGAGAAAACATTTTTTGCTCTGTTTTTCTGAATTAATGAGTTAATTTTTAATGGAATTTTTTTTTGCTCTGTTTTTCTGAATTAATGAGTTAATTCAGAAAAACAGCAAAAATAATTTTTCTCATGAAAAATTAACTCATTAATTCAGAAAAACAGCAAAAACTTTGTTTCTCAAGAAAAACTAACTCATTAATTCAGAAAAACAGAGCAATTTTTTTTCTCATGAAAAATTAACTCATTAATTCAGAAAAACAGCAAAAAAAAAATTTCTCATGAAAAATTAACTCGTTAATTCAGAAAAACAGAGCAAAAAAATTTTTTCTCATGAAAAATTAACTCATTAATTCAGAAAAACAGAGTAGATTTTTTTTTCTTCAAGTGAATGCAATACGCCTCCGTACTTATGTGTAGGTAGACCGCAGATGCTAATTGGCCTACATCCATTAAACTAGTACAGTATCTGATGCTTCAAGTCTAGTAAATATTATTTCATTCAAGACAATATTATATTTATAAGAATGAATAATGATAGACAATAATAAATAACAATGATGTATTTTTAAATAAATAATAATGCAAAACACATTTTCATGACTGGTAAGAAATATTTATGTCTGGTAAATTCTCTCTGCATGGCAAAACATTAACGTTGGACCCTGTATGCAGAAAAAAACATGTTTTTGTTTAGTTCAGACTTTATTGATCTGAACAACAGGCATGCAAGAATACACGCCAACACACACGAGTGGACGTATCAGACATGGATGACTGTTAGACGCTTCGGCCACAGGAATCCTAAATGCTGAGGGCCGCAGGTGTGGTTAACCACCATTAACTCATCAGAGGCCAGAAGACAAACTTTCTCTACTAGCGTCCTTGGGAAACAGTTGGGGAACTTGGGGAACAGTCACTGCCAGCACTCTGATGAAGTGATAAAGTATTATGAGGTCCGACCCTGTTATTTATATGACTCTAAAATTTCAGTGTAGCTCAACACATCAATGATTTTCTATGTTTTTGTGGCTTTTTGCCTTTTTATTTCATAGGACGGCCCAGCAGCAACAGGAAATGGTGGGAAAGAGGAGAAAGCGTGGGATCGGGAAATGACCCAAGACACGAAACCAGGTCATCATGATGTTATGTGCACTACTGACCTGGCCGCACCTCTGACAATGGATCTGTTCCAAACCTTAGTAAGCTGCCTTATGATATATTATACCTTATGAGTGACTGATTTGGGCTCTACATTTACAAAATAACATTTTTGATCAACATAATTGATTTCAATAGAGTTTGGCATCAGCAGTTAAAGGGTTATTTCACCCAAAAATGAAAATGATCACTGGTTTCCGGTAACGGCTGTAAGCAAATCTAGTTCTGGCAGAAGAGTGATCCAACGCATGACGTAGACTGTAGGAGTAGCATCAGCTTAGATGAGAGTAGACGCCTCTCGCGATTCAAACAAATAGGGCTGGACAACAAAGTCAAGCTCCTCCCACATTTCTCTTTCAAAATTCTCATTTTAGTCTTAAAGGAGTAGTTCCCTTTCAAATGAAAATTAGCCCATGATTTACTCACCCTCAAGCCATCCTAGGTGTATCTGACTGAATCTGAATACAATCTGGCTGGAAGCTAGAATTTTACTTTGTAATGTGTTAAATATGAGTATTTGTCTTACACAAACTCATCGTTTTGCTTCAGAAGGCCTTTATTAACCCCCTGGAGCCGGCGTTTGGAGTTGATGGATGCACGTTTCTGAGCTTCAATCTGTTGGTTGCCATCCACTGCCATTATAAAGTTTGGAAGAGCCAGGATATGATTGTATTCGTTCTGAAAGAAGAAAGTCATATACTCCTAAGATGGCTTGAGGGTGAGTAAATCATGGGCGTATTTTCATTAGGGCCTGAGCACTAACAGTGCGAGGACCCTATTGAAACTGTTAGGATTATTTTTTTATTTATTTTTTTTTTTATTTTTTTGCTGCAAAGTAGGCGCCATTTTCGGGGCCACAACATGCTCAAAAACTCACCAAATTTGGCACTCTTCTCAGGACTGGTGAAAAATTTCGTATTTTGTGGGTTTCGCGGATGGGCGGGGCAAAATGGCTCGCTAGCGCCACCTAGAAAATTGGAAATAATTAGCCCCTCGTCCACGTTCAACCTACATGCACGAAATTGGGTAGGGACATGTATCATATCAAGACGCACAAAAAAGCCTCAAGAACCCATACGCTAAACTCGACAGGAAGTCCGCTATTTTGAATTTGGCGGCCATTTTTGGACGATTTACACACTCCGTACTTTAACGAACTCCTCCTAGGAATTTAGTCAGATCGACTTCAAATTTCTGCTGTGCCTTCTAAAGGCATTGACGATGTAAAGTTGTGCTATCTGCGCGTTTTCGTCGATGGGCATGTCCGTGGCATCGAAGATTCGCCATGAAACAGGAAGTTGTAGTAACTTGGCTGTAAATGCTCAGATCTGCACGAAATTTAACACATTTGACAAGAGTCCCGCCCTGAACAAATCTACATGCTGATATTCACCCACAGTCATAGCGCCATCTGCTGCCAACAGGAAGTGACCTTTAATGAAGCAGCCCCCGCCGCTTGTTTGACCGACATGTACGAAATTTCTGTGGTGCATCTACCATGACCAGACGCACAAAAAAGCCTCAAGAACCCTTACCCTAAACTCGACAGGAAGTCCGCCGTTTTGAATTTGGCGACCGATTTGGGAAGATTTACACACTCCGTACTTTAACGAACTCCTCCTAGCTATTTAGTCGGATCAACTTCAAATTTCTGCTGTACCTTCTAAAGGCATTGACGATGTAAAGTTGTGCTATCTGCGTGTTTTCGTCGATGGGTGTGTCCGTGGCGGCGATGATTCGCCATGAAACAGGAAGTTGTAGTAACTTGGCTGTAAATGCCCAGATCTGCACGAAATTTAACACGTTTGACAAGAGTCCCGCCCTGAACAAATCTACATGCCGACATTCACCCACAGTCATAGCGCCACCTCCTGGCAACAGGAAGTGACCTTTAACGAAGCAGCGTAGCAAATGCACATCCGCACTGGCTGAGCTGCAGAAAATGCAACACGGCTGCCTCAGACCCCGACGTGCTACAGGTGCGAGGGCCCGCCCATCGCTGCTTGCAGCTTTAATTTTAATTTGAACTAATCCTTTAATTTGTGACCGATGTTTTATTTTGCTTTATCCTCTGCGCATTCACGTTCGTCAATACGCCATGTGCCGGGTCAGAGGTCACTCTTTCACTGGAGCTAGGTCGTTAGCGGAAGCCATTAGTTTGTATTTATTTATTATAAGCTATGGATATTTTTCTTACAAAAATGCATCACTTAACTTCAGAAGGCCTTATTTAACCCCCTAATTTATAAATATTATAATATTTTATTTAATCATGTTTAATAACCTAATATCTAATGGTATATGTGTTCATTTATATTTATTTTTCTCACTTTGCCCCCCATCTCGTCGAGATTTTTGAGGCAGCTCGCTATATTTCCAACAGATTCAGTTGATGTGGAAGTTTGTTAGAAATTTGTTAATTTCTTAGTGATTGTATCATTTTTTTAGCATTATATTACATAACTCCAAGCTAAATACTAACTTGCCTGGTGACTCAATCAAGATCAAGCATGCTGTTTCTAAACACAATTCAATTATTAATTATATTACAGTGCTTTTTTTATAGATAGGTATACCTGGCCAATTTGTAAATGTATATAAAATCATAAATAAATAAAAAATGTAATCATAAACTTTTCAGAATAGGTAAGAAATCCAAGAAAAGAACTTCAACAAAAACCTTCACGTCTCCCACAGCTGGAAAGGACATTCCTCTTAAAACTGAGGGGGAAAGACCAAAAAACAAGGTGATTATCTAGAAATCAGGTGGTCTCTTCTGCTTTATGAAAGGAGGGAAATCAGTGGCGTTAGTTATGCATGAAAAGGTCTTCATCTGGAAAGAAGAGAAATGACGTCCAGGTGAAGTGGTTAATGTTCACTGCGGTACTATGACAAAACCGTGAAGCCCTTCGATTTGGTTTTAACGACTGTGAAGGCAAAGGCTGTTATTACATCGTCTCTTTGTTTAACGACTCCAACATACGACCATTTACTTTCAGCCTTGAAGCAACCTCAGCACTCCCAATTCACACAATATTGGAATGGCAAGCCGTAACTCGCAGTACACACACACACACACACACACACATTAAAACGAAGCTGCCAATACAGATTGTCCAACATGAAAGTCTTCACCATATCAAAAGGAATCATTGAGGATATTTACCTGATTTTCCTGGATCCTTGGGATTTACTTTACCATTCTTGGAGCCTGTAAATTAGCAGGACAATCACAGGTTACTCACACTAACATTTTAGCAAATCTACACCTAGAATTGTGTGCGATCTAACTGTAATAGAAACTTATGCCGCTTATCAAGTGTTCCAGGAACGGTTGATTTTATTTTTGAAAAGTGACTTACGTTTTTAATTATCTCTTAAGCTCTACAGGGGAACATGATAATGTTATGGAGAGACCGCAGGGGGTAAAAGCCATATGACACTATCTTGGAGTAAAAGAGCAAGAATGTTTGAGCTCGGCTGTTTCGCTTGCCAAACGCGCATTTGTTTTGTGATGCTCCCCCAGACCTAACTGATTAAGCTGTTGCATGTGCAATTAAATCTAATTGGTCCTTTTCTAGTGAAGTTGTGGTTGGTGTACAAAGCCATGCCAACGATGTTATGATCCAGGAACTCATGGCCTGCAGTGATAGAGTTTCAGTTTTGTGCGTTCAATGGTTCTATGGCATGTGGCTTTGGTTATTGTGGTATTGTTATGCTGAAAAGTTTATTCAGATTAG